CAGTTGCCACCACAGCAGCAGCAGAAGCAGCAGCAGCAGCAGCTGCCACTAGCGAACCCTATGGCTGGACCCGTTATGGGCAGCAAGCCGCCCAATCTGAATCCAAGTACGTCGAGAGTGATCGGAGGTCCGCCGACAGTGGGTGGTGTCCAGCCAGCGCCCGTGCTAGCTGCAGGCCAAAGGATCATGTATGGTGGGGCGCCTGGGAGCAATGAGCAGCAGAGCCAAAACCAGCAGAACAATAATCTTCAAAGGGCCGCACCGCCGCCTGGAGCAGGAACAGCCTGGCCGCCAAGTCTCCCAAAGGCAGCCGTGCCCGGAATTCCCCCTCCAATGCAGACGCAGCAGCCACAGGCACAGTCAGCGCCGTTCGCTCAGCAGCAGCCACAGAATACGGCACAGTCAGCTCCCTTCGCGCCGCCGCAACAATATCAGTATGGCCAGGCGTACCAGCAGCCGCTGCATCAGCCGCCGCTACCACAGCAACAGCAGCAGCATCAACCGCCACCGCCCACTGGCATGTTCGGAGCTCAGCCCAGCAGCACGCCTTTGCAGTACCAGTCGCAGCCGCCGCCTCCGTCGATGCAGTCCCAAGGGCAGCATCCCTATGCCCAGCCACAGCCAACGTCCGGGCCCCCGCAGCTTGGCGCGCCGGTTCCGTTGAATGTGGCCCAGCAGGGCTTTAGTCGGCTCTGGGGCCAAGACACCATCGACCTGATGCAGAACCGACACATCCTCTCGCCGGCCACATTGCCGGCGCCCAAGGTGGTGCTTCACAATCAGTTCCACGAGTCGATCAACTGCAGTCCCAGCATTATGCGCTGCACCGTCACGAAGATCCCCGAGACCAACTCGCTGCTGCAGAAGTCGCGCCTGCCCCTGGGCATAGTGATTCATCCCTTTCGGGATGTAAATGTAAGTTTGAGGATCTCCTTGAAACTAAATCTGAATTATTCAAAACAATTATTTTACTCCCCAGAATCTGCCCGTGATACAGTGCATCAACATTGTGCGCTGCCGTCTGTGCCGCACGTACATCAATCCCTTTGTCTATTTCGTGGACAGCAAGATGTGGAAGTGCAATCTCTGCTATCGCGTGAACGAATGTAAGCGGCAATCTTATCACTTATCTCCGACATGAAGCAACATTTTAAGGAACTCCCTCTTTCAGTGCCCGAAGATTTCCAGTTCGATCCGGCGACCAAGACATACGGCGATGTCACCCGAAGGCCAGAGGTGCGCTCCAGCACCATTGAGTTCATTGCTCCGTCGGAGTACATGCTAAGGCCACCGCAGCCGGCCATGTATCTGTTCCTCTTCGATGTGTCGATCATTGCGCAGCAGAGCGGCTACTTGGAGGCGGCCTGTTCGGTGCTCAACAGGCACTTGGACGAGATGCCGGGCGACGCACGCACCCAGGTGGGCTTCATCTGCTACGACAGCTTCGTCCACTTCTACAGCATGGCCGAGGGTCTGAATCAGCCGCACGAGATGACGCTGCTGGACATTGATGATCCCTTCCTGCCGCGTCCCGATAGCCTCCTGGTGAACCTCAAGGAGTGCAAAGAGTTGGTGCGTGATCTACTCAAGCTGCTGCCTAAGCGATTTGCCCACACACACGATCCAGGCTCCGCTCTAGGCGCCGCCTTGCAGGTGGCCTTCAAGCTGATGGTAAGTTCCTGGAAGGCTCTGCACGGTTGAGAAGCAGCTTACATTCCCTTTTTATTACAATCGCAGCAGTCGTCTGGTGGACGCATCACCGTCTTTCAAGCGTGCCTTCCCAACAAGGGACCCGGGGCTTTGGAGCCACGCGAGGATCCCAACAATCGTTCGGCCAAGGATGTGGCTCACCTGAATCCGGCCACCGACTTCTACAAGCGCTTTGCGCTGGAGTGCTCTGGCTACCAGATTGCATGCGACCTCTTTCTGATGAACCAGCAGTACAGCGACATGGCGACCATTTGTAAGTATCTTCTGCACACGAGGAATCCTCCTTGAACCGTCCGCTAATATTTGCATCTCCTTGCAGCTGGCATCAGCAAACACAGCGGCGGATGTGTCCACCATTTCCCGCTGTACCAGAAGACCAAGCAGCATATGGTGGACTCGTTCAGAATGTGCTTCAAGCGCTATCTGACACGCAAAATCGGCTTCGAGGCGGTGATGCGCATCCGCTGCACTCGCGGCCTGCAGGTTCACACATTCCACGGCAACTTCTTTGTGCGCTCCACGGATCTGCTGTCGCTGCCCAACGTGAATCCAGATGCGGGCTACGGCATGCAAATCTCGTACGAGGAGAGCCTCACTGACGTGAAGACGATCTGCTTCCAGGCAGCGTTGCTCTACACAAACAGCGAGGGCGAACGACGCATTCGGGTGCACACGGTGTGCCTGCCGGTGACGTCGTCGCTGCCCGAGGTCATGCACTCGGCCGACACGGAGGCGATTATCGGCCTGCTGTCCAAGATGGCCGTCGACCGGTCAATAGCCTCGAATCTGTCCGATGCTCGCGACGCCTTCATCAATGCAACCATCGACGTGTTCAACGCATTTAAGATTGCACAAAATCTGCCCTCTGGACAGTCCGGCCAACTGATTGCTCCCCGCAGTCTGGCATTGATGCCCCTCTACATCCTGGGGCTGCTAAAGCATGTATGTATTTCCCTCGATTCCCAGATAGAAATCGTTTAGTAAAACTTCTGCTTTTAGCCTGCGTTCCGTGTGGGTACTAGCACGCGCCTGGATGATCGTGTGTATGCCATGGACTGCATGAAGACCCTGCCGCTGGATCAGCTCATGAAGTTCGTCTATCCGGAGCTGTACAAGATCGATGGGCTCATCTACCATGCCCGCAACTCTAATGCGAGCACGACTGAAGAAGACGACGAGGAGGATCCCCTGCCGGAGTTGCCGCGCCTGCAATTATCTGCGGAGCAGTACGTTTGAAGAGTTTGAATATCTGCCAGCGGAAAGCTGATTAATCAATCAAATTACAGCCTGGACTCTCGTTCGATATTCCTGATGGACTGTGGCCAACTGATAATGCTCTATGTCGGCCTCAATGTGCCACCCGATGTCCTGGAGGCAGTGCTGGGTAAGATTTCGATCGTGTGACGCTAGAGTGAAGTTCCTGGGATTAATCCCGATCTCATTTTAGGCATCAGCTCAACGGCGGAGCTTGGCGACTACGTCTATGGCTTGCCGCATATTGTGAGTGCCGAGTACGACATACTGCAGCGGTTCTTGTTGCGTCTGAACTACGATAAACCCTACTCGGCGCTGGTACAGATAATCAGGTGAGTGACTGAAAACCCTCTAGAAGAATGCTCGAGTTTCTAATCTTCAATCTCCTTCTTGGATCCACAGAGACACGAGCACGGCCAAGGGTCAGTTTATAGAGAGATTAACCGACGATCGCAGTGAATCGAGTTTATCGTACTATGAATTCTTGCAACACATTCGGGCTCAGGTTAAATAGTATATAAGCAGAAAATCCTATTATTATGGCATACAGCATAAATGCGAGTCCACAACGACTCTGGTGTCTAAAGGCAGGAAGTGCGAGTGGAGAACAATATATGGGATATAGGCAGACGAGATAAGAATACAAGGACTAGTTCTCTGATCCACTAACCACTGATCACATCCACACATCCACACATCCTCATCCTCACCCTCCCCTCAAATCGCGTAACTTAGGTGTAACTTGTAAGTGCATGTATTTATTTATTTGTTGATTTATTGCACTAAAATCACTAGAAAAACGAATGCAACAGAAAAGAGAACAGCGAGAAATATGATATGTGTATGTATCCTGTCACAATTTGAAACTAGATCGAACACACACGAGTCAGTAGGCCCCTCCGCCACTCCCCTTCCGCGAGCGGACATGCAATGTTATTTATTATAGATATGTTATGCAATACACCCAATACAATCCCATCCACACACACAGCCCCGCACCCGTGCGCTATTGTAAATTATAATTTATTAAATGCAATTTTTCGTTGCTTTTGTCGAGCTGCTTCCAAACATTCTGCAAAGAGGAACGAACACCCGCAGCTGTGGCGGGCTTTTCCCTTATGCTTTTGCTGTTTTCAATAGTATTTAATGCCCGTATATGAAAAACAGAATTATTGTTTTGCAAGTGTATTTATTTATAAGAGAGAATGGGCTATTTGCAGGGCTTTTTGTTTCAATGTTTGAGTACGATTACGATACGAGTAGCTAGCCAACTTATTTAAAATGTGTGTGTGCGTGCAGGTGTGTGTGCGTTTAGGTATTGTGTATGTCTTACGCCTAGAAAGATTATTAATTATACCATAACAAAAGTACATTATATATACATAGAGTCAGAGTCCCACAAGTTACGGGAGGGCCCTAGGTAACGTAGTTTGTGAGAGACACACGTGGAACGGAATAGGAAACGGCAAACGGAAAGAGCTGCAGCAACAAGACACTCGTTTCGCTACCCGGAAATTGTTAACTAAACGAAAACATTATACATATGCTGTACCATACTTTATACACATACGAGTACGTCAAAAATAAAAGCTAATTAGAGTTTTATTTAAAGCATAGAGCTGCACGTCGAGCTAACATCCAAATTGCTCATAAATCATACATTAATCTAGACATAGTAGTCCTTCAAATGTGTCAAATAGCAGATTACAGCTGCAGATCACAGCCAGATCGACACTCAAAGCACCACCGATCCGAACGGAACGTGCAGCTTGAAGGGAAAAATGCAGCTAAGCGTCGACTTCATGTTCTTTCTATGGTTCACCATTTTCATGTGGTGCGTGCTGTCCATTGGCAGGGTGCAAAAGTGGTGCCACAAGGCCTACCACATGAACGTTAATCATATAATATTCCCCCGAGAAGACGAAGGAATACTCATCCCCAAACACTAAGATTCCATTTGGCTTTGGTTTGTTGCGTTTCTTTTTATTTAAATTGTATTAATTATATGCTATTATTGATGTATTTATTCTAAGACAAACTACAATTCAGCCTAGCAGTCCGCCACCCGCTCCGCCTATTGCGCCGGCACCCCCTGCCGCTCCGAAGCCGGCAAACCCGCCGCCAATCTTCTTGTCGTAGCGTGCACGGAATCCACCGCCCAGACCGCGACCTCTAATCCGGTAGCTCTCCCGATAGCGTCCGAAGCCAGCTGCTGCGCCAACGCCTCCGCCAATGCCGCCTCCAATCAGGCCACCACCGGCAAGACCCAGGGCCTGCGGCTGAGGCTGCTGCACAATGGGCACTTGCTGAACGACGGGCACTTGCTGGATGTACGGTGACTGCTGCACGTAGCCACCTCCCGCGACTGCCACTCCACCCACGCCACCACCCACCAGAGAGTGGGCACTGATCGTCCAGGAGCAGATGCTCAGCAGCAACAGTTGCAGATCGAACCTCATCTTTGTCGCGTGGTCAGATACGTTGTGAGATGCGAGAGAAGAGTCTGCCTGGTTTTTTATGGACACCACACGAAGGTGGCATTACAATCCCCATGTCGTGTGTACCCCGACCTTCACGATGTTGTGGCAATGATGACGCAGATTAGCTGCTGAGGTGCGAACCGCCCAGAGGGTAAACCCATGAGCATCGCTAGAATCAGCAACAGTGCTGGCCGCTGTCATGTTGGGGATTTTGGCGTTCGATCTGTCAATTGGTTGCACAAACAGCTTCGAGTCGAGTGGCCGGAGTGGGAGTGGACTCTGATTAATTTGCATAAATACACGACCAGTTGCCGGGGCCGCCTTAAACAGTCCATCGCATCATGCTGTGGAAGACGGTTTGCCTGGCGCTTGTCTTGGCCCTTGCCTCGGTCACGTCCACACCCATCAGAGACAGCAGCACGGATCTTGTGAGGAGGACCCGGCACATTGGCGGCATCGGAGGCGGCGGCTTCATTGCAGGCGGTGGTGTGGTGGCTGCTCCTGCCATTCAAACGGTTCCCCTGATTCAAACAGTGCCCGTGATCACCACTGTGCCGGTTATCTCGACCATTTCCACGGTGCAGACGATACCCAGCTATGGCTACGGCTATGGATACAATGGATACAATGGTCTCGGCGTAGCTCCTGGTGGAGGCTTTGGTGGTGGTGGCTTGGGTGGTGGAGCCATTGGTGGTGGCTTTGTAGGTGGCGCCGTGGGATTTGCCAAATTTAAAGGCGGCTTCTTCGGCTGACTGGTTCTCGAGTGTAAACAATTAATAAACAACAAAAAAAGCGAACTTCATTTTCTGTGTGTTTGGAATCAACAGATCAGAGATGAGATTGCGTAAATTACTTAAACGTGTTGTTGTTGTTGGTGATATTTCTGGAATGGTCTTTGGCTGCCTTGTGTGTTTACCTACTGAATGTCTCGCAAAGCGAAACGAATGGGATCTAAGTGGCAAACAACAAGCCATTGAAAACAGAGACAGATACAGTGGTTTAGATTGGGCAACCACTAGAGTAGATTGCAATTTGGCTGGACTTGATAAATATGAAATTACTTGTGATACTCTTGGCACATTCGATAGATCTGTAACACATCATTGGAGCTACATTGGTATGGAACACTCCATACACACCCTTCGACCCACTGTATCGCACACACTTCCGCCTCACATCTCGCTGCATCATCACATTAAGATTGGGTCAACTTCATCCAAGTCTGTAGTTCGTTTATTTTGGGTTTTTTCTACCAATAATTATTCTCGCTCGCTCAAAATTGAAATTAGACGAGCACGAAAATGGGTAGAATCAAAAATAATACCCAAATGGCAATCAACAATGCCAATGAACCTCCTTTGTTAAGGTTCTTGGATGGGCGGACAAATGTTTGGCTATAAATTAAAGGCCAGGTCGGAGCTCAGTTTCAGTGTTTGATCAAGTCTTAGTGCGAATGCGACTACCAATGGATTACACCAGAGTATTCCTGCTGTTCTGCCTCAGTGCATTGATGCTTTTCGGTGCTTCGAAGGCAGATCCAGAAGCGGAAACGCAAGCTGCAGCTGAAGCAGGAACAGCCACGGAGCTTAGTCCCGTTCCGCTCTTGGAGGCTGGAGAAACTGACCAGCGCGAGGCGGGGGATGAGAACGTTCGCAAGGTGCGCCAGTTCTTCGGTCCTCCACCCTTCTTTGGACCACCCCCACCGCCCTACTACGGAGGATATGGCGGCTATGGCGGCTATGGTGGCTACGGTGGTGGCTTCCAGCGTACTCGGGTCATCACACGCACCCGCTATCGCGGCAGAGGAGGCTACTACGGCGGCGGCTTCTATGGCTAAGAGAGATCGTCCGATTGCGATGCTGATTTTGTGATACTTCAATAAATGTTAACGTTATGCAAACTTTATGGCCTACAATCAATGCGCAGTCGAAGCCCTTGTGGGAGTTTCATTTTCGAAGAAAGCATCGGACAAAAGTGTTTATAAGTGGAACGATTTGGGGCTGCTTGCTAAAATGTTGACTCTACTTCGCTTGCTGCTGGTCTGTGCCATTCTCGGCCAGATCTTTGGTCTGGATGAGCGGGAGTACGATCCACTGGTGGCACCACTTGCCACAGCTGGTAATGGATGGATTTCTGCCTGGTTCCCATCTGATTTTTGTATTCATTTTTAGTTCCAAAACCCTTACAGCTGTGGCGCAGCTTTGCCAATCAAGTGCGACTCACCTTTAGCCGCTGGCAGCCCCAGCGCAAGCCCAAGCCGACGACGGAGCCCTTGGCCAACCCCACGGTCAAGACCAGAACGAGGAGCACCACACCTCAGCCTGAACTCCAGTTCTATGGTGCATTGAATCCCATTTACCAGATGGGCAACTTTTAACATTCCCTTAAGCTAATTGAATTACAAAATAAACTAGATTTATAATTAGCAGTTTTGTTTATTTTTTTATGAGGTGTATGTGTTCTTTTTAGTTTAAATTAACTTCATAAACTTAACATTAACTCTAAACCTATATCTGCCCAGGCCCAAGCTGAAGTGACAAGTGACGACTTCACCACCCACAGGGAAGTCTCTCTATCCCTCTCCGGCGCTTGTCTCTTTGAGCGTGGTGAAAAAGTTATTGCTGCTCGCACAGCGTACAACGTCACCTCGTTGGTAATTTCACCATGCCCAGGCCCGCTTTCCAGAATTGGTTAACAGTTTCCTTTATGGCTGTTGTGTGTTTATTTTTATTAATTTAATGTAAAATAATTATTATTTATTTTTAATTTGAACCAAAGTCAATTTGTTTGTATGTAAAAACCGCATATTTAATTTAAATATGAGTGTGCTTAATGCTACTATGCGATATATTTCTCTCAGTGCAGGACATCTTGATTATCGGAACTTCTTGTCAAACAGTCCCTTGAAGCTGCCGAAGCCGCCGCCAAAACCGTGCCCACCGAATCCGCCACCAAAGCCGTGTCCCAGTCCTCCGCCAAATCCTCCTTTGAGTCCACCCAGGCCGCCAAACTTGCTGCCGAATCCTCCACCTCCTCCAAAGCCGCCCAGTCCACGGGCCACACGTTCGCCCGCTGGCTCATCCCCCAGCGGCTGCTGTTCTGCCTCCAGATCCAGCAGGCTGATGGCGCTGGGCTCCAACTCGACGGGAAGGCTCCAACTGCTGCTCACGGCACTGACGACCACGATGAGGGCGAGACTGAGGCTGAGGAAATTCATCTTCTTGCTGTGATAGATGCTGGGCTGGTACTTAATTCCAAGTGCCATGACAACTAGGTTTATATACAGACTTCTGGTCTGCTCATCGGATGGTCTGCTGGTCGGGTGCTGCTGGTGGTCTGGTCTTGGTCTTGGGCTCGTGCGGAGAGCTGCTAATTTCTCGTGTCAACATTGCGGGCCCAACTCTGCCCAAATATACTCGTACTTTCATTCATCCAACATTTTGTTAGACTTTTGGGATGGGTTTTGGTCTGGTCTGGCTGGTCTGGCTGGTCTGGAGTGGGTGCGCAAACAGAGTCCGCGACTGGCGCTTGGTGTGCTCACATCTTTAGCTGGATCTGCGGATAGTTACATCATGTTTGCCAATCTACTTACCACGTTTACCATGTTACCAATGGTCTATGCTCTTGAAACGTCAGCGGATTGACCTTAGCCAGCGTCTCTGGTCTGTGTTTGCCTCGGACAAACATATCAGCATATCGTGGCCCAGTTCAAGAACTTGTTTTAGGATCCACACAATCTGGAACCATCTTCAGACTGCTGCTAATCGAAGCGAGTCAGGCTTCTGCTGACGCGCGCGCGACGCCCTATCCAGCTAAAAATAAAACAGGCTTGTTTGGGCCCTCTTCTTGGTCTATTGTTTAATAATGCTAATAACTAGGAATTAATGCACGCTTAGCACCTCCTAATGGCGATGTGTGTATGAGAATGAATTTGGATACTGATGCCGATGGGTCTGCAGGTGGCGCTCACGTGCCGCCAGCTTGCGGCGCCTCTTCAGGAATCTCCTGTAGTTATTTCTGTCCACAAAGTGCAGGGGAGCAGCCGTCGGTTCGGGAGCTGTGGGCGTGTGGTACCACCAACCGGTGGACTGCTGGTGACGGTTCTTGTTCCTCCGGGATGTGCGTACTTTTTCCTGGACAAAGGCACGAGACCAGGCCACTGGATCCAAGCTGGCATCGTAGCCGACATCGTTGGAGGGCCACCAAGGCTTGGCGGCGCAGAGTTCGAGTATCACAAGAGGTAGGACAAGGAGCAGCACTGAGGTGTAGTGCATGGTGATGTTGCTGTTGCCCTTGCTGATTGCAGACTGTTGCACTCTGACCCCTGCGCAAGGCTCTATATATACAAGACAGTCACGTCCATTATCGGATTATCCCAATCCCATTCGAGTACTCCTACCTGCAGTGCACTCAACAACAAATCACACACTCGCACTCACCTGAGGAGAGGGAAGTTATCAATGGTATGGGTTTGGGTTTGTGTGTCTGCAGGTGTCGTAAATCAGAGTGGGAAAAGGTTCTCATTCCATACAGATAGACTCGCATTACAGACGGATGGATCTTTATCTGGCTGGCAAATCGTGAACGGGACAAACTGTCAAAGACGCAGCGGGTGCGAATCAGCGTGTTCCATTTCACTTTCAGCCAGAATGCGTGACCGAATGGCCCCGATATCGAGTACTGGTTTCCCGCTGGAGTGGAGAGCCTTGCACTTGACACCTGCTGCTTAATTGGCACACAACTCTCTTCGGTATTCGCTGTGATATATGAGGAGTCGGATGGAGGACAAACACGTTTGCCCACTCATCCAGAGTTGGATGGCTGAAAAGTGGGACAGAACATGGCATAAAAGCTGCAGCTGGCAGCAGGAAGCCTCCAGTTGCTGGCCAAAGTTCTGTCCAAGATGAGGCATCCACTGCTGCTGCTGCTGCTGCTCCTGCCCCTGCCCCTGCTGCTAGTCCTCGTTGAAGCTGGACAAGGGATGAGACTGCGCTTCCAGAACGGCTACCGCCTGCGCCTGAGCGGCCTGCCTCCGCAGATCGTTGGCAAAGGTCAGGTGATTGCCAGTCGCTCCCACATGAACCATCGACCACAGCCACAGCTACAACCTCAGCATCCCTCCCGCTGGCTGACTGGAAGGACGCGCAACTGACAATGCAGATCCTTCTGGTTAAATGCTCTTTTAATTGGCTAAATAAATAAAATAAATAAGCCCTTAAGTTTAAAATAAAGTGTGAATGCCTTAGAAGGCGGGTGCGTAGCCCTGCATGTTCATGTAGCCTCCGGCTGGTGCATAGAGTCCTCCCAGCTGCGGATTTTGATAGAATCCTTGGTTAGATCCTCCCAATCCCTGCGCGTTGTTCATGTTCACGATGTTGTTCAGAGCCGAGAAGTTGTCCACTGATGGCTGTGGCGCAAATCCATTGGGCAGCTGGGGACTGGGATACGACGACATGGGATTGCCGTACATGAGAGCGGAAGGGCTTGAGGCGCCCGGGTAGCTGCCGAAGCCGAAACCAGGAGCTGCACCGAATCCAGGAGCTGCACCGAATCCCGGGGCTACTCCGAAGCCAGAAGTTGAGCCAAAGCCAGGGGCTGCACCGAAACCAGGAGCTGCACCGAATCCAGGAGCAGCACCGAATCCAGGGGCTGCACCGAAGCCAGGAGCTGCCCCAAAGCCTTGACTTGCTCCAACCATATTCGGGTCTGGATAGTTGGGATAATTGTTGGCTATGTTCGTCTGCAGGCCATTCAATCCGCTCAGAGATCCCTGAGCCATGCCCGGCGCGTAGATCAGTCCGGGATAGTTGGGATACCGCACCAGCTGGGCGCCGACTGCATTCAGGGCCATCTGATTCATCGGCAGGGACATGCCCATGCCCATCTGCATGGAGTTGCCTGCCGCGGGCGTAACATTGGCCATCATCTTCACATCCGCATCCGTGGCGGCTCCTGGCCCGGCCTTCATTTGTCGCTGCTCGCGGCCGTGGTGCTCCTCCAGAGGTAGTGCCTGAACCGTGCCCAGCAAGAGCAGGGAGAGCAGCAGGAGGGCTTTCTTCGCGATAAAGTTGGTCATTTTGGTAGCGATCTCGTTGGGTGACTGTTTGCTTCCGGCTCCCCGGTATGGCCTTTTATGCCGAGGCCGCAGCTGAGGCCGCGGGTCGGACCTAGGGAAACTTTCTTTTGGCAATTATCCGCAGCGTTGGTTTTCTTTTAAAGTGATGCCTTTTTTTATGTTTTTATGGCAGCAAAAGTCGAACACTGCGGCCCACAGATCATTTTGTCTTCGTTTTGTAATCTCTTTATAAACAATTCACACTTTTAGCCTAATGCCGAAAGCAAATAAGGTGCGAAATGTCTCAGCGCTCCAGCGAAAGATCGAACAGCCGAAAGATCGCCTTGCAGAAAATTGCGCTTGCTCCGGTGGGTGACGACGCCGACGAAGACCCGCCATGTGGTGAGTACATTGTTTATACATACTTATACATACATATGTATGAATGTATGTTCATACATTCCCGAATACAGTCCCACTCAGCATCGTGATGGTGAAATTTTGATGTTACTAGGCTGCTGTTCTCAGACAAGTTTCTCTTAACAGCTAGGTCGAGCGTTGTAGCTGGTTCCAGATATGAAAATTAAGGAAAATTATTGAAAGTTTTTCCTTTTCAGCTCAAAAGTATGTTTTACTATTTGAATCTGTAAATGTAAAACACATGTAGAATGAACATTTAAAGTTTTATGCAGATCGTATAAACACCCCCATTCACCTTACAGTGCTTAGACACAGGATGCACAAGCCAAAGCAAACGACAATAAGAAAACTCAAAAACTCTCTTACTACATTCCTCAGCGTATGTAGGTCGGCTCTTCCTTCAGTCAAATTCTCCACGGGCGCAGGTCATTGCATGTTGGTAAGAGAGGATGAAAAACAAGATCTCTTCAAATTAATGGACCTTCTCATCTACGCTTATTGTCGCTCTTGAATCCACTCCGCAGTTGTGCTCTCTTAAATGTAAGCATCAAACCACGCAGCGAAATTGCTCCCGCTCTTAATTTTCCACCCCCTCTTCAGGTCATTGCACTAACATCACCAGCAGCAGGAGCAGAGGACCAATGGCTAAACACTCTTCAAACCTCTTTTTTGATGAAGATCTCATCCCATCTTCCTCTGCCCTCAATGCTGCCCTCACTTGCTCTCTTTGATTGCAATTGAAAAAGAGCGCTAGTGAAATTTAAGTTGCCGGCGCAACGCGTGTTTGTTAATGTCGTATAGGAAAAAGTGTTAAATAATGATGGAAAGGCTCGGAAAATTGTGAAAAAGCCCGTGTGATACGTGTACATACATAGCTAGTGTTTAAAAGTAAAATATGTGGAAAAGAGACGGAAAAGTGTATTCAGTTTCTGGAAACAGCCCAAAAAGTGCAACCCCATGTGGGCGAGAGCCAATGGCTAAGGAAATTTTAAAAAATATCAGCATGTGTGAAAACAATAATATCAATGTTTTTTCTGCTCGGAAATATTCCGAATATGGTAATTGCGTCGCAGTTTTAGCGCTGCCTACGCCGCTCTTTTCAAGTCATGAGAATTCCAGCTGAAAGAAGGCAAGGAAAAATAACGGGACTATTCATGGTGTGATGCCCTTCCACTTGAGTTTTTGTTTTGTTTTCGAGTTGTTTTGCTTTTTTTTCTGTGAGAGTGAGTGTTCGTGTAGTGTTTAGTGGCTGCGGCAAAAGTGAGTGAAAAGTGTTAGAGTGAGATACAAGTAAAAACAGTTGAGTGTCCCGCAAGACTAAAGAAAGAGCGAAAATCTCACTCAGTGTTAAGTGCAAGTGTTAGTGTCGCTGGTCATTATGACGGCAAGGAGTGCCAGGCGGTTACGGCAATAGTGAGTCTTACTTAAGAAAGTGTGCCTCAAAAACGAACTAAAGAGCGGATAGTAAGAGTGAAACCCCCAATAAATGTATGAAATGTACCGCATGGCCCTTATACAGATAGGAAAATAAATTATAATCAAAAGAGAGAATAACCCAGCAGCAAGTCAATTCAAATGGAAGGTGAGTTTAAATCAGACTCTATTACATTCAATTATATTCTAAATTATTTCCTATGTACATATATAATATAATATTTTTGGATCGCCGCCCGATATTTTATTTTCTGTGCCTTTTGTTCTTCTTTCTCTGACTCTAACTTTTCCTAATCTATCTATCTGTCCATCTGTTTTGATATCGAATCATTCCCTTTCCGGGAACTCGACAGAGAATTGCTGTTGGTGTGTTTGAATACATTTCGTTTTGTTTTTAGTTTTTATTTTTTTAAAGCGATTTCAATAAATAAATAAACATATTTTGTACATCTCATAAAGCTAGACCTGTGAAATCCTTAGCACTCAAAGTGCTATTCCGATCAGTCGCCTATTTGCCGTAGCTATCAGTGTAGGCGGCGCGCCTGGCATCGGCTCTATCCTTGCGAGCTTCAAAGGAGTCATCGGCCAGGTACCGTGGTGGACTGGCCACAGAATCATCCGAGCGCCGCTGGGAGCCTCCATAGGCATTGCCGTAGACCTCGCTCTTGGGATAACAGATGAAGTAGTCGCCCCTGTAGTAAGCCGCACTGGCTCGCTTCTGACGCACAGCCTCACCGCTGATATCGGTTGGTGAGAGAATGGCCCCTGATTCGCTGCTGATGCTGCTGCTGATGGGTGCCCCTTGGGTCATGTTTATACTGAAGATTATGGCAATCACTGCGATCACGGAAAGGGAGAGTGTGCACTGCATATTGTTGTTTTGGTGGTTTGTTAGATTGGATTATCACTTTGTTTTGGTTGTGTTATTTTGGTTTTGGGTTTGGCTGGTCCGCTCGTGGTGGAGTTCCTTTGGGTTCTGTGTCTGGACTGGGGCTGCCTTTGCCTTTTATACGTGCGATCTGCCTGAGTATTATCCACTACGCGCTAATTATTATGACAGACCCAGGCAGCACCCAGCACCCAGCACCCAGCACCCAGCACCCAACATCTATTTGTGATGACAGTGTAGTGGGGCACTAATTTAATTTGCCGTGCATCTTTCATTTCAATTAGCATCGCCAGGTCGCACAGCATTTCCGTCAGAGTCCAGCCTTTTTGGACGGTTTTTGACCACAGTGACGACAGCACTGGGGGCTGATCAATTCGGGTTCGACGCTTCAGATGTGAAGTTGCGTTCTGCGGTTTTGTTGTGGTAGGCACCGCCGTTGAATCATCCTCTGGATTTGGCCTCCTCCGAACATAGTTTCACCACAATCTGGCGACTATATTTAACTCTTTCACCACCCATCCAAGAGCTAAGTTCTGCTCTTTTCTGGCGCCCTTTCGCGCTCTTTTATTTGTATGTACATATGGACGAGGCGTTAATTGAATGCCAGTGCAGGAAAGTTGACATGAATCACGTTGACAGTGCGCCTGTTGCCACGGAAATGAATTCCCCAATCGAGAGTGGAAAATATTTGCGTTTGTTAATTAGAAGTCCGTGATTCACCTGTGGCCCCATCCCTGAGTGGCGTGACCCTACCCTACCCCAAGTTCGAGGCTCGAGTACGCTTCTGGTGAAAGTCTGACTAGCAAAACTACAAATCCCAAGGTCTATTTACAGGTCTAGGGTGAGTGGAAACAACTGAAAATAGCTACACATTTTATTGACGTATCAATTAGTGTTTGGCCCGAAAACAAGTTACACGATTCCAGAAAAGACCGCTCCTTATCGCAGCATTTCACAAGCGACTGCCAATTCGCGGCTGAAGCGATAAACAATAATCGCACTGTCTATCTTGCGGTTCCAAATCGGATCGAATACGATCATTTCATACTGTGGAAGATTTTCAAACGGGAATGATATGATTCGGCAACCGGTTTCCAGTTCTAAAATTAGGATTCGCGACGTAGTTCTCCACTCAAGTGCGTAAGAAGTGAGTTCCCAGCCAAAGAAATCCCCTTCCCACCCAGTAAAAACTCTCGCCTGTTGTTGTTTTCGTCTATTTTTGGCGTTATTCGTACACAAAATGAAGAAATTATTAGCCATAGTAGTTGGAGCTAGCAGAGGCTGAAGCAGAGGCAGATGCACTGCCACCACCATAACCACCACCGCCACCTGGGTAGCCACCTCCGAAACCACCGCCGGGGTAGCCACCGCCTCCAAAGCCGCCTCTGCGGTAGCCACCACCTCCGCCGCCGCAGCAAAAGCCGCCACCTCCACGGCCACCGAATCCACCGAAGCCTCCTCCAAAGTGACGGGCGGCCCGAACGCCGGCTCCCTCATCGTTCACGGGCTGGGCATCGGCGTCCTCCAGTGTGAGACGCTGCTCCGGGTCTTCCAACGGATGACCATAGACCAGGGCCAGGGCCAGAGTCGCCACCAGTGCTAGCAGCAGGACTTGTTTCATATTTGAGTCTTGAAATGTTTCTATTGCCGATTCGGATAAGCACGGGGTCTTTTATAGTCACACAGAGCGGGGATGTCCCGCAACAAGATCGGCATCATCATCCTTTGATTTCGCATCCCAAGTATCATTAGTTACCGCCACTCGGCAATTATCTGGTTTTCGATGATTTCAGCAAAAACCTGTAAGTGCCCGAGGTCAGTGGAATTCCCAGATCCCAGAACTGCTGCCTCCAGAATGAATCTCTCAAAAATAGAGATAAACAAAAACAAAAATCGTCAGCCAGCACATGAAGCACTTCACATCCAGCAGGCCTCCAGGATGGGGGTTCACTTCTCCCGCTGGTAAATCCAAACGAGTCTGAACGCTCCCATGTGATCACTGACCTGAAGAAAGTCCAAATTTGCGCAGTAATTCAATGGCGATCTATTACTGGAGATCGGGTTTACTTTATGGGCAGCCACAGAATTGAATCTGTTTGGCTGCTTTTGCTTTTTGGATGATAATAAGCGTAAAGCACATTAATTACACGCCGAAACGACGATGGTGGTTCTGTTTAAGTGTTGTTTAATTCTCTTAAAAAGAAGCTAATTAAAATTGATGCAAGTGAAACTCGTTTAAACTCCGAACCGAAGCTGCAAATACACTGGACGATAAAATATTTTAAAGGCTATTGACACTCTCTTATCCCAGCAATGTTGAGCATTTCTGAGTTGTTGATGCTTCAAAGTTGGTGATCGTTCGGTCTGTTAGGGTAAGAAATCAAAGCTTGAGAGGATCGTAAAAAAAACAGTAAAAGTTTTGATCAAAACAAATCGTACATCATTGGGTTGAAGCAAACCGGTTCATCGGAATTAAGATTAAGACTCGGAGGGTAGACGTAAATTGTGACATGTTACTGTCAGCTTAGGCAAATTACAGCATCTTCCCAGTGATTATAAATCTACAAGTACATAGAATTCATGTGTACAATATACATTCCCTTTCCCATTCACATGTGTGATGATTAATCGATTGTTTTGTTAATCATTTCGCCAGACGTCAGGCCAGACATACATAATCAAATTAAGAGCCAGAGATTTCCATGTCTCGGAAAGTCTCCCCAATTAGTGGAGATGTTATAATTCGCAGCAGTCTACGGGTGCATGGGAACGCCTAGGGAATATCTGGGGAACATTAAATCATTTACCAGGCAACTACGAGTATGTACTTAAGATGATTCAGAGCAGTAACTCATAGATCGAATGGGCTGCACCTGTGAATGGTTGATTGGATACAATGCCCCCACTCAAATAGTCACTAATTTACTTTGCCATTGACAAACTTTATTGCCACAATGGCTCTGCGAATACGCCCCCAAAACCAGTAAAAAACAAAAGTCGCAAAAAAACCCGCGGAAGTAAGTTTACGGTGTGAAACAGATTTCTGACTTATTTGGCCAACATTTGGCAAGGTCAATGTCGGGTGTGCCGTCGTCACCGGCCATGCCCAAAGCAACTCCGAATCTGCCGTCTGCAGAAGATCATTTAAGCGGAGCAAGAAAGCCAACTGGAGGCAACCAGTTGATGACGTTTCGGCCAAGATTTACGCTTCGTTTCGCGCTTCTTGTGCGTGCAAAGTTCCGCTCGCTGGCGCCTGGCCTGGGGATTGTCATTTTTGGGCCCGGTGAAGGTCTGCAAGTTTTGCGGCAAACATATTTTTGGAAATTTTATACCCAAGAACTTTTCCGCTATATAACTTATTTTGCTCTGCTGGCTAGTCTTCAGTTGACTGTGGACTAGGCCACAGATTAGTTGCACCTCTTGGATACGATACGGAATGAATCTGGCAGCGCGCTTGGCTCTGCTGAGTCTCCTTCTCACTGCCGTCGTGGCGCAGAGGAGTAGCAGAACGAGATCGGATCGCCCACAGGGACGTACCTTGGGTCTGTTGACGCCCCTGCTGCTGGGCCTCGGTGGTGGTGGTGGATCTCTCTTCGACGCTCCAGTTGCGCCAGTGGCTCCACAGCGACCCGTGGGTGGCGCTGCAGCAGGAGCACAGTCGGATCAGTACTACGGCAGCAGTTATCCCAGCTACAACTACAGGCCCAGCTACAATCCGTACGGATACACGAGTAGCTATCCAGGCTACGGCTACGGCTACGGCTATGGCTATCCGGGATTGGGTCTGGGTTACGGATCCAATTACTACCGGCCCAGCTACAACTACGGTGGATATCAGCGACCGCAGCCATATACCGGCAACTACTACGGCTACCGGCCAAACTACACCGCAGGAGCAGGAATTGGAGGAGGAGCAGTGGGCGGTGGCTATCCCTCGTATGCCAGCTACGGCAGTACGGCTGGAGTTTCAGCCACGCCCGCGTCGCCTGCATTGGGAGTGGGTGCTGGAGGTGGAGCGGGAGCGGGAGCGGGAGCTGGAGCTGGACGTCCACAGCTATCCACCGAACAGACAGCACAGTTGGCCGGACTCTTAGGCCAGGCCCTCGGCAGTAGTCTGCGACCATACTTGGCCAACGGAGGTGCAGCGGGCGGCGGAGGAGCAGCAGCAGCAGGCCTGGGTGGGGCAAATCCACAGGCACTAAGCGGTCTGCTGGGCCTGCTCGGCTAGACAGGCCTCAAGTCATTCAGTATTACCGATGTCCAACGATGGGTGGGTCTTTCCATAGAGATCGCTTTGTTAAAGCTTTGCCGTGGGCTTTGAGTCTGGTTTTTCTCCCTCTTCAGGCCCATGCAAATTAGTGTTAATAAAAATTGTTAATAAGAATCGAATGGTGGTTGGGTCAGGGCTGAGATCACCCCTGAAGATGCACGACAAGTGCACTTCAATTAGAAGTGCGCGAAGTGCAGGCGAGTATAAAAGGTGTCTGTGGCCCCCGGCCGGCTCACAGTTACACTGGAGAGGATGGACCGAATGCAGCTCATCTTGGTCTTTGCTTTGGCAGCACTTCTGGGAGCAGCAATGGCCCAGCCAGAAGAGCAGCCCATAGCCCTGGAGGATGTGGCCGATGTGGGTGGCCAGCATGCAGAGGAGGGAGAACGTCCGGCCCGTTGGCTATGGGGCGGCTGGGGTGGAGGATGGCATGGAGGCTGGGGCGGCGGTTGGCGTGTTTCGTATCGCCCCTGGGGCTATGGCTATCGCAGCTACTGGTGATAGCCACTGAGACAAAAATACAAATTAACCCATTCCCAACAACATAAGCAGCTTTTTCTTGTTAGTTTGTTTACTGCCACGCAAAAAGCTCCAAGTTTCGGATAAAGCGCAGTTAAAGCTCCGCGAAGTGTTCGAACTGCGATTCAAATGAGTTCCACGAATTGGGCCATCTAAAATCGCAGTTTGTTTGTGTCGCTGGCATTTTATTGCAAAACATTCAATTTAATCTAACATAAATGCAAAAAAATAGTCAGCAAGAACGGGAATAACAACAGACGTGGGCTCCAAATAAAAGGCCGCTGCTTGGGCTCAGGCATCAACAGTTGCTCGCAGCACATTGCTCTCAATCATCTCAAATCATCCTCAAAATCAACAACGACTCAAGATGCGTCTGATTCTACTCGCACTCATCGGCTTCCTCTGCCTGGCTTTTGTCTACGGCCAACTGAATCTGCTGGACGTGGCTGACCAAGGAGCTGCCCATGCCAACGCCGGTGATCGCGAGGCGCGTGGCTATGGAGGCGGAGGTCACTATGGAGGAGGCGGACACTACGGAGGAGGCGGTCATGGTGGACATCACGGTGGTCACCATGGCCACTACGGTCGCTAGTCCATCTCTCGAGATGTTTGTTTGTATCCGATAATAAAATCATATTCTTAGAGGCAATTACGACAGAGTCTGCATATCTTTTGCTTGTCAAATATTCAAGTCAGAGTTACATAAAACTGAAGAGTAATAAGCTTGCTCTTGACGTCGTCTTTAGACCATTGGCTTTCCAGCAGATAGTCAACCTCGGGCAAGGGCAGAAGCGCTGTGAAAAAACCCATAAATATACAAGTGATATGGGGGAGGGAACAACTGTTAACAAACATCATTAATGGGGCACGCATGGTTTAGGTTCGAGTGAGAACTTATAAAAGCAAAGAAGTAAGCAGCAAAGGAAAGGCTTGTAGCCATTCAAGCGCTTGTACAAAGCAAAATTAACCTGAAAGGTTGAGAGAAAACTGCTCTATGAATCATTATACTATGATTATTTGACTGGCAATGCATACCCAGAGCTTTGTAATTGGAGCCTTTCAAAGTCACATATTTGTAGCTTCGATTGTTTGACTTTAGATAGAAGTCTTCCACTTTGCATAGATTCGCATCCTTTGTGGCCATCTTCAATGCCATTAAAGAGATAAATCTTTCAATGTGTCCAGCTACTTACCCCTACAAATAAATACAGCAGCACAATGAGTTTCTCCTGGATGTTCATCATTGTGCGCCGATGTATTTTGGATATTGAAGAGCCAACGTGCACTGAAATGACTCGCATCAAACGTTTATCGAAAACGGCCAAATAATTATCGTTGGCTATTAGTTGGTAAGCCAAATTAAGGCATTATTATTGTGTGTTTAAGAGCACATCTTGATTAGATTATCAACATTTAAGGGCAATCGTGAAACGCGTGAGCGAACATGAGGGGCTTGTCCCTATGCTGATTAATATTTTACAGTGATGAACGGAAGAATAATGTTGTATCAATTGTAAAGCTTTTCATATACATATGGCTCTTGCCAAAGCTCGGGTTATACTCTACACATTTCTGCCAAAGCTCAAGCCAAAGCTTTGTTCAGCTCTCTGTTATGGTGAAGCGAGGGGCTGTTTGCATATTATCGTACCTCGCACGAGTTGCTGAAAGTTGTTAAATTATTGTTTATATTTTGGCATATGTATATCAAAAAACACTTTGAATGCTTCCACAGAGAACCTGTTCGAAATGCATAGAATAGGTTCAATGGCTTATAAGTTCATAACTCTTTCGCTTTCTTGATCGACATTCGTTCCTGACATTCACTAAACAATTGCAAGAACAATTTCCATTAGAATCCTTGTGAATAAATACACACTGGGAACGCCACAATAAGTTTAAAGAGAGTCAACGATTGCTTAAAGTTCTCAAGTGTCCAAGGTAAATATTTAATTAATTATTTCGCTAAATCGTCGTCGTATCGTTTATGTGTCAGTTGCCGACTTTCTAGATGTGAAAGTAGAACCCAAACAGGTACTCAGCCAAATTAGAGCGCATTTGAGCAGCAATCAAGTGATCAATGCATCAACCCAACCACTTAGGAGCCGCACAAAGCATCCCAAAATGAGACATTAGCATTTGAAATGATTCAACGACAATAACGACTTGGGTGTAATAATCTCATGGTGAAATATTGCCACAAACAAACAGAACCCGGTCGAAACCAAAAAAGCCCCTAAACACTCGGCTGTCTATACCAAATATTCTCTCACAAGTGTGGATGTACATACGTACGAGTGCACCTTGGCTTGGGTTGGGTTAGGCTTTACTAGAACTGCTGGGCTTCGTACTGATGATGCGTACGAGAACAGGAACGACAGCTCATCCCAGCGCTCGGGGCAGCAAATAAAAGGCCCCTGGCCGAGAGGATAGATCATCAGTTGCACTCCAGACTTCAGTTCAATTCAATCGGCAACAAATATCCCACAACTCGAAGAAGATGCGTCTAACACTGCTCGCCCTCATTGGCGTCCTGTGCCTGGCCTGTGCCTACGCCCTGGACAACCAAGATGACAACCAGAACAACGACCAAGTGATTGGACTGCTGGATGTGGCCGACCAGGGAGCTGCCCATGCGAACGAAGGCGACCGAGAGGCTCGCCAGTGGGGCTACGGAGGCGGTGGCTGGGGACGCGGAGGATATGGCCGCGGCGGATGGGGTGGCGGCCGCGGTGGATGGGGTGGCGGTCGCGGTGGATGGGGTGGCGGCTACGGTCGTCGTGGAGGATGGGGTGGCTGGGGCGGCTGGGGCCGATAGGCTGGCACTGTCATCCAAATGGATTGACAACCGACCACGCCTCTCGCATCGCCACATCAGGATGACACCTCCAGATGTTTGGGCGCCAATAAAGAACATTTAGCAATGCAAAATCCCCCGACTTGTCTCTCATTTACAATGTTCAAAGAGGTGTCAGCGTGGACGCCCTATAATTAGCCATGTCCTGGCGGACACCAAGTCACACACATCACAGCCATAAAAGGACACCTTCGACCTGCAGATGGCACAGTTTGGGGCTGCAACATGTCGACAACGGAAAACTTTCTCCTGGTGCAGAAGGCCACCATTGCCATGCTGGGCTTTGATCTCTTCAGCGGCTCTGGCGAGATGTGGAAGTATCGGCACAGGGGCATCAATGTCTACTCCATTGCGGCCATCTTTCCGTTCATTGTGGCGGCAGTGATCCACAACTGGAAGAACGTGATGCTGCTGGCGGACGCCATGGTGGCTCTGCTCATCACCATCTTGGGCCTGTTCAAGTTCAGCATGATTATCTATCTGCGAAAGGACTTTTGGCGCATGATTGACACGTTCCGCCACCTGATGACGCATGGTGAGTGGAGGACTCTGTACTTTTAGTCCTCTTATTGATCCTCCTCCTGTCTCATTAGAGGGCGCGCAGGGCGATGAGTATGCGCAGATCATAATCGCGGCAAATAAACAGGATCAGCGGGTGTGCGGCATCTTTCGGACTTGCTTCCTGCTCGCCTGGGCCCTGAACAGTGTCCTGCCCTTTGTGCGCATGGGTCTGAGCTACTGGCTGACGGGACATGCCGAGCCAGAGCTACCCTTTCCCTGTCTGTACGTATCTTTTGCAGCATGTGGAACCCCATTTATTAAGTCATTCCCCGCAGCTTTCCCTGGGACATCCACAACAATCGCAACTATGCGCTGACCTTCTTGTGGTGCGCCTTTGCCTCCACGGGCGTGGTGCTGCCCGCCGTCAGCCTGGACACCATCTTCTGCTCCTTCACGAGCAACCTGTGCGCCTTCTTCAGGATTGCCCAGTACAAGGTGCTGCGCTTCAAGAGCGGCACCCCGGAGGAGTCGCAGGCGAAGCTCAACAAGACCTTCGCCCTGTACCAGACCAGCCTGGACATGTGCGCGGAGCTGAATCGCTGCTACGAGCCCATCATCTGTGCCCAGTTCTTCATCTCCTCGCTGCAGCTGTGCATGCTCGGCTACCTCTTCTCGATCACGTTCACCCAGACGGAGGGCGTCTACTATGCCTCCTTCATTGCCACGATCATCATCCAGGCGTACATCTACTGCTACTGCGGCGAGAACCTGAAGACGGAGAGCGCCCTCTTCGAGTGGGCCATCTACGATAGTCCCTGGCACGAGAGCCTGGGCACCGGTGCGGATTCCTCCGCCATCTGCCGCTCCCTGCTGATCAGCATGATGCGTGCACATCGCGGATTCCGCATCACCGGCTACTTCTTCGAGGCCAACATGGAGGCGTTCTCATCGGTGAGAACAAAGGTTAAGCACCGAAATTCGTTTGTTGATTTATGTTTCTGCTTATGCCACGCAGATTGTCCGCACCGCCATGTCCTATATCACCATGCTGCGCTCTTTCTCGTAGAGGAGGGGATCGTTCGATGCTATTCTTGGCGCAATATTTCTTTTATTGCTGAGCGAATTTTACATATCTTACAAAAATTATTACGTATCTCACACAGTTCGTAAAGCACTAAGTATTAGAGTAGATTAGAGATGGGGACTGGAAGACTGTGGATGCTGGATGCACGAAATGCACGAATGAAGCACGAAGGTGGGGATGTGTTGTGTCTCAGCTGGAATGGATTAATGGGTGGGAATGTATGCATGTACCTCTCTGGTGAGCAGCTGCCCGCTCTCTCTCTCTCTCTCTCTTTCTTGCAGAACTTGAAGATTGGGGTTGAAGCACGGAATGGGTTTGATTACTTGAAGAATCTGCCAGGGGCGTTGGCGGCACGGACGGGAGGTGGTGTTGGTATGTGGGCGCCCTCGGCGCGGTATCCGTTCTCATCAGCAATGTAGGTGATGGTGTAGACGACGCCATCGGGTCCGGTGTAGGAGTACGATCCCTGCATCACCTGTAGTACACAGAGAGAGAGAGAGAGAGAGTTTGAATTGCGCCTCAAAGTATGCCAGCGTCGAACGGGGCCACCACCCGAAAGTAGACCCACCTGCGCCTCCACCTGTGTGCCGGGATTCTTCAGGTAACCCGCCTCGTCAGCTCGAATGCCATTGCTCGTCTCGTAGCTGTCGAGAATCAGTTATGCTTCACTTCTACCTGAGTTCGCTAATCGATTCCACTCACTTGTACTGATACGATCCATCGGGATTGAGGTCAAAGTTCTGCTTCAGTATCACAGCGTTGGCGTCGAACGAGTTGGAGCGCGGTGGGGGCAGGCCGCGCTGGGGCTGGGCATGGATGGCGCCCAGACAGCAGAGGACCAGGGCCAGGGCAAGGAAGGAGGCGTGGGTGAGTGTCTGCATGACCTTTTGAAACGAAACGGGCGTTGGTTAAATAGAGTCATAACTGATGGCTCAGCCGCGATGGAGCTGCCCGAGGCGATGCTCGTTCCCATCAGCTTTGAATGTCAAACTCGTTGCTGTGCAATTAGTCGATACAAATATGCATATACCATTATGTATATGTATATGTATTTATGTATGTGTGCATAACTGATGCATCGATTGAGTTGAGCGAATTTTGAAAGTTCTTCAAAGTTGATGGATGCTGAGTGAAGGTCGTGGGAAAATTATCCATAAAGCCACAAGAGCGGCCCTTCTCTGCAGTCCAAGGATGCTATCTAGCTAGGATCTGTTTCACTTTAAGGATCGAGAGGAGAACCACGAGAACCACGATGGGAAACTCACTTCGAATTAGCGACTTGATTCCGATTAATGCGCTGGGGAGGCTCGTCAAAAGTGTTTTGACTTGAATGCAGTTGCCACAAACGTTTTTATACCAAAACAAAAAGTGCAGTCTCTGCAGTGCGCAGTCGCAGCAGCCCAAGCGAAGGCAGTGGCAGTGGCAGAGACAGTTGCAGCGACGCCAGCGGCATCCGCCACGAGATGCAGTTGGAAGAGGAGCAGGTTGAGGGGCACCAAACAGTGTTTGTCCGCCTGAATCAGCGGCAGAATCGGAAGAGCTGCTGCTGCTGCTGCTGTACCACTCGGCGTATGCGCAACGCCCATTTGCATTTGAAACTCGTTGCGCATACGCGACGTATGCCGAGATCGGTTCTCCACATCTACTCGGGCATTAATTTATGTGAATTAGCAATGCGAACTTCATTTGATTAAGGCCTCTGCCTGTGCCTGTGCCTGTGCCTCTGCCTTTGCCTCTGTCTCTTCTGCTGGAAGCTCCATTCGCCGCAATAATTCTCCAGCTCAAATATTAATTAAAAGATTACTGATGTTGCAATTGGATTTATTTTGATGAATTGGCCATTTGGCCACTCAAGCACTTGCCCACTTGGATTGCAATGCAGATCCATAAAATATTCGCGGCATTTCTATTGACATTTGAATGGGCAGGCGGGGCGTGGCCAGCTTGTCCATTTGAATGCATCGTTAAAGCGCATTTTGTGGCTTTGTTTGCGGTTCTGGGATCTGGATATGTCTAATGTGTCTGCCCTTTGGTCGAATCTGCTCAAACTGCAATTTCGCTGACCGGGTCAGGCCTGGCACTCCTCTGCACCAGTTGCGACTTGCCAGAGCTTCCCTTTTCGCGAGCCGCTCTCCAATGCAAACCAAACCAAACCAAAACCATTCCCGGTTTTGCCGGCCGGCTGGCAGTGCAATTTTCGGCTTAAACTTTAAACTTTTGCAGCGTGTAGGAAATGTCAGTTGCAATTCATAAAAATTACAGCAATAACTGCTGCTGCTGCTGCTGCTGCTGCTGCAAAGCTGCAAAAGTAAGCAGTGAAACAGCTTCAGCTACAGCTCCCGCCAGTGCAACAAAGATGATCACGAAACATGATGAACATCGCCCGAGATTACACCCTACGCCCCTTACCAGCCACTCATCTCAGTCTGCAGTTGGTGTGCATTTTCCTTTTCGTACGTTTTCCATGTTACTTGGCCAATTTCGCGGTTGCCCGCGTTTTACTTCTGGCCTTCGCCACGTTGAATCTGCAGTTGAAGTCGCAGTCGAAGTCTGGCCGAGTGTTGTGCGGAGTGGAGTTCATTTTTGCAAATTCGACATACATCATTGACAATCCCCCTGGCAGAAATCTCTGGGATTACTCATCGTTTAGGTTATGTTTCTCATAACACTCCACTCCACACGGCGCAGTCGCAGGTTTCCCGTGTGAGATGACTGACTGATGCATCGCATGCGGGCCTCATGCCGATCCAATCTGAGCGCATTTTAAGTGCACCCAAAGTGCATCTTAATTTATGCCCCTTTGTCTTGTCGGTTCGCAATGCTACCCAATTCTAGCCTCTATGCTAATCGAGTGCAGTTTCCTAAACATTCGCAATCAATCAGCGATACACACACAGCGAGACTGAGATACTCTGAGAGATATTCGGGCATTCCAGCTGATGGATTGCCTTCCAGCAGATACTTGAAGCTGCTTTATAGCTGCGAGCGCCAAACTTGTTTGTGACGTGTTCCGAGGGTGCTGCTGCTGCTGCTGCTGTTTTTTCTGAAGATGATGAGGAATGAACCTGTCCAGGCAGCAGTTTCTCTCTGGAAGCGACACACACATCATTCGATGATTTTTAAGTGTTTTATTCGATCACACTCATTACATGGCTGCTCCATCTGTTGACCTTTAGCTCTCCTCGAGCTCTTTCTCCTTCTCTTCGCTGAATGTTGAATCATAAATATGCAAATCCCATGGCTCTGTGGCTCTGTGGCTCTGTGAGTGTTTTATTAAATCACATTCTGGCCGCTTCCATAGAATTTCTTTGGTGTTTTTTCCAACATGATTCGTTTTGTATTTTTGTTTTGTTTTGCTTTTTTCCTTTTTTTTGGGCAATGGTGACGAGATGGCGTAATGGGAATGGAAGATGCTAATTCGCGACTGCTGCGCACATTTAACATCGATATAAAAGCCTCGCGTGCCGTTGTAGTAGGCCAAGTTGAAAGCCAAACTCCAGCAGGAAAGCAACCAAGAACTCCCACTCCCAAAATGCTGAAGATCACAATCTGTTTGTTGGCCCTGGCCGCTGGAGCGTGGGGCGCCAGCATTGGTAGCACCACCACCGAGAAGCGCGAGATTGTGCCACTGCTGCGCTTCGAGACTGAGAAGAACCCTGACGGCTCCTTCCACTTCGAGTACGAGGGCGGCGATCAGTCGTACCGCCAGGAGCAGGGGCAGCTCCAGAATGCCGGCACCGAAGATGAGGCTTTGGAGGTCTCTGGCTCTTATCGCTACATTGATGCCGACGGCAACACGGTGGAGGTGCACTACACGGCGGGCAGGAACGGATTCGTGCCTATTGGCACCACCATTCCCAAGGAGATCACAGCTGTGGCCCAGGCTGCCGCCGATCTGCCGAACATCTCCGAAGAGGAAGAGCTCAGGCTGAAGCACCGCAGAGCTCGCTCCCAGGAGGTAGAGAAGCTGGAGACTGTGGTGGAGAAGGATCAAGCGCCCGCAGAGTCCCAGATTGTGCCAGTTGTTGTGGAGAAGGAAGCTGTGTCCCAGCTGAAGACTGTGGTGGAGAAGGAGGCTGTGGCTGAGAAGAAGGATCAAGTGCCCGCCGAGTCCCAGATTGTGCCCGTCGTCGTGGCTGTGGAGGAGGCTGTGTCGCAGCCAAAGACTGTTTCTGAGAAGAAGGATCAAGTGCCCGCCGAGTCCCAGATTGTGCCCGTGCAGGTCGTTCTCGAGTCGAAGCCAGCGGCAGAGCCAAAGAAGGCTGAGACCACGACTGCCTAAGACCTCGCAGAGGATTAGCTCTCCCCTAGATTCTACTTACTTTAAGTATTGTTACCACTTAGCCATGAAATCTGTGCACTCTAATTTAATTGTCTAGCAATAAATGAATCCCCAAACGAAACGAAACAATGCCAGTTGCATGCCAATTGAGGATTGGAATGTACCTCTCGAGGGAGCACAAGATGAGTTCATATTCTGCATATAAATGCTAACGTTTAGTGCTGATTTAAGCCGAGGAATATGACGGATAACAGAGCGGGTAATAAACTTGGAGCATGGGGGAATGGCAGACCCAATCTACTACGCTCCAAACAGTTGATACTTTATCCAGCTAGTAGGCACAGCCAATTCCCTCACTGTATGTACGAAATGGTTTATGCTAGTTGGATGCGCAGTTTGCAGCCAGCTGAAGCCTGCAACAAGGTCAATCATCTGCCAGAGCCACAGCGCTGCCAGTACGTAAAGGAAACGGCAGACTGCATGGACAACATTTATCTGATCAACTACCTCACGTGGCACTACTGCCATGTGGATTCGCGCAACAAGTTCAATGCCTTTTGGAGCATGCTGGCCATGACCGTGGTTGCCACTTATATCTTCTGGATGATGCAGAAGTCCGTGCGGGCATAGTGAGTCACGATCAGAGGAGAAGCAGACCCAGAGCTAATGCCAATGCTCCTCACGCAGCTTCTGTCCCACGCTCAAGGTGATGGCGGACACCTTCAGCATGAACGAGAATGTGGCCGGGGTGACGCTGCTGACCATTGCCAATGGATCGTCGGATCTGTTTACGGCCGTTGCCGGCATGCTGGTCTTCTCCAAGTGGGGCTTTCTCATGTCCATGGCGCAGACACTGTTCCACCAGACATTCGTGGCGGGATTGGTGATGCTCACGAGACCCTTTTACGTGGAGCCGGGCTACTTTCTGCGGGACTTTGGCTTTCTCTTTCTGAACACAACCTTCATGGACTTTATCCACAAGCGGGAGTCGGGCATCACGAAGCTGGGCGCCATTCCGGGTGCACTCATCTACCTGGCCCACGTCCTGGTGGCCATCATGGATCAGCGGCTGCTGGAGGCTCGCGTTCATCGTAGGCAGCTCCACTGTCACTCCGGATTCTTTGTACTGACTTGAAATCTTCGGCAGAACTGCAGAAAATTGAGAACAGCGAGCTGAAGGCGGAGCAGCTGGAGGAGCTCATGCGGCAAACGGATCTGGGTGTCCATCGAGAGAAGATCGATCGCAGTGCTGCCCGACATCGCGGTGGCGCCAACAGGCAGCTCTTGCAGCAGTTCTGGGCATCGATCTTCAGGTTCGACAAGGATCAATTCCGTCGCGGATCCTTCTTTGTGCGTTTCTATCTGTTGGTCAAGGAGCCCATGGAAATGCTGCTGCGTCTGCTGGTGCCCGTGGTGGATGTGGAGAAGCCCGACTACGGCTGGTCCAAGCTGCTCTGCTGCCTGCAGTTCATCATTTCACCCACCTACATCTTCTTCATATTGCGTGAGTGTGAGACATGCTCTGGCAGGCGACTCTTACTCAGTGAATATCTCCTCCTGCAGTCAAGGATGTCTCCCTTTTGGGCACCGCCGCCTACATCATGACCTTCTACATTATGCTGCCCCTGGGCTGCCTCATCTTCTGGCGCACGCGCACCGACACCACGCCAAAGTTCTTCAGGGTACGTTGGCAGCAAAAGTTGCTGCTTCCCCAAGTAATCTTCCTTTGTGAACAGTTCACGGCCATTCTGGGCTTCATTTCGGTCATCTTTCTGATCTTCTTTCTCACCTCGGAGGTGATGGCCATGTTCTTCACCATCGGCACCATCTGGCACATGAGCCAGTCCTTTGTCATGGCCACCGCCATCTGCTGGGGCCTCAATGCCGGCGACCTGGTGGCTGGCATAGCGCTGGCACGTCAGGGATTTCCACGCATGGCATTTGCGGCCACCTTTTCCTCTCCAGTGTTTGGAACCTTTGTCAATCTGGCGCTGCCCCTGGCCCTGGAGACAACCGTGCGCTCCGTGGCCAATGCATTCCCCGTAAGAGCGCCCGAAATGGAATCCCAAATGATTTTTGTGACTGTAAAACATTTAATGACAGGTGGAAGAGGGCAGCTTTGGGGAGACTGTCTGCATATTCGTGGAGGTGAGCCTGGTCATCTCTCTGATGTCCGCTCTGACCACCAACTTTCAGATGCGTCGCGCCTGTGGCATGCTACTCGTCGCCTACTATCTGTTCTTCCTGGCAGTGCTGGTGCTGCTCGAGACCGATGTGATCCATGCTTATGGAGTGGATAATTAGATAAAGAGAGAGGCAGAGAGAGAGGCAGAGGGAGAGGGAGAGGCAGAGTGTTCCCATGCTGCCATCAAATATGCAAATTCCCCTTGGCCAGATGATTTATGCCTCATTAAATGGCAAATTCGATTCTTTTGGCTCTTAATTTCCTCTTGTCGCAGCAGCTTCGCGCAATGCTAATGGACTCTGCGAGTGTGCTATGTAATGTGCCCCGCGGCTGTCCAACACAAGCCTCACTGTACACCCCGAAAAAGTGGACAAACGTGTGCTTAATCATACGGAATCATACGGGGGCATGGGAGTGCTTTCAAGGTCCCATCGGGGCGTCGGGGAATGTCTGATCAAAGCCTAAGCAAACATCTCGATGCTGAGATATGCAAAGCAGGAGGAGATTGTGGCTGAAGACAACAGCAAACAGACTCGAACAATTTCATAATTTCTATCAATTTTTCATTGCTTTGTATTGTTTTTTTTTTGGTAGTTTATTTGGACGCTGCAAACCTATGGCTCACGCAGTGCTTTTGGCTTATGTTCGGGCTCCTTGGGCAGATCCTTGGCTGCCTCGGCCACAGCTGTGATCTCCGGGTTGATGATGGAGCCGTAGGGCACGAAACCGTTCTTGCCCGCCGTGTAGTGCACCTCCACCTCCTGGCCATCCTCGTTGATGTACTTGTAGCTGCCCTTCACCTCCAGCGCCTCATCCTCGGTGTCCTTGTCGACGACGCTGGCCTCCTCGTGCCGGCTGGTTCCGTCCGCCGTCGAGTACTGGGAGTTGTAGGAGCCATCCTCGAACTTGTTCGTCTCCGAGCTGAGGATCTCAATCACTTCGCGTTCGCTTTCCACGGGCAGGGCATGGCCACAGGCCAGCACCACAGCCAGGACGAGCAGAGGAAGCTGCAAGAATAAATGAACATCCAATCCTTATGTCTTCAGGTAATCCACACTTACGAATTTGTGCATTTTGTCGCAGTGGAGTAGGGCAGAAAGCGAGAGTTGGAACGCGTGTGAGCACAAAGTGGATCAGCCAGTTGGCTTTTATACTCCCTCTTGGCCACACAGATCCCGACATAGATACGCAATATTTCGGTTATCATCCGGCAACAGCAGCAGCAGCAGTAGCTGATTCGCTCTGCTCTTTTCACTTAAACATGCCAAACATGTTTGCATCCCATCCCGTTTTATGTGGTCTGCCGGTACGTCCGAAAACTTCCAATTGGCTGCAAATGTCAGGGTCGACACTGGGTCAGTCTGCACCAGAAATGTGTCAATCAGATCTGGTCTGTTGCTCCCCTGAGTCTTGCCTGAGTCAGATCTGGTGCCGATGACGGCGCCGATTGATGACACCGATCAGTGCTTCCATTAGCGGGCTCTGCGTCTCCACAGTGCATAACTTACACGGCTTCACCCACTCTCGAGGTGTCGCGATTAATCAATCGCACCTCGCCTCGTTCCGTACCAAGCCCACAAATGTTTCCACTTGCCATGTAAAATGTCAGCATTGTTGCAATTTACATTATGATCTGTGCACTGAGACGAAATGATTGTGAAACCAAGCAGAAAGCGACCTAAAGATCAGCAAATACTCTCCCGATGCGAGATCAAAAATATCTATTTTTAAATGAATTAAAATCATATTTTATTTCGAGAATTTCGTGTCTGGTGCTGTGGCTGTTGCTATGTCTTTTATCACAGTGTCCCCTAACGAACTATAACTCGGCCTGCGATGATCGTCTTCCCGCTGACAAATGCCTTGAATTAGAATTTTGATGCGGCGCATAAACCACTTCCATTTGCATTGCGCTATTAATTCAATAAGCAGAAAATTGTAGAATCACTGGGGAGTTCCGGGGCCCCATTATAGGCGATCGTGTTGGTATCGTCATTAATTTGATAGGGTGATAAATACGGATTCATTGGCCCAGCGACGACATCGACAGCGACACCGATAAACCGACATTTGGTTCGTTTGGGAAAAGGGCAACCATGGCCCGCAGTGGGAGATGCTGGCCACAAGACTGCAATTGCCACAATTTATAAATCTGACAGCTTAACTAATTTCGAAAATCTCCCAATTGGCAATGTTGTGCAAATTAAATATCCCATCTCCCGCAGCTGCTCCGAGCTGGAGCGGACTCGGGGCACTCCTCTTCGATCTGCGATCTGCGATCTTCTCGGCTGCTGGCTGCTGGCTGCTTCTGTACTTGTGCGAGGAATGTGTGCCCCATCAAAGTAAATGTTCAAGCGCCAACTCATGACTCTATAAAGGTTTATTTATATTCGATCCAGCTCTGATGTGGAAGCCTCGCGGCACAAAGCCATTCTGGTCCGCCACATAGCTGACCTCCACTCTGTGGCCGCTGTCGTCGAGGTAGCGATAGACGCCGGACACCTCCAGACTGTCCTCCTTGACGATGCCCACCTCCTCGCGATAGTTGCCATTGGCCGCCTCGTAGGCAAAGAAGTAGGAGCCGTCGCTCTGCTGTTCGGCCAGAGACTTAACGATGCCAATCGAGGCAGCACTCTCCGCTGGCCAGCAGCAGCAGGCCAGAATGAGCCACTAAGAAGAGAGGTTTACAAGGGTAAAAGGGGAATATTCATGAGCTGCCAGCTGCCAGCTGCCGCTTCTGCTTACCAATGCGAACATGATTTATGCTAATACTGGGCGCGGACAAAAGATTCTGCGCTTTTTATAGCACTCGGCCTGTCCGAGCCAAAGAGATTTTAGACAGCCAATTCTGGCTTTTGGTTATGCAATAATGCTGCTGATAATGTTAGCTTTTTGAGGTCAGTAGAAAGTAGCAGCAGCAGCAGCAGCAGCAGCAGAACGGAGAAAGAGAGTTTGTTGAACCTGCAGACTGTGGCTGGCTGCAGATTTGCAATTCAAATGATTCAGCAGAGATCCGAGATCCGATCTGTGTGGCTCTGTCATGTTTACACGCTGCAGATGGAGCGTAATCTTTGGATCGTGTGGGGGCTGAGAGGTGCAGCACTTGGCAGGCAGTTAATAAAATGTTGTCAAATTTGGCTGCGACTGTGTGGCATGCCCCCGCAAGCGAGAGCGAAAGGTGCAGAAATGGTAACGGCTGAGTGACTGCAAAACGTTCCGTTCTTCCATCCAACCTCTCACCGCTAAAACCTTGCAGATTGCAGACTTCCATGCAAATTCCGCACCAAAACGTCGGACACTCTGAGATGGAGCTGTTGGCTTTTGGCGCTCCATCACAGCTGTTACAGTGGGTGGGCACCTGGCAGTGTGGCAGTGTGGCACTGAGAAGCGACTAACATTTATGTATGCCAAAACGGCAAGACAAAAAGAATTCAATAATAATTTCCAGCAATTTCGCAACGCCAGAAGTTGGATTTTTGGCATTTGCCTTGGCCCGCCCAGTTCCAGATTCAGTTTCCAAGTTTCCAACTAACCAAGTTTTAGCTTCAGTTTCGTGGCTCTCGGGGCAACGTGTTAATAAATTGATTCTCAGCTGCACAGTCGTCTCGCCCATTCGGCATGGAAATGCAATAACTTTCTGGCACCACACTGTTGCACAAATAGAAACCCATTAATGCAAAGATGCAATGCCAACGAGGTCGTAATTTAGAGCGGCGACACATTAACCTTTACAGAGTCAAAGTGGCACTTGCAGTTGCAATTCCTCTAGCCGGAACCAGAAGCCAGACGAGATCTGCACTCGGCATTACGCACAGCCTCAGCCTCAGCCTCAGCCTCAGTCTCTGATTCAAAGAGAATCAATTAGCTGCGCTGGCGGCCATAATTTCTGGCCTGGTCTGGCAATGCAATTACACAAATGTCAAGCGCGTTCTCTCCCACCCAATCTGCCGACAAAAATGCCACAATTTTCCAGCGTCCGTGGACCATTAATAATCCTCGCAGTCGCTGTCCAAATTGGAGTTACACTCGATGGCAGCGTCGTGGAAGGAGTGTCCGTCTCTTTCCTCTCTAATGTAGTTTGCTCATCGAGCCACATTGTACGCTTGTCTCGCATTTCTGCATAAATTTCGGGACAGCGGGGGTAACAGCTTTTATGTTTCTCTTGGGGCTCTTCCAGCTTCGTGAATTATTCAAATGGCAGCCACATCCCGCGAATGTTGTGAAATGTGGGGCAGCATGTTTATAATTAATATTGATTCGCTGTCTATACAGTCATCCTGCAATATATACCCAGACCAACAGGAAGAACCGCTTATAACTCTGTTTAATGTCCCAAATTTAGCGCCTAACAATGAGTCCTTAGCTTGACTGATTTGTCGCAACATTCTATACTTTATTTTATATCTGGCATTGGCATTAGCTCTACTAAATATATTTGTATAAATACTTGTTTAATCAATTAATTGTTACACCAAATCTAGCACCATTTACTCCATAAATAGTTACTGTGTAGCGCACACAAAAGTCGCGTCTGCTTACTGTGGATTGTATTGTATTTATTCCATCAACAATTCTGTAGCTGTAGAATACTTTTAGGCAGCCAAACGAAGCCATGAACTAGCTAGTCTATAACTAGCCTAAAGCCAGGCAGCAGAGAATGATATCTGCTGTCTGCCACAAAATTTGCCGCCAGGTGGGAAATGACTTCACTTCCAGAATGACTTTTGTTTTGGCCAGCCACCAATCATTGGCTTGATTCAGAGTGGAAAACCTCATTTCATCTAGATTTGCATAAATGCAATTAAAGCTGAAAACATGGAACAAGATGCGAATATGTTCGAATTTTGAATGGCTGCGCCAACAGATGACAAACGAGATCGAGACAGAGAGCACGGGCTAGGCATTTACAAATGACTGATGGCTATGAGCAATCGCAGAATGATGAATGATTGTGGCATGGAGACAATGGAACAGCCCCAGGGGAAACTCTCTCAGGCTGGATAAGGGTTCCTGGTGGCTAGCTATGGCCTCATGGCACTTGGAGATCAGTTTGAGGTCCAACAACCACCTTGACCTCTGGCCAGAATGGCTTACGGTTGGAGGGGAGCGGTGACGGGGGAGGTGTATGCGCTGTACTGTCAGCACATAACTCACATAAACACCTTAGGAGTGCCTCAGGTGGAGACACGAGCTAGAGCAAAAACGCATCATTTGCATATGGGGGTCGGCAGCAGAAGCAGCAGCAGCAGCAGCAGCAGCAGCAACAGCAGCAGAACCAGAAGCCACCGATGGATGGATCATAAATAAGTGCGCGCATCGGGAAAACGCCGGAAGAGGCCAACAGTGGGGTTGGTCGGCTGGGCTGGCCACCATGAAGATATCAATCAGGCAACGAAATTCGTTTGTCCTTCTGTCAATGGCCGATAAAAAACCAATAAAGCTGCCATCTGTGGCATCTTGTTAACACGACTCGCAAGCCGCAGATAAATAACACGCCACTGGGCCAAGCGCAAGATAACCATCGAGACAGATCCAGTCCCCCACGAGCCCCCTGGTTGGAGCAGAGGCAGAGGCAGCACATCGGTGGCAGGAAGCAGCGTCGCTGGGTCGATTGTTCTTATGATTAGGCCGCGCTTTAGGGCCCAGCTTTAGGCCCCGCAGTCTTGCTCGAGATTCGTATAAATACGGGCCGCAGTCGGTGCCGCAGTTGCAGTCGGGGCACGGCATTCGTTCAGTGACTTCCAGTGGCAGCACATCCCATCTCAGATCACAACAGATCGCGGCTCGGTTCGGCACTTCAATTGGAATCTGTTTTCCCACCACAGCGAACGAAAGTGAGACATCAGGTTAATCGAGCGTGTAATTTGTGCGACGTTCGCGGGATTTACGAGCCACTTCATCCAGCTAAATGCCCGCTCGCAGCCACATGAGGCAGCTGCGCTGGGTGGCCTGCCTCCTGGCCGGCCTCTGCCTCAGCGCGTGTCGGGCACAGCTGCCGGGCACAGGCTTCGGGCAGCGCCAGCAGGGAGTCCAGCAGTCACCGTTTGGAGTGCGCCAACCCCCACTGGGCCAGAGCCAGGGTCTCTTTCCGGCACAGCGCAGTCCGCTGAATCCGCTGGTCAACCCTCTGGCTCCGCCTCTGGCCGGAGCAGCTCTCCAGAATCCCTATCGATACAACCAGTACCAGCAGCAGAACTATGTGCCCATCACGGCCTACCAGAACGAGCTCAATCTGGACGGCAGCTTCTCCTACGGATACTCCTCTGCCGATGGCACCACGGCCCAGGCCCAGGGCTATGTCAAGAATCTCGGCTATGGCGAGGGCGTTGAGGCACAGGTGGGTACCCAGTGTGTGGCATACTTTTGGGCGAGCATCGTGCAATCTATTTTCCTGGTCGCCGCAGGTCATTCAGGGCTCCTACTCGTACACCTCGCCCGAGGGCACGCCCATTACGGTGCGCTACATTGCCGATGAGAACGGATTCCGAGCCGAGGGCACGGGCATTCCAGCCACTCCGCCGCCGTACTTTGTGGGCGCAGGACAACAGCCTTACCAGCAGCAGGGCGTGCTCAATCCCAATCTGAATCCATACCAGACGCCCTTCCGCCAGCTGCCCTCACCGCTGGCCACGACTCCTTTTCGACCCCAGGGACCAGGACAACAGCCGCTGAATGCATTGCAACAACAGCAACAGCAACAGCAGCAGCAGCAGCAGCAGCGAAACTTCCAACAGCAGCAGCAGCCAAACTCTGGACAGTATCAGCCGGAGCAGCCGTTCAATCAACTCCATTCCGGACGCCTGCCAGCCCAGTATGCCGGGCAATTTGGTCAGCAATTTGGCAGCAATCTCACATCCCAGCAGGCCCAGCAGAATGCCAACAACCAGCAGCAACAACAGCAGCAGCAGCAGCAGCAACAACAGCAGCAACAGCAAAAGGAGCAGCAGAATGAGCAGCAGCAGCAGCAGGCGTTGATTACACAACAATTGCGGGGCAGATCGAACCAATTGGTGGATCCCTATGGTTACAATCAGTATGGCAGACGCTTCAAAAAGTCCCCGAAGAAGTGATTGCTCCCAACGAATTGACCAAATTGATTCTTACATTTAGTGCATCTACTTAGTCGCGTTCAAAGGCATGAAATACATGCAACAGAAAAGTCAAACTGCTGTCTATAATTATTATTCCTCATATTGTTTGTGCAGAATATTAGTTTTTAGCTGTGAATTCTTTTGGAAACACACATTCTGCATTTACAATTTCCGATTAGCTGCAGCAATTTAGTCGAGTTCCGCCAGAACAAGGTTTGTGTCTCCGCTGTGGGGAGTAGCTATGTCTTATTCACCACGCTCATCGAGACAAGCGCTGGCCAGAAAGCGAGATAGAGATATTGCCCTGTGGTGAAGACAGTTCACCTCACTCCAGAGCTGTCAATGTTCGTGGCGTGCTATTAGCGACTGTTTTAAGAGCACAAATAGTGGTATTGTTTGCCCCTTACTTGCAGGTTTAACTGCAGTTTCCTTTACTATGAGGCTTCAACTACTTTTCTGGTAATATCAATGCAGTCACTAAAATTTACTACAATTCATTTATTGCCTTGTCAGAGAGAGTATTGGTTCGGGGAAAGCTTACACAAATAATTAATAATTTAAGCGCCACACTCGGTGGCACGAGTATTCAAGGATTGCGTTGCACTGAGGTTTCATCGATCGGAGTGATGTGGTTTTGGCTGGAAGGGAAGCGAGCCCGTTGGGCTCAATAGCTGTAGCCAGTCTGGGGATTGAAGTCCCCGCTGCCTCGTCCACCACCAGGGAGTCCGGGTGGGGGCGGGATATAGCTGCCACCTGGAGCACCACCGCGTCCTGCACCACCGCCGCCTCCTACGATCAAGAAAATGGATAAATCAAATTGCACAGATAAGAATTTATAAGTCGCCCTCTCACCTTGGCCACCGCCTCCACCAGGGGCGCCACCAAATCCTCCTTGACCACCGCCTCCTGGGGCACCCCCGCGACCGCCTGGGGAAAGGAAAGTTTTGTTTTGAAATTGCAAAGATATTCCTTTATTAATCTTTTTCTTACCTTGTCCACCGCCTCCGCCTGGTGCGCCAGGACCCCCTCCAAATCCACCCTGGCCACCCGCTCCACCGCGACCGGCTCCTCCGCCATAACCTGCACCACCGCCGCCTCCTGGGATGACGAAAGTTAAATATTGAAATTGCAAACTTATTATTATATTAATCTTCTCCTTACCTTGTCCACCGCCACCTCCGGGGGCACCACCACGACCGGCACCACCTCCATAGCCTGCCCCACCGCCGCCTCCTGGGACAAAGAAAGGTTAAAATTGAAATTGCAAAGATATTCCTTCATTAATATTCTCCATACCTTGGCCACCGCCTCCGCCTGGTGCGCCAGGACCACCTCCAAATCCACCCTGGCCACCGCCTCCTGGGGCACCACCACGACCGGCTCCACCGCCATAACCTGCTCCGCCTCCGCCTCCTGGGACGAGGAAAGTTTAATATTGAAAATGTAAATAAATTCCTTCATTGATCTTCTCCTTACCTTTGCCACCGGCTCCTCCTGGGGCGCCAGGTCCACCGCCATAACCTCCCTGGCCACCGCCTCCTGGGGCACCACCGGCGCCCGGTGCACCACCGCGTCCAGCTCCACCGCCATAGCCTGCACCACCGCCGCCTCCTAGGGGAGGAAAAGTTGTATTTTGAAATTGCACGAATATTCCTTTGTTAATGTTTTCCTTACCTTGGCCTCCGCCTCCTCCAGGGCCACCAGGTCCACCTCCAAATCCTCCTTGGCCACCGCCTCCTGGAGCGCCACCACGACCGGCTCCACCGCCATAGCCTGCTCCTCCGCCGCCTCCTAAAATTGAGAAAGTTGTCGGTGATTTCCCTAGATAGATAATTCTAAATCTTGTTTTTACCTTGGCCTCCGCCTCCTCCAGCGGCGCCACCAAATCCTCCTTGACCACCGCCTCCAGGAGCACCACCGCGGCCAGCTCCACCTCCTCCTCCAGGACCGCCAGGGCCACCGCCATATCCTCCCTGGCCACCGGCTCCTGGTGCACCGCCACGACCGGCTCCACCGCCATAGCCCGAGCCTCCGCCGCCTCCTGTGAACAATAAAGTTTGCAGTGAAAATCTGAAATATATTTCATTGGAACTCTTCTCCCTACCTTGTCCACCGCCACCTCCAGCGCCGCCACCAAATCCTCCCTGGCCACCGCCTCCAGGGGCACCACCTCCTAGGATCATGAGAGTTTTATATTGAAATTGCAAAAATACGCCTTAATAATTGTTATCCTTACCTCCTCCAGGACCGCCTGGCCCACCTCCATATCCTCCCTGGCCACCACCTCCAGGTGCACCACCGCGACCGCCTCCACCGCCATAGCCTGCTCCGCCGCCACCTCCTAAAATCGAGAAAAATGATTTATAAAAGTTCCACAAGCTTTAGGGCTCTGGTTTTGGTGTCGATTTTGAGTTGATGCATCAATGAGTAATTTTTTTTTTTGGTTTTTCAATTAAGATTCGTTTTGTTGCATTATTTACCTTGGCCACCGCCTCCTCCAGATCCTCCTCCATAGCCTGTTCCGCCTGCGCCACCAGCTCCTCCACTGAAGCCACCACCCGGAAGTATATTAATGCCCTGAGCAGCCAGCGCCTTGGCAATGGCCTCCGGCACGGGCGGTGGCGTGGGCAGGGCTGCTCCGGAGGGCACGAACCCGTTCTCATCGGCCGTGTAGGAGATCTCGACCAGCTCGCCCTCGGGATTGGTGTACGAGTAGGAGCCCATGACGGAGGGGATCTCGCTGTCGGATCCCTTGTTCTTCACGGTGCCCTCCTCCTGCGCCTTGATGCCGTTGCCCGTCTCATAGCTGAAGCGGTAGTTGCCGTCGCCGTCGTTTTCGTTCACAAACGACAAAATCGGAATGGGCGGACCCGCCGGCGGGGAGCCACCCGCTGGAGCACTGGGCCGTTGAGCGGGTGCCGGTCCAATGGGTCGACTTGGGCCTCCAGCGCCCGAGAAGCCGCCCAGCCCGTTGTTGATGCCACCCAAGCCATTGTTGCCGCCGCCACCAGCGGCACCGCCACCCCTGCCAAAGCCACTGCCAGGTCCCTGCAGCCCGGCGCCCGGACTGCCACCCGCGCTGGCCGCACTCGCTGGCGGCGGCAGATATTTGTTGTCCAACTTGGCACTCCGCGCCAGCGTCAGCATCGCCAACAGGAGAGCCTAAACGAAACAGAGAGCATTTGTTGGATTACAAACAAATTGGGGACTGGCGCGGCAGTGTGTAAAGTTCAGCCGAAACCCAATTGCCATCGCGATGCACGCAGCACTCCTGATCCCAGGGAGAGGCTGCCACATCCCTCCACTCACTCCTCAATGGGGTCAAGAGTAGTAGTCAGACGAGCGAGTGGCTGCCATTTCATTAATGAAATATGCACTCATTGAGGGAGTCGCATCGCATCTCCACTCCACTCCACTCACGTTTTCCATTGTTGCCAGCGAACTCTGATATTTATGGACTTCTTGTTCGAGCTATGGCGAAGATGTCAGCTACTGGCGACTGGCATGCCACAGCGTGTGAACAATCACAGAGGAAACTCTGCTAAGGAGACTCTAGGGGGCTGGCTGAAGCTGTTGCCACTGATGATGGGAAGGTTAAGTAAATGTAGCCTGGCCTGGCCGGGTGTCAAGTTGAAGTTTAAACCGCTTACGAGCAAACGCTGCCCATAAACGTAGCAGAAACAACTCCATCGTCAGCTCCATCGATAATAATGATGATGAGCTCACTGCCCTACCCCCCAGCCCGTGCTTCTGCACTGCCGAATAATGGAAATTCTGACATTTGCCGCACTGAATCATCCATGTTGCATGCTGCCGCCTGCCGCAACTGCATTCTCAGCTTAGTTCGTGACCAGAGCAGTTGTCCCAAGAGTTGTGCAAGCCACCCAAAAGTACTCGTCGCATAATTGTGGTAATTCCAAATGAGCTGCCAATTGGGTCGCCACTGCATCAATTTCGGGCTCCTTTCAGCTGATGATCTGCCGCAGCTGTAGGCGGGGGCGGACACGAACCAGAGCCAGAGCCAGAGCCACGATGCAGATGGATTGTTCTTGGGCAACTTTGCGTGCTGCGAGGGTTTAGCTCAGCATTGGCTATCTCTGATTTTAAATGGCCTTTTAATTTATGCGTTTTGTAATGAGAAATTGGGAAATCCCATGCTCAGGCAGGAACTACTCACCCATCTAAGAGCCATCGCTGATTGCACGAATATATTCCGAAAGTCTCAAAGGGGTTCTTGTGTAGCTTTGTCCTTGGTTGTCCTTTGCCTAAAAACTTTAATCACAGTCACGCGCACACACACACACACACTCGAAAAGAAATTAAAAATCCATGCGAATCCTGTGCGAGTCCTTTTGGGTTCGGTTTGTGCAGCAGGCGCCTCCGCGTGTCGTGGCTCCTCGTAATGTCAGGGTACTAGTGTGCCGATCGCAGCCGAGGTTCTGCAGCTTTTATACTCTGTTTCGGCGCCAAAATGCAATCAAATGGAATGGAATGAACGAAAACGCTGCCAAGAGCCGAGGCTGCATTCAAGCTGGAGAAGCCGGAGATGCTGACGCAGACTGAGAGGCAGACGGAGACGGAGAGGGAGACGGAGACTGAGAGCAGAGCGAGTGCTGGCCTGGGTGCTGAGATTTTGATACTTTATGGCATTTATTGCAATCGTGTGCAGCTGTGTTGGTTGCTGGCACAAACAATTGCATGCCAAAGGGAGACCCATGGCTGGGGCTGTGCAAACTATTGTCTCAGCGGCGGCATCTCGTTTACCCAATGTACCTTGTCTTGTTGTTAAACATACTCGTACCGCTCTCAGCCACATCTACCTACATCTAAGTACTCTCCCCAAGTCCGTAAAATTAGCAAGTTTCTGCCGATGCCGATGCCGATGCTGATGGTGCTCTGGTGCTCGTAAATTGAAATCCAATCGAAACCCTCAACGCTTGAGTGCATCATCATCATCATCATCATCATCATCATCATCATGATGGCGAACGATTCAACTCATCTCATCTCATCTCCATTGAATTGCACGTTTGGGAAACAATTTTAATGCGCTTCAAATGCAATCGGAATTGGCGTCAAGAATCGCATGTGGCGGTGTGTTTTCTAATCAGACTCTAAGACCCACCCCAGACGGATATCCACAAGACTTGGACCGGTCTCTGGGTCCAGTCTTTGACCTTTTCACCCACCGTGAAAACTGAGGAAAACTAAAATCGAATTGGTAATAAATAGCGCTAATATCACCATCGACACCCTGGGGCAACAACCAACAAAAAACCAACAAAAAAAACGCCACAAGTTGCGCAAAACAAGTTGCTCCATTTGGTGGCAACATCCATCTGGCTGGGCGCAGAAAGGGCAGTTGCTTCTCTTTTTCATTTTTTCGGTTGAATGTGAAAATTCATTCAGTTTAGGCCTTCTGCAGGCAGCAGGCAGAAGCAGCATCACTTGGAGAATGCTCATTGACATTTTGCTCATTTAGAAAGGCAGCTCCACCGATGAGAGAGACACATACAGGGGGCCGTCGACAGGTTGTCATCGCTCGGCAGCGCTCCCATTCTTGGTGGCATGGGATGGTCGCCTTGGGTGTTCGTGGTGGCACAGCTGCGCGCACCAGAACGGCAGCCAAGTGGCAAAAGGAATGTGTCCCCGCTGCGTATGCGTAACGTCATGCATTGGCCTTGCCAAATTAACACACAGATGAGCGTGTGGCACGCCCCCATCCTAGCTGCAAGCGTACTTAGATATTATCGAAAATATTAACCAATACTTGGGGGGGGGGGGGGGCGTCAATTACGATGATGATTCATGCAACTCGAATGCGGTTGCCGTTGCCGTTGCAGTGTTTGCCGCGTTTTGGGTTTTTCTATTCTATCGTGTTGTAAGTAGTTCCTGTTGCTGCTGCTGCCTGGCACATTATTTATAGCGTAATTATGATTACTCAATCGTAGAAATAAAATACAAAATGTTTATTCAAGCCTCAGAGTTCGTGCGGGGAGTGGCTGTCCCCATGCTAGGAGATATTTGTGTGAGTGTGTGAGTGTCCAAGAGCCTCGACTTATTCGCCAGTCATCATCTCCATGAATTCTGTGGATCAAATGGAGCCAAAGTGGAGCAATTAGTGGAGCATTCAGGTGCCGGAAGCCTAAAAATAGTCAACCACCCCGAGGGCAGGCAGAGCATTGTGTTCTCTCTGGCAAGAGCCTACAAAATTGTTATAATTTGCTGCTGCTCAATGCTCTGGCATGGTGCCAGAGCATTTGGGATGCGATGAGGCATGAGGCATGAGGCATGCTGCTAATTGGTCGGTGTCACTACTAACCATCAAAGTCCACGGTGCCGGAGCCGTCAGAGTCGATTTCCTCGATCATCATGTTCAGTTCCGTGTCGGTCAGCTGGTCGTCGAGCTCCTTGAGGATCTCCTTCAGGCAGGAGGTGGGAATGTAGCCATTGCCCTGCTTGTCGTACAAACGGAACGCCTCACGCAGCTCCTTCTGCATGGCCTCGTCATCCTCCTCGACGATGAACTTAGCTGCCAGCTGCACGAACTCCTCGAACTCCAAGCGGCCAGACTCTGTTCAAAGATTCAGCTTAGTGATTTGGCATGGAGAAGGCAAGCTCTGAGGTGAGGGATTACTTACTGTCCTCGTCGACCTCGTTGATCAACTCCTCGAGAATCTGCCTGTCGAAGGGCTGACCCATGAGGCGCAGGATATCGGCCACCATTTCGGTGGGGATGCTGCCGGTCTTCTGGTGATCAAAGCTGTTGAATGCCTTCTGCAGAACGGCAATCTGCTCGGGGGTCAGGTCCTCATCCTGCAAAGCAATTGGACTCCCATTAGAAACATTCGGATATTCCTCATTCTCCCACTCCACTCACAATGTTCTCCATGCTGAAGTATTGTGTTGCTGCTGCTGCTGATGCTGCTACGGCTCGTTGTGCACCAAATAGATCACCGCTAACGACTGAATCAGTTGCCCAGATCTTCCCATTCTTTCAGCCGGAGGGGAGGCACATCCACACCAACACACTGCCAGTGTGTACAGAGGCATTCCAAAAGTAACAGGCTAATTTATGGTTTTCAGCAGCATCTCGAAAATAAAACCAAGGAAACAAACAAACAAAAGCAGAGGCCAACCAATGAAAAACTTAGAAATTGCGTTTAATTTGTTGCTATTGCCTTGCCTTTGGGAAAGTGAAAAACTAAAAACGAAAAACGAAAAACGCAGACGGAATACAAATACGAAAAGCACTGTAAAAACCACCGAGCACTGGCTGTACCCGTGTTGACCAGCAGCAGCAGCAGACACCCAGAGCCCCACCCACGCCCCACCAGAGCAATTCCATTTTGTAGTGGTTTGCTAAGGCTTTACGTGGACATCGATGGTTATTTTTAGCCGACACTGAAATGATATTTCAGAGTTCACTGGAACTCCAAATGGCAGAGTGTTGAGGGTGCCAGTAATTGCATAAATAAATTAAATATATATTTCCCACAGGTACAACCGCAACATCTGGATTTCTCTCAGTGTATGGCCAAGTGACAATCAGTTCCACATATATCCAATCAATCCTTGCAAATATGATCGATAAATGGTGGTCCACGCTTAGTGAATCAATCACTTGTGGTGGCATAAATTGATGCATTTTATGGCGCAGACAAATTAACAAGAAATTAAATGAATCTATAAATTAAATGGAGAAAAATATCATATAATTCTACCATAAATATATGTTAGTGTTTGGTGATGAGGAGAGGATGGAGGTGGAGGGGAAACCCACACAGTTTTATAAGCGATTCGAATTTTATTGTCTCTTGCGGTTCGGCATCCTATTTAAATTTAAATCAGCTTCATTATCATGTTTCGCTGTTGTTTAATGACCGAATAATATGCAAATTGATTTATATATTCAGCAAAAATGTCTGTGCTTCAAGTGACACACATTTCCAGAAATATACACAGCAGCAGAGTTAGGTATTTGGAAAACTGAGCAAAGGAAAGCCAAGGGAAATCTGTTTAACAATTATGACAGCGGCGCCTAAACTTGACGTCACTTTGGCACATTGACCATTTGTTTATAGCGTTATTAATTTAATTAATTAGCAGCTAAGATATGATGCCAATAACTCAAAATGCCACACATAACTAATTGCCAGCAGCTGGGGAGATGCAGGGAGATGCCCCAGAGAAACTCTCATGATGGACAGGCGCCGACAACGATTCGTCAATCGATGGCAAACTGTTTTCAGTCTGTCGGCATTTTCATGTAGCGTTTCCCCACCGATTAGCCTCAGAGAGCCAGAATCTGAAGCTGTTTTGCGAGTCGGTAACCGGAGCGCCAGAGTTTCAATGTTATTTTGACATTTGTGTGGCGGCGAGGTGTAGTGTAGCCTTGATCATCGCCAAGACCAGAGTTTCAGGCAGCCGGCGGATAATTGATGGAGGCATTCACTTTGCCCGTCGTCATAATTGCAGTGGCATCTGCATCAACGAGTACACTAAACGATCTCCTAGAGGCCCTCCCCTCATCTCATCTCATCTCATCTCATCGGATCGCTGTCACAGGCGATAAAACTTAACATTTGCATTTGAAGCTATGACAACAATAAGGCTGCCTCCGCTCCATCCCATCGTGATCACGTGATTCGATATCGCGGATAAACTTAAATGTCTCTGCCAGCATCTCCCAAGCGGATCAGGTCTCAGGTCTCAGGTCGGATTGCCAATCTGTTTTGAATGCGAAGAATACATTGAATACATTATTCACTCGTCATATGGGAAGTAAGCCTATGGGCGTGCTGTTCGTGTCTGGGAAAGAGTCTCACTCGCAACTGAATCTTGCATGTGCGTTTCATGGGCGAGCGACTGAGATCTGCCAGCAGTGTTTGGTATACAAATCTCCGCATCGTTTAAGAACGAAATCGAAAGCGTTGTAACACTTTCCCTGCGGATGTCCGAGCCAGTCCACACTCAAGTTCAGGGGCAAAATGTCAAAGATTGAAGACGCATAAATATTTATGAATGGATGCCTCCCTTCTTGATTATCTCGTCGACCTTGGCATGTGTTGGGAGACGCATAAATTTGGGGGAACTCGTTTCTGTGTCCGCTAATTAGGGGCGTTTTAATATTCACTATTTGTCAGCCATCAGGCCGTGAGGCAAACGATTGATATTGATCCTTCGATGTAGGGGGGGGGGGGGGAAGGTGAGGGAAATGAGTTCGAAATCAAAGTAAACTTTTAACTGCTTTTATTTTTTGGTAAACATGACTTATTCCTTAGAGGGGTGGGCTGCGATCCATTCCAGGGAGCGCTGGATGGCCTCTGGGATTGGGGGAGAGGTGGGCAGAGGGGGGTTGGCAGCGAGAACCTGGTATCCGTTCTGGTCAGCAACGTACTGAATGGACACTGGCACACCCTCGGGAGATGTCCAGGCCTGCTGTCCCTTGACAACCCAAGTATCACCATTTTGCTCACCCTGCTGCTCAACATCCACGGAGTTGTCGAGCTTCAGAGCGTACTTGAAGCTATCAACGTTCACTTCCGCATCATTACGGAGCACACCGGCATCCTCGTTGGCGCAGGCCACAGCCAGCAGGCAGGCGAAAGCAATCTATGACGGAGAAACGGAGGACAAGTTAGAGACTATCCTGCGAGGATCGTGTTTTGGGAGTTTGTAAGCCACTTACGATGAACTTCATGTTGTTTGTTCGAAGACTTGAATAGACTTACTGATATCAAAATGGAACTTCTGGCATCTTTTTATATGCTGCGATAAGCCCAAGTTCGGGTCGTCTGACGTAGAGGACTTTAAATTCCACTAATTATGCATATGATAATCAGAAATACACGTTTTCAGCTTGTCCACAGATCACACCGAAATTCATAACGAGACCCCAAACAGGCGGAAGATGTGTCTGCGACGGAGACATTAACCATGTTTCTCGGCTACTAGAAACATTGTAAAGATAACAAATAATTAATTATCGTCAAAAAAAAGAAGCAAAACTTTGCATTTTAATACAATTTGTTCGTTTTGCTCCGGTCAACCGGTTCCACCAATATTGTGCGCATTTTTCTGTGTAAATATAGACGTCGGTGTTAGCTTCGGGCGTGGACAAGGCCACATGTCAAGAGTGACACCAGCACATCCCAGCATCTCCCGTCAGTCGCTCCCGCAATGCATAAATCTGAACGTCTCTTCTTTGATTATAAATAATTTACTTTATTGCCCATTTAGTTCTAATCTAAAGCTATGCGTTGCCGCTCATTAATTTCTGCACAGCACGATCGAATTTCCTGCAAAAATATATCGTGTGAGAGGGCAGGTATAAACAGAGTATGGCTGGACTCACTTGGAGGTCAGGGATTCGCCCGGAATGTAAAAAGGATTGCAGACGGCATCCGTGTAGAGGATGTGCAGGTTGCGAAAGATCTGGAAAAAGCATTGAAAGTGGCGTCATTATGTCTGAGACCCATGGGAATGGGAACTTACCGCCCGCACTTCGTTCTCGCGTAGAGCAACGTTGCTGGAATCAATGACCACTATGAACTTCACTCTGGAATTGGTGACGAAACCATATCTAAACGCAAAGAAGACACCGATTAGGTTTAATGGCTGACCAGCTGTGTGTACCCACATTTTGTGATTCTCCGTGGAGTATAGCAGGCCCAGGTAGAGTTCCTTGGACTCGGGCGCTCCCTTGCCAATCAAACACTTCTCCTCCACAACGTCGAGAGCTGCGTGCACATGGTACTGCAGGTCGAGCTCCTGCTCCATGTCGGCGGTGGTCAGGTACATCGGGGCATTCTTGAAATGTTTGAAAATGTAGTAACAGCCATTAGCTAGTTCGAATTTAACTTACATCTTTGCCAATAACTGCAACACAAAATGCCATTTTATTTATTTATTTATTTGTTTTGGTATTTAATCGCTTCCGCGAAAAAATAATCGTCGCACGACGATGAATCCGCATTGACCGGGTACTTCATTTCGATGATGGGTCTGTCGATATTTTCTTGAAAAGAGTATGTTCGGTGTTTCTGTCGATATTTGTTGACGAGTGTTGCTATCGATGGTTGTTGATGAGGGCGGGCAATGTTCTTATAATTTAAACGATCTTAAGGAGCTGTTGCTCCTGTGTTCAGAGACTTTACTTCATTAAGCTGTAAAATCTTAATGGACATGTTAGTGGATGTGGTTTGTATTGTTACTAACATCATGTTTTCTATGTTTCAAACTGCTCTGTAGGAATTTTCCTTTGATGTTTTGAATTATGTTAGTTCCGTTAGCTGACTTAAGCAGTAGCAGTTAATTCTTAATTGAAATTAAATAAATACTATAAACCATGTTTTGTCTATTGTCATCAATTAATATATTTTATTTTATACTTAGTTGTTCTCATTAGTTTTTCAAACTCCCTTAACAAACCAAGGGAGCTTTCAGGGAAAGCCTCTCCTGTGTCTAAACGGTCAGGGAAATCCTCCCCTGTGTCTAAACGGTCAGGGAAATCCTCTCCTGCCAGACGCTCGCATGCACTATTACGGATCCTTAAAACAGGTGAGAAAAAAGTGGGAGCCTAAAAAAAGCTAGTAATTTTTTACCTGCTTGCCATACCTTGCCGTTGGAACAGCTGACGGGCGGTGGTGGTATCGATGGTATCGGCAACAGGTCCGGTGCTGCCACACTTTCGAATTCAGCAGGACCGTATTTTTGCCACAAATTGATAACGCCAGAAATTTTATCTATACTCATTGTGGTGGTTGGAGAAAAACAGATTAAAAATTGATATCATAGCCATTACTGATCGGCTTAGCACTCTGCTGGAGATGGCGTTGCAGATTGCGCATAATAACCGTGGCAATCCGCGCGCGCTGCATCCTCCACCAGCCGCCGAGCTCGTCGAGGTGTTTGTGCTTTTTGTCAACACAACAAATCGCACTGTTGATCTCTATTGGGTGTGCGACCGCGACACCGAAAACATGTATCTCAGCCTGAAGCCGTTCGAGGAGGTGCGCGTCAACACATACAACACGCACACCTGGCTCTTCCGCGACTACTACACTGGCGAGCGGATGCACGTCAAGTCCAGGCGCATATTCGTCCCCGTTCCCATGCGCGTCCCCAAGAACCCCCAACATCCCGAGGAGCTGTGCGATGTACGCAGCCAGGTAAACATACATTTTCCGATGCGCAAGCTCAAGGACACCTGTCTGTGGCTGCTGGCCCGCTATCTGAATCGCACCAGCAACCAGCCCCGACGGCTCATCAGCAACTATATGATACCTTCGACGCTGAAGCAACAGTTGTTCGTCATTCTAACCACCATGGAGTCCTACTCCAGGACGGCTCGCATCAGACGTCGTCGCGTCCGCGAGATGATAAATAATATCTAAATTGTGGCATAAGGAAGGAAAGCCAAGCTTGATTTCCAAATAGTTTTAATAATAACTTTAATTGATTTTCAATTGTATCTTTCGTTTCTTTTCATTCCTTTTCTTTGTTTGTTTCGTTCGTTACTTATGTACAAATTGGCTTGCATAGAGCGTTTTATAGGTTGGTTTTCTACAATTGCATTGATTTTTTGTATTTTTTTTAACAGATTACTTATACTTAAATTTTTATATATATAATGTGTTCTATGTATATATGTATTAATATATATATATATATGGATAAACCTAGTGTAAAACAAATGTGAATATTACATACATATATGCGCAATTCTCTAGATCTAAATGTTTTCAGATGCCAGATAATTAATGTAAATGGTATGTCTGCGTTGTTCCATGCAAAATGTTTATCTACTTGTGTGTTGTGTCGCAAACTTAAACTCTTTTAAGTCTGAATCTGAAGTATATATATATATATATGTATATGTATCTGAAATAATTCCTAAACACAAGAACACTGAAACGGCACAGAGCAAACAAAAAATACATAGCACGTTGGTGCATTTACATCATATGAATGTTTAAACAGATTCTCTCTTAAATGGTTAGTCCACAGGACAAAGTAATTACGAATAAATTACAAAGTACATACAAATGGTTAATCAAAACTAAACCTTAAATCTTTCAATTTAGCTCACATCGGCTAGGAAAGAGAGATCACGTGCCGTCGTTCAATACTTTCGCGTGACGCGCTCCAGACTATCCCCGATCGAACCTATTCCATGTTGTGAGACACAAATGGAACTATTAGTGGGTCTGAATTAGTTCAAGTTCGAATGATCCTTACCATCGTAATTGAAGTTCTGCTTCGTTTTGTATTGAAATGTAAGATCTGTTGATTGCTTCCAGATGAAGTGGCGCACCGTACGCAGGTCCATGTTTGGATCCACGACCTAAGGTTAACCAACGGCAATGGAGTACATACGGATGGAGTTGCAGCTGGAACTTACCACATCGTTGCACGACAGTTCAATGCGTTCCTCCGCCGGCAGCTGCGAGCCTTCCGAGTTGCCGTCGCTTTGGCTGTTCTGCAAGGAATTGTTTGCGTTGGCGCCGCTCGGGGTTGTCTCTGCATTGAGCACCTTCTCGAGAACGTGCTCGCACACCTTGCGGCACTGAATGAACTCGTTGGCCACCAGGCGATCCTGCGCCAAAGAGTAGAAAATCAGAGGTTATAAGGAGATTGATCCCAGCTTCGATTCTACCTTTTTGGTGCGCTCTGGCTTGGTCATCTGTGGATGGGGCTGCAGGAAGAACGGTATTTTGAGGAACTTGGGTATGTTTTTCTCAATCACCACATCGGTAACCCACTGGGGTGCTGTCTCATGTAGAAGAGTGCATTCGCTGTCGCCCGCTGCGTCGCGCACCAACAGACGGCAGACAGTCCGACCGCCCACCTCGCTGTTTGACGATGGACACAACATGGAAATTATCGTGGTGAATTTGGAAAGCGACTAAGCGACTAAGCGACTCACCTGAATATGACCGGTGTATGTTTGGGCACCTGAAAGTAGCCATTGCCATGCATGTCCGGCTCCAGCTCGTTTGGCGGTATGCTATGCGGTGGTGTCCAGTACTCAAGAAGGGCCTCCAACAGTAATTTGCCATAGTTTATCTGCACAGAAATTTTGACAATTATGAACAACAGACATTAACAGACATTCGCCTACCTTTATCTCTGTGGTGGGATCGACGCACTCCGGTAGTCCAGCTTCGATGGACACCCAAGCCGAGTAGCAATCTACCTCCTCCTGGCCCAACACAATCGTTGGCATCTGCAATGAGAGTTATCATATAGAGGGAGATGATTGATGCTGGTGTAGTTCACTCACCCCAGTTTTCAGATCCACTGTGAACCAATTTGGAATGTAGACTTGCTTATTGCGCTTCTTCACCTCCGCCTCGTAGTCGATGGGGCCCAGAGTGTCCTTCTTGACAACTCTTAGCACATCGTAGAGCGCGACCTGATCTTGGGAGTCTTTCGTTAATATGTAACGCTTGTCGTTCAGCACAGTGCACTCCTTGATGGCGGCCCCGCCCTTGATGCAGGCCAGCTCCGTGCCACCCTGCGTCCACTGTGCATCCAGGCCGCCCGACGAGTTCAGGGTGCCCCTGTCGTACATGGGCAGTTTCCAACATCGAATGTCGGAGTTCCAGGTGGTGGCCCACACGCCAGTCTTGTCCATGTTGTAGCCCAGACTGAGCACAGGCGCCTTCTCCTCGCACACGAGCGTCTTGTTGCTGGGATTACGCATCTCTGTTACAATAATATTCTTATCCCGGCTCCCCGAAATGATGTACTGAAAGTTCTCGCTCATTAGCAGCGACCACACGCCCTCCTTGTGCACGTGTATGGTTTGAACGCAGCGCTGTTGGCCCAGATTCCACACCTTGATGGTGCCATCAGAGCTGCCGGATACAACCTGATTGCCGTCGGGGGAGACTACAAGGCAGCGAACGTTTTCTGTGTGTCCGCGGAGCTTCATGCTTCGCATACAGGTGCGTGGATCCCATATTCGCAGTATATTCTCGGTGGATCCGCTCACAATCACGGTGCCAGAGGGATTCATGGCGAGGCTGTAGATTGAATCCTTGGACCCAGTCAGACTAGAGGTTGTCACGGTGTTGTTGCTGGCAGTGAGCGCTGTAAGTGTGTTGACATCCCACAGGAATATTGCCTTGTCCAGCCCCGCGCTGGCCACTTGCTCCCGATCCTTGGCATACGCCAGAGCCTGCACATAGTCGCGATGTGTCCTGAGCGTCGACATGCAGAAGCCTTTCTGTGCATTCCACACCTTCACCGTGGTATCACAACTGGCGCTGATAACTGAATGGCCAAATGGTTAGCCACTTCATAACACCACTACATAATTATCTATCATCCGACTTACGGTTCCGTCCGTTGCAGCAGAGCACTATGTCGTTGACCCAGTCGTTGTGATGCTCCATTGACTGTATGTACTTCTCGCTGGACTCGGAGCGCGTGTTCCACACCCGGATGATCGCATCGCGGCCGGCCGAGTACAACTTGCCATTGTTTGGATCCAACTGCAGCGAATTGACACCATTCCGATGCTGTTTCTCCTCGGCGTCTCGTATCACAAAGGAAACCTGCAGAGTGCGATGCAATGCATTGTAAACTCAACTTCCTGGCCGCCATCCATGTTCTGATTAGGCCACCATTCGGTTTTCCCACTCACCTGCATTTTTTTCCGTGCCTGACAAGTTTTGTGCGTCAACATGTCTTCCACGGAGCTGGACTGGCTGGAGGATGGCTGACTGTGTTTTTGTGTTATGTTTCAAGTGCCTTCACGAGGTGGATGTGGATGCGATTGTAGTCGATGGCTGCTGCATATGAGGCACGCACATTTAGTGTTGCTGCTGTCTATTCACTACTTATTGGCACTCTGCAAAGCGATATCAAAGAATTTCCAACCAAGTCCAAAATTTTTCGCACCTATTTCGTTCTCTTTCTCTCTAAATTCTTTCCTCCTTCTCTCTTTCTCTTGGTCTTCTCCCTCTCCAGCGCCGGGTGGTGATGCCACACAGTTTTTCAATGTGTGCCGGCTGTTGCTAAGGGTTGACAGCTCTCTCCAAGAAACTTGTTTCTAAGTTTTATCTTTTAACCTCCATCCTAAAACTAGAATAGATGGGCATATAATTTAAGGTTTTTACTCTCAATAATTTGTGAGTTCCAAACAATTGTTAGAAGTAGCTAAATTCGCAGCATAATGACCCGGCATTATTCTTAGGACGGCAACACTACTCTTTATATAACGAAGAAGAAGAAGTATTCACTTTCATCGCCGGAATATTATTATTACGTAGAATTTGCATTTGCATTAAAAATTATGGCCAATGGACAAAATAACGACGCGTGCAGCTTGTGCGAGAGAATCGGCTTAAGGCCGCTCACCAGAGAAAACGTTTTCAACTACTACATCCCACTGCACGGGCTGGTCAGCTACGGAGCCCTGTCGGTCAATGTTATGAACCCCCAGATTATTCCCAGGATACTGCCGAAGAAGGATCTTACTAATGTGTTCCTGATTTCGTCTGCTGTGGGCACGGCTTTCTACATTTACGGCCGTCCTCACCTCAAGGACGTCAAGACGAACAAACGAGTGTCGTATGCGGCCCTCGGTGGAGTTCTATTCAGTATGGGTTCTGTACTTGCCTGGGCGCTGCTAAAATCTTCCCTTGCTGAGGATAATGCTCTTCTCGCCACCTTGGTTGGTCTGGGAACCGGCGCCGCCATTGTCAAGGTTGGCACCGAATACATTAAAGATGTCGATTCTCTGAAGAAAAACTAAAGAATGTGAACAGATGTGGCCCGCATATTTGAATAAAATTATACATAAATAAATTAATCTTGAAGAACCTTTGACCTTTTTTCGATGGTAGGGATATGAAGCAACAATACAAACAATAGAGATTGAAAATGTTTGCGTTTATTATAAAGTAAATGTACCTTTAATTGCCTTCTCTTAACTACAAATAATGCCTAACAATTTAATTGTGTTAATTAATGTTTATGTGTGGTGTAGCATTTATTAATGGTTAATATTGAAAGCGTTCAATCAGAGCGCTCTCAATCGCCAATATGTACATTTCAATCGGGTTAAAACATTCTACAAATTGTCTTATTTATCGACTTTCAATTGACGACTACTATCTTTATGGTTAATTCATACATCGATTTGTATGGTACTTATTCTAGATTCTTGCATACTATACGTACATACTTTACAAACACACAATGGTCGGACTTACTAATAATGAATTCAATCGTTCGTTAAACAAAAAAATCATTAAACCGTCCTCACAAGTGGTTGGTACTCGCCGTTCTACAAAAAATTCGAATCAACTAAATTATGAATACATATTGCATTTACAAAAGATTGCAGCGGCCGCTCTCTCAGCGGATCCTTTCCTGTTTCTTGTTTCGAAGGCAGAAAGAGCAAGAGAACGGAGCGCTCAGAATACTAAACTATTACAATTATTACACACTACCGCCTATAAACAAGGTAAGCATAATTGGAAGATGCAAGCCATATTGCAATTGATCGTTCTAATCGCTCATATTGCAATATTTTCGCGGACTACAATTAAAAAATCAACAAAATTGCCGAACGCCGCCACGCCTCTTCTGCGCGTGCAGAGTATTGGGAAGCAACAATTTAAATTACATTTAAATGTGGCCTGCTTGCTCAACAATAAAACCGATGTGTGAACTGGCACACTGACTGATTAGTTGCTCCCACTGCTGCGGCTGTCTTTTAGCTGCACACCGAGAACTTCTCGCAGCTCGCGCAACTGCTGCGCTCCTTGCATGAGACGCTTGACCCCCCGCGGCAGTCCGCGGCATGAAGCCAGGTTGATTGAGCTCATGTTGGCGCAGTTTTTGAGTATTTCCTTGACTGCTTCATCAGACACGGACGAGCCGCACAGATTCAAATGACTGCATGGGATAAGGTAATGAGATTTCTGACATCTATCGAGATTCCAAATACTTACGCCAATGGGCACTCGCTCCCCTTTTCGGCAAGGGCGCGCAGTGCATTGTCTATCGGCTGCTGCACATTTGCCCAGGCCAGATCCAGTTCTATGAGACTATGCGCCCACTTAGAGGCAATGAGTTCCAGACCCGACCTACAGAGGACACAACAGTAAGCCTCAAATTGTGAAAACTGATTGAAGATTTGGACCTACCCCACATCGCGCGTAACTGAGCAGCCCGAGAGGTATAAATGCTTAATATCCCAGGCTGGTAACCGGATGAGGCTCTCGTGCGTCAGACGAGTGCAGTTGCGCACATCTAGCAGCTTCAGCTTGGAGCTGCTCTTCAGCAGGCGCTGCAGGTGATCATCGCAAATGATGCGCGATTCATCTGTAGTTGCAGCCACGGAGAGCTCTTCGAGATTGGGAAAGCCAGGAGAGTCCATCTACAAGTAGTTAAAGCCTAGAATATCTTATTTGTGACTAGCCAAATGTGAAAGCCTTACAATCTCCTGCATTCCTGCTGTGCTCGGTGTGATGTGCGAGTTGGTCACCCGCAGAACCTTCAACTTTTGGCAGCCATGCTGCAGTTTCTCAATGTGCAGCACGCCGTGAGATGTGGCCTGCGTGGTCACATTCGAGAGATCCAATAGCTCCAGATTCGGACAGTGTGCCTGAAACGCATAATATAAAATTAACAGACCTATAATTAGGGGAGACTACAAATACATACCGACAGTACGCCGACTATTTGCGGTATGCCCGCCAGACGATTGTGCGCCAAGTGGAGATGAGTTAGACGACTGCCAATGGTCTGGAGCGCATTGCACAGAGAGATCATGCCCACAGCGGTCTTGCTGGCATTCATCTCAAGCTGTAAGACGGTTAAACAAAGAAAATCAGCAGAGTTTCCTTCAGAATATAGGACTAAAACTTACGTTAATGGAGCTCAAGTCTAGCCGTTCCAGTTTCTTCATGTTGTCCACCAAATAGGTTAAATTGTCTGAGGTGAATCCCTTCCAGCCGGAGAGCGTGATGCCGGTCAAGTTCGGACAACCGGCAGCCAACTTGGTTAGGAAGCAATTGATGGATACGTCAGATATTTTCCAGTTGGCTGCAAAAACATAACAAAAAACAGTTTGGTTAAAGAAAAGGGTTCAGGCTGGTCGTTTTTGAACACTTACAAACATTCAACTCGGTGCAGGCACTGCAGCGGTTATCCACAAACCACTTGAGTTTTAGTTCTGTGCGATACTTCTCCTTAATCCATGTAGTCAGATCCATTGTGTGCCACAGCGAGGGAGTGAGAGAAACCCGCCGCCACAGGGAGCAGACTCGTCCCAGGCGGAAGAGAGTCGGCAGGCAGCCGTCCTTCTCAATAACGTGTTCGAAAATCTAAGAGTAAAAAAAAAAAACAACCTCATTGAGTCCTCTTTCCTGTTTCGTCTTCAGCGCCTTTCACTTACTCGGAAGAGGACTTCCGCCGGCAGCCTCTCAGCCCAGACACTCTGTTCGACTGCATCTCCCTCGACTGCTTCTGCTGCACTGCTCGTCGAGACCTTCTTCTTTCGCGGCTCACATTCACTCTCGTCGCTGTCCGGCTGTTTTGGCTTGCGAACGCGCTTGCGTGCCGGCTTAGTGGCAGCAGGAACGGGGACGGGCGGCGATGCTGCTGATGGTGTGGAGTCTCCCCCAGCAACGCCATCCGACTTTTTAATGCACAGCTTAATGCCGACTTTGTTGTCGCTGATCTCGCTCTCGTACATAGGCAGTGCCTTCGGCTTGCGAGATCGGGAGGCGCGCGGTGACGTGGATGCCGACTTGTTGAGCTTTTTGTTGCTGAGCGCTGTGGCCAGCGGCTTTCCCGACTTTGGTATGGAGCCATTGACCGCCGATGTCTCCTCTTGCTGCTCCTGCTTCGGCTTCGGCTTCGGCTTTAGGGTCGGCCTCGGAGGTGGCTGTTCCCCCACAGGCGAATGCTGGCCATCGGAAGCTGGTGAGCACGACGTCGATGTGGCCGTGTTGGTCTCATCAGTTTGTGTTTCTGACTTTGGTGGCGACAATATATTGTCTGGTATGACAGGCGCTGTTGCTGCCGTTTCGGTAGCCAGCAGCTGTGGCGGCGTGTGTGAAGGCGTTGATGGAGTCAGTGTGTTGATATCCACCGTGGTCGATTTCACCTTATCTGTCGGACTTTGCTCCTTCTGCAGCTGCACACTTTTCGCTTCCACAGCCTCCCTGCACGATCCTTCCGAGTCCTTGGCAGCAGGCGAACTCGAGCACTCATCAGCTTTCTCCTTTAGGCCATCCTGCTCGGGCATTTTCGTGTCCTCCACGCTTGGTGCCACCTCTTCACTCATCACTTAAATGTTCTGCAATTAAATATCAAATTACATTTCAAGTTAATACAAATTTTTCATATTTCGACCGGGAAAATCGATGCACAACCCATTTTGGCGGCTTTTCACCCGTTTCCTATGCGTTCCCATTCTTGTTGTCGTTCTCATTCAAAAAGCTCTCTCCGAACTCAATATGCACTCGTAAATCTCACCTGCTACAACAAATTACACATACATATATTTTTTTGTTTTTATTTTTATTCGTTGTTCGCTTTCAATAAACAAGTTGGGGTCGGCTCGCAACGACTTGTTTGTGACCTGTGCGCACGCTCCAACCAATTTCCCGCCACCACACAATCAACACACAAACACCCTATCTTAATGGACGCTAAGAGATGCACAAGAGACTGCCAGAATCTCTGACCTATCTCTTGGGGTTTCACGTATCACTGCGGCGTGCAGTGTGAAAAGTCTACACTTGATCGCTGCACTCATATGCTGCTCGCCCGTTGGCGTGCAGGGTGCATAATCGGCATTCATTCAACTCACCACTTGAAAGAGAGGTAGGTACACAAATGTATGTTATCTTCCGACCGACTGTTCGACTCGCTCACACGCACTGCGGTACTGTACTACGTCTGTAGTGTGTGAACAGCACGGCACTATGTGTGTGTTTGAATTGTTCGATTTCGATTCTAAAGATTTTTTCCTGTAGCGTTTCGTGGAAATTTTCCCCGTTTGCGATGCCAAACTGCCACTTTTACATTGTTGCCAAGCGCTTGAGGCACTGGATACCAATTGGTCACGGCATGGAGAACAATTGGCCTATTATTAACACACACAATCAATTAAAACTTATTTCCACGAAAAAAACGACGTAGAAGAAGCTAGGGATGTTGTTGTTTTCGTATCGATAAGCAAAACAATCGGTAGTGTGACCGCGCTGGAGTAACTCGCAAATCCACGAGCCAAGGGAATTGTTTATTAAAAACGTTACATTTCTGTGGCACTTTTTAATTTAATTATATCAACTAATAGGTGTAATCAAGATTCGACACCTCCGGCAGACCAGTAAGATCCTTGTGAATTTCCAGCCAGCGCTTGGCATTGATTGTTGTCTTTCCGTAGGTGCGTCCAAACTTGTAGAGCTCGCCCGGCACATGACCCGCGTAGCTGGGCACCATGCCGACGTCGTCGTGATAAATGACAAAGTGTCCGACCGGCGGACAAGTGACGGCCGGCCTGGTCAGGTCCTGGCCGCAGCACCAAGCGTCGCGTTTCCTCTTGTACATGTAGTCGGAGAAGCTGCACAGCGCCCGATGGGTGAGCACCTGGTTTGACTCGCCAAATCGGGTAACGGCCATGGGTATGTGAGCGGCATATCCATTGATAATGAACTTGTCGTCGTCATCATCCTCCAGGAAGTGCGGGGACGTGAACTTGCTGTAGCACAGCTTCTCCACCTTGGGCGGGCACTCGCCATCCTTGACGCCCTTGGAGCGACCGGTGACGGGAATGAGTGGCGAACGGTATCTGGCTTGCGGGAGCTGAGGGAAGGAAGCACTCAGGGGGAGATATTTTATGTTGTGGGGGTTGGAGTACACACCAGACGCTCATTCAGCTTGCGTTCGAAGAGACCTTTGCCACTCTCCAAGAGATCGCGATGTCGAAGTGTACGATTCTCGCAGCGATATAGCTCCATCAGGGTCTCATGCTGTGCGACACCCGCAGTGGCAGCAGCCACATAGCGCTTACCCGTCTGACTTGCCATATTCGGCACGAAGCCGGCATAACCTGGGAGTAGGGGATGCCGGTAAACAGCATCCACAAGATCCTCACGGCGACGCAGCACCTTCAGCTCATGCTCCGTGGGATAGTCCTTGAGTCCCTGCTTGGCGTCTATGGGCAATACGATCAACTCGGGAGCATGGTAGATGCACGGATCGATGAGCAGCTTGTGCGTCTGCTTGCCATACGTCTTGCCCACGCGCTCTCGGTTCTGTGTGCAGTGGCCGGTGTACCTGAGCACCCACAATTATTCGACGGATAGATAGAGAGCAGTCTGAATAGCTTACCCTGGCAGCAAATGCGGCTCCGGCGTAATGGTATCATTCATCATTGTGACGCTCAAACTTTTCTTACACAACAAATTTTGGATTCTAAATGTTCACTTAAGCCAATTTACAATTGTTTAATAATAGAGCATGGAATAACAATAATTTACAAAGGCCTCGCCTGACATATCCCTAAAAGTTGGGCAGAAGTTGGAAAAAATAACAAAAAGGTTGACATTGGAAACATAATACAGAGATTTCCTTAGACACCGGCGACTCGCAGCATTTCGGCTATGCTGACTATCTTCTCGCGTGGCTTTCCCTTGGCCTTGCCAGTTTCAATCTCAAAGTCATTGATACGCCGCCAGCCGTCCCACGTGACGACTCGCTTGTCGTCCGCCTCGAAGCCAGGCTTCGATGTGCTCGTGTCCAGGGCATTGGCTGCCATGTCCTCGCAGATGTTCTTGGCCACAGCAAACGCGCCGCTCATTGTGGTTAATATAACACCAGTGGGGCCAGTGCCCAGCCATCCTGCCACATACAGTCCAGCATCCACGCTGTCTGACGCGTCCAACTTCAGGACGCGACCCTCTCGATTGCGCACATGGCCCCGACGAGCATCAAAACTAATGTCAGCGTCAGCACAGCTCGACTTGTAGCCAATGCTGCGTAAAATCAAATTCGCTGGCAAGCGTTCTATGGCATCTGTGGGCACTGCCGAATCCTGCTGAAGCTCTGTGACGGAGAATTCCATTTCGCCCTCGGCGATAGATTTTGGGGCACGCAGAAAAATGGGCAAAAATTGCTTGGAGCCGGAAGAGGAAAGTTTTTCCTGCTCTTTTAGACTTTTAAGCATCAGTTCCGTAAGTCGCTTGCGTGGACGCTGCAGCTGTTCCACTTGGTTGGCAATTCCTGAATGCAAAGAAACGTTGTGGTGCATTGCGTGAAATAATAAATAATATGTTCCTACCCGAGAAATCGTCCGAGCGCCAGCGTGTTTGAACATTGGGCAGCTTGAGCATTTCGCGCAGCTCCTTAATGGTGAAGGCTGCCTGCAGGGGACCGCGCCTACCCACCAGATGCACGCGCTCCACCTGGCTGCGTGAGAGTGCCTCCAGGGCATACTCCGTCGTGTCTGTGGACTACCCAAAACAAAGTGAACATAATGAATGCCTAGAGTCAGTCCTCAATTATCTTACTCTAAGTGCATCCAGGGGACTGAGCAGCATGCGTGCCACATCGACAGCCACATTGCCTTGGCCCACAATCGTCACATCGCGTCCGCTCAAGTCCGGCTCGAGGTTCTCTGCGCCCGGCAGTCCATTGTACCAGGCCACAAACTTGCGGGCTGATATCACATGACTCTGCTGCTCGTTTTCCAGCTGCAACTCCCGATCCTGATCGGAGCCGTAGGTGAGCAGCACGGCGTGGTATTGGTTCCTCAGCTCCTGGAGGCTCACATCTGTGCCCAGTGCGACATTGCCGAAGAAACGAAGACTCGGATGCTCTGCCGTCTTTGTGAAGGTGTTGATGACGTTCTTGACCTCCGGATGATCGGGCGCAACGCCAAAGCTGGAATGTCGATTTGCATAATGGGACATGTCATTAGTCGATAAGTGTCAAAGTGCTTGCCCGACACATGCGACCACGCTTAGATAAAACCATCAGAGGCCCAGCCGACTGCCACAGTCCACCGCCAAGATGTGGACGGTTCGTTTCGCTCCGCTGCTCGCTTGCTTCTTTGTGCTCGGGTGTCTCTCTTGTGTGGCGGCCAGCCCCGCCTGGAGCTTTGACCAAGTCGGCGGTGAGTCTTCTCTGGGGTGCGCTATCCCACCAAACCAGCAATAACCAAGCAATCCTCGCACTCGTACTTACAGGCTACTTCAATGGCATTTTGCGCTCCGTCTTCGGGCCGCTTTTCGGATTTGGTAACACCACCACCAACTTTAGATAGCCTAGGAGTCCTCTTACCGCACCAGACCGAAGGGAACCGGCAGCTTCTCAACAATATCCACAACACAGTCGTTCAAATTTTTCAGCAGATGTTGGGCCGCATAGAAACCGGCGGGTCCGGCGCCCACAATGCATATCCTCTTGGTGGGCGTTGCGCTTTGGATGATTTGTTGTCTTACGGAACTCGTGTGAAAGCCACGCCTACATATGCTCAGTAAAGAGGTCATGTCTAGTACTTTTCGCTTTCTTCTTTTGTCTTGGGTTTGTTTACGTTTTCGCGTTGTAATCGTGAATTGGCACATTCCGCCAATCGGCGGCTGTTATCGGTGCAGATAAGTAGTTTCAATATCGGAGCAACCCTGATGCAAGGCGCGGGTTAATTTGAAATTTGAACGCAGAACAATATTTATTGGGCATAACACAGCTAATTTGACAATTCTAGAAGAGATTTAAGAAACTTATTCGCGGTGCAGGGCCAGCCAACGCTTGGCGTCGATGGTGGCGCGTCCGTAAGTGGTGCCGACCTTGAAAATCTCGCCCGGAACATGTCCTCCATAGCGCGGCACCATGCCAGTGATTCGTGGATAGATCACGCTGTTCGTGTTGGCAAATGAGCGACCCACACCAGCGCTCTCCAACGGCACCCACTCGGCACTACGGCGAAAGAACATGTCGTCCTTGGGGTAGCACCAACCCTCATCGGGCAGATGGAAATCAAAGCCAAAGCCTAGGTAATCATCAGACAGTCAGCAATTGCCCATCAATAAGCTATGCATACTTACGGCTAGAATAGGACATTGTTTATTTTATTTTTAAGTGCTTGCCGACACGTCTGAGTCAGACTAACGAACGGAGAGACTGAGACTTGTTATAAATATTTGTTTGCTTCGAAGGAAAGGGATATACGGATAAAATGATTTGTTTACTTGTCATGGCAACCGATGAGACGGAATTCGAAAAGCATGCCTGACTACAATATGCCAGCAACAAGTTTGGTGTTGTGGTATGGTGTGGTAGGAAGGTAAACACGGTCACGACATGATTTCCTTTTCATTCCGATGGTGGCTTAATGGCGTTTATAATGGTAATTAATGCAGAGACCCAAGACCCGTGATGGAACCGTGCGATGACATTTTAAAACTGCTCCATAAAACTATGTGGTAATAATTAATTTATTACGTTTACTGGTACGCGATAATTTTTTGCATTTACAGGGAGCGGGGGGACCTCTTCGTATATTGATTAACAGATGGGAAAGTCATGGGAAGAATCTATTTGTTTGTCAGCGTCTTTTCTGTGGTTCAGTTCGACTTCTTTGACTTCTTCTGCTGCTTGGTCTTCAGCTTCTCCTGTTTCTTGAGCTCCTTCTCCGTCAGCGACTTGTACAGCTTGTAGCCAAAGAGAGCTGCAATGGAAGGAGAGCGTTTCGATTAGTTCAAGTGTTCAAGCGGGCGAATCGCGAGGATGAGTCGAGACCAATTATTGAGAAGAGAAGAAATATCACAGCTGCCACAATGGAACTAGAGTATGTCTGAGCAAAGTGTGCGTGCTGAGTCAGTCTTTGCTCGATTCGCTCAATGGTCTCCTGGAATTTGCCCTTCATTTCCGCGAGAAACAAGTGCCGATCGGCCTCGGTGAGGGACTCCAATTTGTTCTGCATGTCGCCGATCTTCTTAACCAGATCCTGTGCGAATTTGCTGTTGGGTCCCGTCTTGGCCACAATGGACTCCACAGACTGTTTCAGCTGCTCGACAATGCCCGCCGAAGACTCCTCACCGACAAACGAACTCATGTTGTGGGCGAACTACAAGCTAAAAGGCTAACACGGGGATACGGAATCAACTTTTGCCCGCTGGCCGGCATGGGTACCGATTCAACACTGTCTCTGTCAACGCGTGGCCCACGCAATGGTTTGCCTGCTGTAAATTTGTTGTTCCGTGGTGGATTTTGAGTTATCTTATCGAAAATCGAACGCCTATAAAGCAAAGCAAACATATCTGTGTGCGTGTGTGTGCGAGTGTTCTGGCAGGGCACCCTAACAGCACCTAACACTACGTCTAGCTGGAGCTGGAGATACCGTATCCGATAGATTGTTCTGTTTCTGTTTCTGTTTCAGTCGTCGGCTGTCGGTTTTGTGCTTACCAAAGACGAGCAGAATCAGGGCCAACATCACAAAGAATATCATATATTCCCGTGAGCTGTGGCCCGGCTGTCCGTACTGGCGCATAAAGTCCTCCGGCGATGGCGGCTTTGGATTGAATATGCTCTCGCGCAGCTCGTCGCGCTCTGCATCCGAAATGCCATCCATGCTCTCCACCAGCTTCCAGATTTCCTCGGCGCTGGGCATTTTGAAGTCGGGATGGCCCGGCCCAGCACCGGCGAACCCATCAGGGCCACCGGCTGCCGCCGCCGCCTCCACATCCTGGGCGAATGCCTGCTGATTCAGTGGATCTTCTGCCATATTCTCTGTTCAATTCACTTCTGGGCCCACTTAGTCTCTGTGGCTGTGGCTGCTGGTGTGGGAGGTTGGACCTAGCCTTAACGGTTCGCGTCTGAGAGGGGTTGAAGGGGGGTTATAGTATCTTGAAGTAATTGAGTTTCCTCTAGTGTAATTACTGGGGGGAATATGCTAAATTTACGACACTTTGGGAGAGGTGTTAGGGCAAACAAAACAGCAAAAACACAACACAGCAAACGGCAAACACAAATGGAGAGAGAGAGCTGCAACGTGGCAAACTCAACGGAAGGGAATCATTCACATTGCTCGCGATTGATAGTTTGATTCGGTTCGGTATAGATGGAGATTTAATTCAGATTTATAATAGTCCAATCCAATTATTATTCCTCCCAGTACACACACACGCAACAATTTTGGGCTTACGTGTGCTGGCGGTTGCTTCTGCTGCTGAGGAGTACTGAGCGGTCACTAAAAATCATATTTAAAAGTAATATAAAGAAATTGACACTCGTCGTCGGGTGTAATCAGTTGCTTATAATTCATTCTTATTGGAGAGGAGATATGGTTCTGCCTTTCGCTGCGCTTTTCGTTCTGTTATTCGCGCCATCGTCAGCATATTTTTCCAAAGGTAGTCCAACGAAGTCGGTAAAAATAAGTTGGCTGAGCGATAAGAGAGCCTCTCCTGCACACGCTTATCAGTCCACCGCGGGACATAGGGAAAAGGTATAACTGTACAAACCCACGCACAAGCCTAACGGCATGCATTGAGAACTAAAGGATACAACATTCGAGGGGATAAACCGTGCAACTACAACATAAAACAGGGATAACATTGGGTGCCCACACGTGTTCCTTGGACTGTACCATTCAATAATGGGAATGGCGAATGGCTGGCAGGGCTCTTATCACTCGAGCCACTCACTCTCTTATCGCACTCGAACCCAAATTGGCTACGTACGCAAGAAAAGCGGAATAGGTGGCCAGATAGGATGAGTTGGGGAACACGTAAGACTTGCCAAAATGCTGCAGAAATCATACTAAACCATAAATACATCAGATAAGAACACAACAAACGATAGCCAAAGGGGGCAGGGCAAATCTCAACGCATTCCAAACAAAACAACTGTGTATCATGGCGGGGACTTTAGATGGGCGTGCGGGTATTCTAGTTTCTTGCTTGGCTTGGCTTGGTGAAAGTCTTTTGACCCGCTTTTTGGTGGAGTGGAGTGGTGAGCATTCTATGGGGCTGGGGTGGGTAGAAGTAGATGCACTTACCTGCCAGAGTAAACACAACAACAGCCGGTACATAGAAGGCGAGATTGGGAATGGATTGCTGGAACGGAGAGCCGGCGTCAGTTAGGTCAACCATTATTGTATATTATTATTAGAATAGCTTCCGGAAGGGGGCACTACGAGATGGAGTCTGAGCTGGTCTTTCTCTTTTTTGTTTCACGAAATTTATCTCAAAATTTGTTTGTTTTCCAACCCTAGTCGAAGCTAGTTTTCAGTGAGACCGCACTATCGACCAAATATTCTGCACTTCCCTCTGAAAATATACCAAAGTCACCTTCTCATTCTCAAAATATACCATAGATCTTTAACAACTTTCCTCGATTTTGATGTTCTATTTTATATTACTAGCTAGTTCGAATTTTCAGTGCTAAAACTATAATTTTATCCGGTTCACCAGTCAATCTTCCACAGGACTGGCTAGTTTTTATGACGTCCTTTTATTGAACTGTCTGCAAAATAAGGTCAACAAAGAAAAGCATAGACCTAGTCGGGATCTGGTTTTCAGTGAGACCGCACTATCGATAGCATATACTATATATAAGCGTCTGAACCTCAAAAATATGTTTGACGTTAACGAACACAACTTATCATCATCAGCTGTGTATTTGGCGTGCAAGCGTAATATTTTGCCAGGAATTATAAAATCCGAATTGGAAGTCTCGCAAAAATGAAGGTGATCTACAATACCTTGTTCAAGCGTACGTCCACCTACGCCGTGGCCATCATCGCGTCTACATTCTTCTTCGAGCGCGCCATCGATGTCTCCGCTACTGCCCTGTACGAGTCCATCAACAAAGGCGTAAGTTGCACTCGACTCTTATGTAAGACCAACTAGAACTAAACGAATTGCTCTTTTTCCTGTTGCAGAAACTGTGGAAGGACATCAAGAGCAAATACGAATGAGCGCAGTTGTAAATAAAACAATGCTTTGTTTTAATTAGCATAAAAATGAACGTTTATTGTAAACGATACGAAAACTAGAACCGAACGATTTTCACTTTTGTTTTGACTTGGTAGCGCCTGCCTTCGCTGGGGTCGCAGGAATCGATTGCTCCGAAACCTCCCAAGGCTTTTCATGTCGGTACGCATCCCATGGCTGGCTATTCACCAATCGCGTGGGCTCCTTGAATGACACGCCGTTATCCTGGAGGGTCTGCAGCAATTTCTGAAGTTTGCTGCCGGCCACTGCATCCACATTGCACGTCATCTCGGTGATGCCCGACTGAAGGCATCGCTGGGCCAGCACTCGCCCCAGATTCACAAATGCCGAGGTGTCATTGGTCTTGTATAGCTGCTGTTTGATGGCCCATTCGGCGGTGCTGGCGCTCAGAATGGTGCCGTTCTCGTAGTGCTTCACGTCGGCGCTGACATGGCGACCGCTGGTGTTGATTTCGAGCGTGTGCCAGTAGGAGCGACCGGGCTTCTCCAAGTGGTAGCCGCTGGGTTTGTAGGCAATGCGCAGCCTCTCCAGATTTCTGGGATTCCGGTTAACCACAAATTGTTCACTGCTTTGCGGCGTGGTCAGCGCCTTAATCTTGTGCAGCACGCGTGCTGAAGTAAGTGGGCGGGCACTGCGAGACATCCTTGCTCTAAAATAGTAGGTTTAACACCGTTTTTATTCAGATTTCCAGTGGATTATGGAATCAAATCGTAGTTTCGCTGCAACACACCTGTGTCAGTGTTGAATAGTGACTGCAGCAGTTAGTGCTATAAAATGCTCGAATCGGCAAAAATCGAACAGCTGTTGCAGTAAAATTCGGCCTTGTTTTTATTTAATTTCCAATTTATCTAGGTTTTTTTCGGCTTTGGCAGCTATCCCGGCCCGTCCTTTTAGCAAATCAAATTTTCACGAACATGCGCACATGTAATGTTCCGTTACCCACCAGTACGCACATGGGGGTCTGAACGCGCTGCCGACGGCCAGATGATGACGCGTAGCTGGCTAAACTGAAGAGTGCAAAATTCGGAAGTGTATCTTACGGATAAACAAAACAAGCGGTTATGTAAACCACGCGCCGGTGCTAGAATTAAAAGTCTGCTGAACATATCATACAGTATTCACCATGTTGATGGCGGTGTGTGCAAATCTGTGCCGCTACAGGCACGTGCAAAGTGCAGCGGCATGTGCCACGCGGAGTCTTTATTGGGGACGCATACACGCAGACGTGCCCCTGGCCAATGGCCTTCATCCGAGCATCTATGCTCTGTCGGCGAGGGTAAGTGAGGCTATTATTAATTATTGGATGTACAGGGTATTGATTGCGGTAGTGCCGAATCTCACCTCCACCGCACCCACCACAACAATGTCAAGAAGTGGCGCGCAATTCAAAAGCCAAACCTCATGCCAATGCCCGACTTACGTATGTGCTTTCGTGTCTTATCTCAAAAGTTCACGTATAGTAAGTACGTATGTATGCATAGTGCGCAATGTGAACATCTTGTGTGGAAGCGTGCTTAGTTCAACACTTTGGCTACTAACTGATAATGCCGGAGCACTATCGGCCTCTTGACTGTTGCTCTTCTCTTTCTCTCTCTTTCTGTATCAGTGTGTCAGGTGTATGGGCCTCTCTCTATCTCGCTCTCTCACCCTTGCTGCATTGGGGGGCTATACCAGTGCTTTTTGCCGTATTTGAACTTGAGATATTTCGTAGAGACGAAAATCAGTTAAACTTGAAAGTTCCCGCCGCCTGGTCGCTGCTCGTGCAGTTGTGCATACACAGAGCAGAATTCTTTAATACGTGCGAGAAACGATATTGAGACGACGCACAAAATGTCTTGCAGCAGCTGAAGGCCACACACGAGATATACACTTTAATTGCAAACCAAACCGAATGAGTTGAGCCTTGAGCGTTCTTCCGTTCCACAATGTGAGTGTTGTGTTGTGTTCCGTCTTTCTTATCGCGCTCTTTGTGCCGCCCCAAGATGAGATGCAGCCATTTCATTTGCGCTCTTTCTATCTGTCAATCCCATCCCGCCCTCATCCACTGGTGCTGATAATGCTGCTGCTGCCCAGTGCGCATGCTGGGGACCTGTGGCACAACCACAACACACAGTTCAGGTCCACACACAAAGTTCAGTACGGGGTCGACTTTGTTCTCGTTCTGGTTTGACATTTTACATCAAATAGAAATCAAATACGAAATATTATTCAAAATGCGTAGCAGTGTGAGGCGAGCCAAGCGAAAACAAAAGAATTTCAGTATTTTCAACTCCGTAAGCCCGAGATAAGATAAATAAATAAGTTTCCATGGTTAGCACAAGGCTTTGTGTGTTACCCCATTCCGCATAGCCATAGCCATAAGCACATTACATTTCTGATGCATTTTGTACTCTGCAGCAATACGTGCAAGCCCCAGAGACGCGCCCAGTGCCAGATGAGAGATCGACGGCGGGACTGCAGAAGCAGGAACAGACGGAACAGCGTCCGGCCACTTCCTATATGCCCGTCAGCCAGCAGGCATTGAGCAGCCAGCCAATCCAGACGCAGCCGCAGCCGCCGCCACCACAGCCGCCCACAATGTCGGACAAGGAAGCGCGGATGAACATGCCCGCGAATGTGGTGATACCCTACAACATCGATTGGATATTCAAAAGGATGCGCTGCCCGTCAAGAGTCTGGTGGCTGGCCAGCCAATTTGTCATCACTGCGGTCGGAATCTTCAGCAAGATTCTACTGAGTAAGTATGCCCACGACCCCCGACCTCGTACAACATTCGGCGGCAATCACTGCCCGCTCTCGTAATTGCCAAGCCTAGAGGCGGGTCTCCCTCGCTGTGTTCGCACACAATTAAGGTCAAGCGTGTGCCATATTAATTGTTTGCCTTTACATAACTTACATATGCAGATGCTTTGATCTCTGCTGATGCTCGTCTCTGTTTTTGGTTGCCTTTTACAGTGATCGTGAACAAAACCCGCGTATACAACAAGGAACTGCTCGTTGACCTGATATCGAAGCGTCCCAAGGGTGTGGGGCTGCTGACCGTCTCCAATCACTACTCCTGCTTCGATGACCCCGGCCTGTGGGGCATGCTTCCACTGCGTCAGGTATGCAATAGCAGTTGCATTCGTTGGTCGATGGCTGCCCACGATATCTGCTTCACCAACAAGTACCACTCCATATTCTTTATGTTCGGTAAGCCGTCGAGGCGATCCCTTCACAGAATATTTATACTAATTGATCTATCCCTTCTGTGCAGGCAAATGTATTCCTGTTGTGCGCGGCTATGGTGTCTACCAGGAGGCCATCAATCTGTGCATCGAAAAGTGTGCGACGGGCCAGTGGGTGCACGTGTTTCCCGAGGGCAAGGTGAACATGGAGAAGGAGGAGTTGCGACTGAAGTGGGGCGTGGGCCGCATCATCTACGACTCCCCCAAGATGCCCATTATTCTGCCATTGTGGCACGAGGGCATGGACGATGTACTGCCAAATGTTGAACCCTATGTGCCGCAGTGGCGCAAAAAGGTCACCATAAATATCGGCCAGCCCCTGGACCTGAATGACTTTGTCAAAGAACTAAAGAAAAATCAAGTGCCCGAGCAAACAGCACGGAAGCTCATCACCGACAAAATCCAGGACGTATTTCGAGTAATCTCCAACTGTTTGCTTGATCCTCCACAGAGCAATGTTAATCGAGAGTATTTATCTTACAGATCCTGCGGACTGAGACGGAGCAATTGCACAGAGAGCGTCAGTAGAGATTTGAGAATGTAGTTCCAGCAGCATTCATATTTTATATTATTTATTGATATTGTATTAAGCCCAAAACGAAGACAAGCCTGGAAAAACCTAGACATGCGCGTCCATCGACTACGATTAACATTTGACGTGTTTATACATTGTTCGATTTTGGCTATTAGGCTTGGCTGAAGAGACCTCTTTAAGTGAAACAGTGTGCATTATTAAATAAATAGTTTAAAATTAAATGATTAAACAAAACAAATTTTAAAAACATATGTAACAGTGGCGCCAATATGTGCGATGTTTAGCGCGTTAGTTTCATGTACCATTCATATTTTTCCGACAGTCTGGCAGCGCACACACACCGAGCACACACAGCTGCTCAAGCGAAAGCACCGTTATACTGTAAAAATGTAAGCAGTGTGAAATTAATTAAAATAAGCTAAAATCTCTCATTATTAAGCAAATGCAGGTCATTTTCAGTAGCTAATCGAGAAAATGAGCTTGTGCTTACCACGCCGAAGCGCAATGAACTGCTCAAGGATGGTCCCCCCGTTCGCACCAGGTGTCAGGTTCTGGGCCGCGGTGCCTATGGTACCGTGTTCAAGGCCATTTATCGCGGTATGTTTTATACCATAAAGGGGATATATCTTAGTGATCGGCTCTTAATTATGAACAGATCACTCCGTTGCGGTGAAGATCATCAAGGGACAGGCTGTCTCCACGCTGCACAATGAGTCGCATCTGCTGAACTTGGAACACAAGAACATTGTGCGCCTCATAAAAACAGAGTCCGCCGTTGCCTTTGGAATGGTCATAATGGAGTGCCCAAAAGGCCAATGCCTTCAGCAGATACTGGAGACGCTGGCGTTGCCACTATTCCACAGAGTGTTGTATGTGGTTCTGCATCTCCTCCTACGGACTTACATTTTCACTATTTTTCCGCACAGAATCACGTTGGACATTGTGGCTGCTCTGCGCTACTGTCATTGGAACAAGCTGCTGCACCTGGACGTCAAGCCAACCAATATTTTGGTAGCTCTGGGGCCACGACCCTCAGGCATGGGTCATCATTCCAGCTACCAGCGCAGCTACATTTGCAAGCTGTGCGACTTTGGATCGTCCATTAAAATTGGCGAGTATTGTGCCCGCCAGAGCCAGAACAATGGCAGGGGCACCCTCAGGTACATGTCTCCGGAAGCCCTGCGCTCGGACCCGCTGTCAGGCGCATCGGACATCTACTCCTTGGCCATCACCATGTGGCAAATGCAGTCGCGTCGATTGCCCTATCACACGCTCACCTGCAACGAGTCCATCGCTTACCAAGTGGTCAAGCACGAGCTGCGGCCAGATAACTATGAAAAGCTGAAGGCCCTATCCGTCGACTGCCCCAAGAGAGTACCCCTCGTGGGCTGTAACTGGCTGTACGTGAATGAAAGCAGTTCTCAGGCGATGTCGGGCGGCGACCTTTGCAGAAGGGCGAATATGCTGGCGTGCCGCAATCTAAATTTCGAAACATCATGCAGTAGTAGCAGCCGTGAGATAAAGAAGAAGCGCAGGCAGAACCGATTAGCTCTGTATTTTGATAGTCCGGCGCCACATGCAAGCACCAGCACGTGCCTGGAGAGCTCTTACACGGATCTGTACAGAAGCTGCTGGGTCAGCGTGCCAGAATTCCGCACAAACTCTTTTCTGCTGAGGAACAAGCTGGAGCTCATCTTGAGCAGAAGCTCACCCGCCGGCCTGCTTTTAGGTGGCAGTGGCCGTGATTGTGTTCGTTTGTAATTTGTTTGAATTTTATGCCATTAGATTAATTTTATTCCTATTCAATCTGTTGATTGATGGATCCGTGTATTAGATTAAGGGCAGGAAACACACAGTTTTGGGTCAATAATTTATATTTTGTAACTTCTTTTTTGTTTATTTTTGTACTTGCTACGCTAAGAAAATACATTTATAATGTTTATACGAGCTTAAAGTGATACCTTCTCTGACCTGCCGAGCATAGTACTATAGTGCGTTCTGTTCTCTATGTATTTATGTATATATTGTGTGTGTAATATCTATCTATACGTATTTATACTTAGGATGCGGGCTGCTGCGATTATTAATATTAATTAGTCGATGGCAGCAGCCTGAGGAGCAGAGCAGAGCAGTTCTAACGCTTACTACCATACGTATAGAAGAGGGATTTGAATCGACTTCTTTTGGGGTCGCTCTGTTATATACAGGTTTATTGTTACTGCTGTCGTTTTATGTTCGCTTAGAAACCATACGCTTGTGTATATAGTATATATATATATATATATATATGTATGTATATAACGTACCTAAATGCATTTTATATTGCAATTTCACATCATATATATTTCACCCTTAAATGCAAATGTCCAACTGTTGGTTTGGTAGTGTGATAACCAGATACTACAAATGCCTACTGCGAATACACTCGATTTGTGCGGAAGACTACGGTTTTAGTTCATCTAATAGTAGTATTGGTAGTAGTTTTGATTGGACCTTTGCCAGCGACAAAGTGTCCATATGCTGTAATATATTTTTAGTACAACTTAAAGCCCGATTCTTGGGGCTGCAACCGCGATGCTCTACAAAATACTTCACATAGAGCAGGGTGAGCCCTGGGCGTCTCCAGGGAACAGTTGGCAGTGCCGCCGCTTACAAAGTAAAACATTTTCCAAAAATCTACAATATACAATACATAAATACTCGTAATTCTTACATACGAAACCCGCTGCCTGCTGGCTGCTGGCTACAGGCTGCTCCTGGCACTCCCGCTCCCACTCTTCCTCTGTGTTTTGTTTTGTTTTTGTTTTTTTGTTTGTTTGAATATATCACAATTTAGTCTTTTAAATCTTTGAATATTTGTTTGCTTGACGATTATTCAGTTGAGATTTCGCTGCGGTGCCGCAGCCACTTAGCTCGCATAGGATCGCCGCACAGGAACTGGCGGAGGAATTTTCGACTTGCGCTGCTGCTGTCCTGAGGGTTTTGGCTGCTGCTGTTGGGGCGACTGTGGCGATGGAGACGAAGGCGAGGGCGAGGAGGAGGACACCGAAGAGCTAGATGACGTCGATGAATTGATGCTCGTTGGAATTCTGGTGGGCACCGCCTTCGGCAGGCAACTCTTTGGCGGCTCCGTCGACTTGGCCTGCTTCTGCAAACACGTCGCAGATTAGGATACGGATGCATTCTGGTATCTGCAGATGTACTCACCTTCTTTGGGGACGCAGCCGCTGGTATCTGCACCGGGGATGTCACCCGCTTCCAGCCGTTGCTCCTGCGCCAGGGGCTCGATGTCGGCGGCGCGGAAAATTGTCGGTTCAACATTCGCTCCTTTAGCTTGGACACGATTGCTGGTGACGGGGGCGTTGCCTCTTTGGAGATTTTGGCCATCAGGGCACAGCTTATGCTGTCGCTGCGCACCACGGTGGATTCCAGCTCGCGGCGCTGATTGTGGCGCAGAATGCAGCTTGGCTCCTGCTCCTCCAGCACCGACTTGGACTTCACCAGCACATGGGGCGGTCGTCGCAGCTCGCTCTTGATGATCTGCGCTATGCATTGCTGCTCATTGAGTGGCTGCAAGGGCGTGGCGCTCATAATCAGCGGCACGTCCTCGATCTCGATGTCGCTGACGCGTCGCCGGCACTCGTCAATGACCGCATAGTCAGGCTCTTCCTCCTTTTCCTGAAGCGACTCCGTCGGCAGCGGCGGCGGTGGGTGGCTGATCGAATTTTCGTCCGTTTCGCTGGAGGAGCAGCTGGTCAGCTGGGCGCGTCCTGCCTCGCTGGGCGTGGGACTGGCTGCGGCCCGGGCCGTGTGTGCCGCTTGGCTCTCGGACATGCTCGAGTCTGCCTCCTCGTCGTCGTCCTCGTCCTCGTCGTCCGTCTCGCCCTCGAGGTAGGAGTAGAGGCTGCGCGACGAATTGGAGCGGATGTTGACCAGCTTGTAGAAGTCGTTGGTAAAGTCCGTGCAGGCCACCTCCTCATCCTCCGAGTAGACAATCTGAAACAGAGAATTCCTTTATAGAAACCAATCCAAGGAAAGAAAGCATCTGCCGCTCACCTTTTGCTGCAGCAGCTGAGCAATGCCGTCGCCAACGGAGTCCGTCTCGACGGTGGTCGAGTTGATGAAGTCACTCGAGGGCCAGAGCCAGTCGTGGTCGCGTTTCCTTCGTTGATGCTGCTGGTGGTGCTCTCGCTCGTCGTCGAATGTCATCACAGCCAGCTCTTCCTGCGACATGCTCCAGTCCTCCATTTCCGTCGAGCAGGGCTCTGCCGGCAGCAGCCACTGCTCGGGCTCCTCTGGCAGGTCCTCCAGGTGGCCGTTCGACGGCTGCGGCTGGCCACTGCTCATCGTGCAGTAGCCCTCGTCCCGACCCTTCACCGGACTGGCGGACAGCGCAGCGTTCTGCGCCTCCAGATCCCGCACACGGCTCTTCAGCATGCTCACCTCCTCGCGCAGATTGTCCTCGGCCACAATGGCGTCCACCACCTTGCGCATCACGTCGTCCAGACAGTGCTCATACTGCCGGATGCGTGTGAGCAGGGATCGGTTCTCCTGCTGCATGGAGTGCAGCAAACTCTCCTGGCGGGCGAAGCGCGTCTGCAATAGAAGGGGGGAAACAATGGATCAAGTGTGTGCCTGCAACAGTGGAGACCTTCAGCCATGTGCCACCCAATGACAGCTGCATGGGCGCCGCGCACTCTTGACGAGGGTCACAGACGTACCGCTCGTTCATCAACTTTTCAGAGTGGAGTGTCAGATCCAAAAGTGCTAAGTGAGCAGTAGTTACAAGACAAACCCCCACCCCGTGCCAGACACAGCAACAACTGAATGCTCCAATCTCTATTGATCGAAGCCAACTTGTTAACTGCCCCCCGAAGGTCACTGCACGCCATTCAATGCCCCAATCTGTGTGATGAATGGAGAGGGGGAAACCTTGGATTCATTAGATGGGCTTTACAAAATTGGGTTAGGCTCGGAACGGATTGTTTCGTAGCGAGACGCAAATGAGATTGCCAGAAGTTAACGACGTGAAGGGAAAGGAAAGGAATCTCCATCTACCCATCTACTACCTCAACCTCCCCTACCCCTGCCCCTGGCCTGGCCTGGCTCAATGAAGCGTCCCTAATGCCAGCCGCGCGTTCAATCAATTCCGGCAAAAAGTGCGCCCAAGCCAGGCCAGGCCAGAAGCAATTTTCAGCTTCCATTTCCCTGCTCCACGGATAAGAGACAATTTGTATGCGCCAGAATGGGAGCAAGGGGAGAGATTTTGTTCTTAAAAATGAATTTATGCGTTTATTTATGACTCGGCCTCTCGGCGGCGCTGCAGAGGGAGTCTCGACTCTACTCGACTCGACTCTCGCTGTGCAAATTGATTTTCCACATGCTGTGTAGAGGGCTATCCCCGCTCACCACCCAACCTAGAGACCCACCATACATACCTGCAGTGCCTTGTGATCCCGACATGTCTGCATTTGTTTGCGCTCTTTGGATTTCATAATGCGATTCATGCTGCAGGTGTGAGCGAGAGGTGTAGTGTGGAGATGCGCGCAAGTGAAAAGAAAACGAAAAAGAATAAGCCAAAGACAAATATAGAAATAATGAAAGCGAATTGCTAAAAATCAACGGAATCAGTGTGTTTGTGTGTGTGGGTGCGTCTGAAGCGATGTTTTAAATTAACAGTTAATGTTGTCCATAAAGAGGAGAGAGAGAGCGAGCTTTGAGAGAGGCAGAGTCTAGCCTAGAACCAGAGCCATGCTCAAATCTGAATAGCTGTAATTACACTGGGGCCACGGATGCGAGGGTTCACTGTGATTGATGTGTTCGCCGCCAGTAAGTGTTTCCTGCTGTTCGCTGTTCTTCTGCTTATTTTTCGTGTTCTCCTTGCACTCCCTCCTTGGCACTGCTCTGGCAATTTGGAAAATTGCATTTTGGGTGCCGTTAGCTCTCAGGCCGGCCAGCCGCGGCTCCAGTCTTTTGCTGTGCGTAATGGCGCTGTCCTGGCCAGGAGGTGGAGGCGTGGCTGGTCACGAGTATGAATTATTTACGTAGTTTTTTGCCAAAAGCAGTGCAAAAACTATACCAAAATTGCATAATGTCCGCGAAAAGGGTGTCTGGCGGGCAAATTAAATAAATATTGTGCTAGTAATTTATTGTATAATGGAATGGAATGCATAGGAAAGCATTCCAGCAATGAATTGAAGTAACGGAACAATTCCAGCTCTTTCTCTCTCTCTCTCTCCTGCTAATTCTGGTTCTCACACTAGCACACCCACAGTCACGGTCCTTATCGTGATTAACAATTTAGCTTGGATGACACTTACTTCTCAATTTGCTCGCGCAATTCCTTCTCGAACGTTGGCGACCCGCATTGGCTCTGGAAGAAGTACGTTTGGTGTGTGTGGTGTGGAGTGTAGAGTGGCGGTGGCGGGGGGCAAAATGAAAAGAGAAAATGTGGAAGAAAACATTAAATGAAAAGCAAAAGAAATTAAACACAATAAATTAGTGCACTTTGTGACGATTAAGAGCGACAATTTAATTGTCCGTATCACAGTGTCAATCAGTCTCCGTTTACAAGCTAAATTGGAAAGCGACAAAGGCGACAGATCAAAGGAGCAGGGGAGGGTCTGGCGACTGGCCATGGACGGGCATTAGAAACACATTCTGATGAATGCAGCACCATAAATCACCAAGTCAACAACCAACCGGCTCTGTCTGCCCCCCAGCCGAGCTGCAGCCACAGCCACAGCCACCGCTCCATCTCTGACTTCGTTTGGGGGGCACTATTGGCGTGAACTGTAATCGATAAAAAATTACATCACGACGATTTCATCTGTGTGACGTGACCGAGTACTCAGACACAGAGACACACTCGTGGAAGGGTAAAGAGCGGTGTAGTGGGGCACTTGTTATAAATCGCTTGGCTTAGTGTAAACATAATGAATGACAACGAGAACAACTACAGTTTCAAGTGTAAACAAAACGCAATACTTATTATTGAAGTGTCATCGGCAGCGCCAGACGGAGATTGGAGCACGAGCTAGACACCACAGAGATGAGCGCGTGACACGAAGCAACACCAGATCCATGCCATACACTCAGTTGTGTTATTTATTTGTAGCAGGAAACTCTCACACAATGGAGCCCGTGCGCATCTCCAACCGTCATTATCTATGGGATTTCGATGTTTGCTTAGCCGAGAGTGTATTTGACTCAACGACTTCCCTTCCCTGTGGGGTCGCCACAAAGAAGTGGGTGGGGAGAAGGTCTGAAGAGCAGGGCAGAGCAGGGCTATTAATCAATTTCATTATTCATCAGAAATACCCAGATTCCTGCCATTCCGGAGAAGCACACAGAACTCCAATCCCACATTCCTTGGACTTGCTGCAGTTCTTTTGTTGTTTGCCCTAATATCTATGGAAATATTTCTAAAATGCTTTCATCTGCAGCTCTGTATTTGGGTGGAGGGGTTGTAATAAAGCACTCCGGGGAGCTGGGGCAGGAGCTGGGGATCGGCGATAAAACGCAGCAGCACGCGCCACGCCATTCAAGAAGTTGCCCCAGCAACCTCCCACTACCATGCTGACTTCTGCTGCCCAGAATTACAAATATATGCAATAATTTTTATTAATTCGCCTTCATGCATGTGCCGACGAGTCCCAATAAGAAAATGTGCCCCCTTAAAACATTATTTGGGGCAACAGCAGGCGGCAGGCGGCTCACAGCTCCCGGCCAGACTGATTGCCGTCCTCGGGCGCCACTTGTCCCAGCCAAAGGGAACGCGAAATGGCAGTGGAATGGTGGGGAATGATGAACGTGTTAATAAAATTAGAAGGCCACAACGGTTGGGCCACTCTCTAAGCCTCTCCGTCTCCGTCTCTCTCTCATTCTATCTTTCTCTCTGTGTTTGCTCCCCACCCAAGACGCTATTTTGGGCAACTGGTGCGCCTGTCGGCAGCTGTCGGCTACTGCAGCCATCGCCCCACCACGTCCTCACCCCACCCCTCACCATACCACATCGCATTTCCCATTCAAGAGGCGACGTGCATAAATATTCATTGTGAATTTTGCTCATAAAAGTGATGGAAGAAGGAGGAGTAGGCTCTGGAGGAGACCTGAGTGGGGCAGGCAGTGGACAAACGGTGCCGACAGCCGTGCTGCTTATTGATGAAGTTATAAAATCAAGCATGAATTTTTTATTAATTAACGGAAAAAGGTGAAACCATGGATACTTGGAGTTTTAAATGAAACTCTGCATAAATTTCAATTAGCATAAGGCCCACAACGAGGGTGGCCCAAAAACGATTCGGGGGGTGAATGTGAACCCCAGCGTAATCCCCAGACCCAAAACAGAAATTAACCAAACAAATCCCGGCAACATGTTGCACCCATGTCGTGGGATAAAAAGCGAGCCAAGCGGTCTACACAGGGTTGCACATCATACGGCCATTTGCACCCGCAAACGCACTTCCGTACCTAAGACGTAACGCTGGTCCCATCCATCCATCCAGCCACCCACCCTGGACAACATCCTTTGTGCTGACGTGTGGGGGGGAGTTTATCAAAGTGAAATTCCTCTCAGATGGATGGGAGAGAAATATGAACACGCTTATTATTAATTAACATGCAGATTGAGCAGCGGGTGCACGGCAGGCATCCTGCCATCCCATCCCAATGTCCCATGAATCCCACAGCATCCCACAGCAATCCCCAATCGATTCTTACCATTCTCGTCCCTGGTCGTGTCCGTTATTCGAGTGCCATCATTCCAAATGGGATTATTCCGATGATTGTTGTTCTTGTTGCTGGTTTAATTTAAGCACAAACTTTCGAGACCGACCAACAAAAGCGTAAAAATAACAGCAAAGTGGAATGTAGCTTTATGTCCAACCAGACACCAGCGCTGGCACGGACAGCGCCCTGTCCCCACGGAACGGCATAAATTTTCGGTAAAAAAGCAAACGAAAGTAGCGACAAAGCGTAACTCAAATTAGAAGAAGGATATAATTTCCAGGAAGACCAACGACACAACAACGAACAAAAAATAAAACTTTCAAGAAAAAAACCGTACGTCGCGACGGCGGATGGCAACCATTTGAAGCTACGAATAGCGGCATAGGATAACAGTATAACAGTAAAGGAAAACAACCACCTCTGGCGCCGGCCACGTCGAGAGCGAGAGAGAGAGAGAGAGAACGAATTCGCCGCAGTAGGACTCAGACTCAGCTGTTTGGGTCTGCTACCCCCCACTCCGATCCTGCGGCAACAGCCGGCACAAATAACCGGAATAACTCTCACTCAAACTCTCGCGCTCTCTCTCTCTCTCTCTCTTTCTCTCATCCACTCATTCTACACTGCCATTCCCATCTCTCGAAGCATTTTTGATGTATTACTTTGAATTCGACTACGAATTGGCCGTTTTTAATTTAATGAACCGCGACGGAAGAGGGGATAGCGCTGTGGATGAGATGGACAGACAGACAGGCAGGCAGTCGTCCCCACCCTCCAAAACTCATCCTGCTCTCTCTCTTCCATGGGTAAACAAGAAAACAAACATTCTGCAGATGTGCGAGGGACAGCGACCAACCCTGGGACTGCTCCTGGGGGATGAGTGATGTGATCCGGATCCATTCAAATCGTGCATTTTTTTCGACTGCTGCTTCGAATGCAAACACTAAAACGTCACTTGAGCAGAGTGCGGGCGTGAAAGAGAGAGAGTGAGAGAGAGAACAGCAATGCCTTGACACAAGAGTGTGAGTGAAGCCTTCCAGTGCGGCTTACTCCTCTTTCCCGTACAACAAAAGTTTCGCGAAAAATTAATTGCATTGCACTTTTTTGTCAAGGGGTACACAACAGAGCGTGACGAGGAGTGGGAAGTGCGAAAGGGGATGGGCAGAGAGGTGGCGAGTGTATATGGAACTCTATATGTAGTGGTGGTAGTTTCCACACATTCATATTTCGTTTATTTCGGCTGGTTTGAGGGGGCGTATGAATCATCATCATTGGCGTGGGGTTTAAAAAACACATCGCGAGGGTCCTGCAGGTCAAACCCATTTTGGGGTAGTATGCGAAAGGGTGGATTTTTAGAGAATTAATGGGCATTAATAAGTATATGCCACAATATAGCACTAGGGCTGACCTACCCTAAAGATTGGAACATGCTGTATACAGGGCTTTGTACATGGACTCCCCCAAGCAATCTTTGGCAGGAGATGTGTAGTGGCTAGGCAGCGGCTCCACGGGTGGTGCAGCGGCATTGGTGCCTTCATTTCCGTCTGAGTAAACCATCAAACGTTTGCGACAGAATTATTAGCAATTCAAGTTGGACGACGAACGCGAATAATGATGATGATGATGATGATGATGATGATGATGATGATAGAGCCAGCAGCGGTTGGAGGGCCACACGCTGATGTTGATGTTGATAATAAAAAGTGCTCATGCTGGGGGATACTCTCTGCCACGCCTGCGGGCACCACCTTCAACTCTAACTCGGAACTCCTCTTCGTACTCCTGGTACTTGCGAAAAGCTCTTGTAAACGACCAAGTGCCACTCAAGACAACGGTCCAAGTCCACGCCCCCCCTCCGTTGACAGTTGACAGTTTTTCTGCCTGTTCTCTTTATTCTATTCAATGCTCTTCTTGCTCTCTACTTTTTCTTGCTCCCCTTTCTTCTGCTCTTCCGAAGATGAATGCAATGGAGCTTATTAAAGCGCAGATTTCTCAAAGGGCGGAGTGACAGGGACAGGGACAGCGACAGCGACAGGGAGCAAGCGAGATGGATGAGGGCTGCTCTGGCTGGTCTGGCGTTGGAATTAAAAATTGAGCACGTGCTTTCTATGTGAAAGAAGCTCTTCATTGTTGACCTGACAATGCATAACGCCCCCACCAACCTTCCTTTTGTGAAAGGGGCGTGCCTGGGCATGTCCACTTCTAGGGAGACATTAATCAGTCTTTCATTAGCAAAAGCCAGATTTGGATGAACGTTTGCCCATCGCCATTGATTAAAGACAAACAAAAATTCCACTCGTTTACATTTTGTCATCTGTTTTGGCAACATTTCATACGAAAACTCCAAATATAAATATTTGAGGACTCGCTGTCGTGTGGCAGGAGCCGAAAGGATTAAGTGTCGTGTCAGCCCGTGGCATGTCCAGCACTCGACACGAGGACTGCCGCTCCCCTCCCTCCCCTCCTGTTGTAACCAAATACAAACTCAAAAGCAACAAGAGAGGAACAACAGAGAAGGGAACGACCCACAGCAGAGCTTTTGGGATACCCTTTGCTTACACATTTGATACAAAATGTAGGGTGAGTGATCAGTAAGGAATACACAAAGAATCATTATTGGATTGGCAACAGTCTAATGAAAAGCAACACGGCAACAACAGCAACTGTCAGCCATTTGAGAAGGGTTCAGAGAGAGAGAGAGAGAGCACGAAAAGAAAGGAGAACTTTGCAAACGACACTCAGATAACCTGGGCAACAATACGGATAATCCCTTGAAGCACTCGGAGCACCCGCCTTGAATGGTAGTGGGAACTTTTCCATCAATTAGATGACAATAATCCCAGTCATTTTCTGCTGCTACTCCGTTGTCTGGGCTTTGGCGAATCAATTACATTTCCGATTCGCAAATAATTTACCAAAGTAAACGTTCTGCTCCCATTCTCTGATGGCCTATCCCTCAAATTAGAAACAGATGAGGATGATGATGATGATGATGATGATGATGATGGGGAGGGGCATGCCGAATCACAAGATGGATATTCATTGAATCGTGCCATTTATTGCCTGCCACATGGCCAACAAGCTGCTGCTGAGGCTGCTTCCTGCTTTCTGTTTTCTGCTGCCTGATGTGCTAATTCTACTTCACGGGTTTCTGCTTCGTCTTGGCCAATTCTGCAACATTCACACTTTTGGTAGCTCGACTTGTCAATGGTCTCTGGTCTTTCCTTCTGCCTCTCTCTGTCCCTCTATTTGCCAATAACAATAAAGAACACACACACACACACACACACACACTCGGAGCGGGGGCAGGGGAATCTGACTAAGTGAAACCAAAGGACAGTGGCAATGGGTCCACACAGCTGAGTGGTGGCTGGGGCAGCAGCATAGCATAGTTAATCGTTATTTACAGACAGATAAAGTGCAGAAATATTGCCACACAGGAGGCTGGGGAGCAGCAGTGGCAGCGGTAGCTCATGTATCCAGAAAAGGGAAAAAATATCCGCATACGCCTCGAGTAATCGGATTCCCATGCATGGGGGCCACACCACACACCAGCGAAACCTCCGCCTGTGTGTCTGCAACGTTGATAAGGAGGAGTCTAAGAGAGGGGGAGGGTGTGCCGCGGGGAAGTGCCATTGCCATACTCGTAAATTCTCAAACCAAGTTGGGACGCCTGCCAAAAGAATGGAAAATCAGGCAATGGCCAGGGCCAGGGACAGGGCCAGAATGTACTTTTCCTCTCGACGATGGTTTTGTCTCTTCCTGCCGCTTCCTGTGGCAATTTCGTTGCGGAAATCATTGGCCAGAAGATGTTAGATGTGTGGGGGGGGGGGGGGGGAGTAACTGGCACTGGAACTGAACATGAAGCTGGAGCCATAGATGGGAGCTGCTTAGGCCACACGCTGTTTCTTTTCACACCATAAACCCCGGACGGGGCCTTTCTTCAACTCGTTATTGGGTTTGGAGTTTTTTTGTTGTCAAATTCAATTACCTAGAGCCGGAAGTGCGTATGCTGCCCGACCAAGTTCCGGCCATTAAACTTTCCTTTGGCTCCATTTTGATGGCAGTTTAGATCGAGATTTGCGCCAAGTTTTGATCTAGTGTGCAAAAAGGTGTCGACAGCAAGCGAGAGTTCTTCGCCGCTGGCTCGTACTGGCATGCATGTAATTCAAGCTTGTAACTTTTAATTGCCCACTGGGCCACAGTCGGAGTAACAGCCAGAGCCAGAGGCAGAGAGAAAACCACATAAACCGCACAGAGCGAGCGTTGGAATGGCAACGACACGATTAATGACCCTCAACCCCATGTCCACCCAATGCTCCCTCTATTTTGCTGGGCCTGAGATCTCGCTCACACTCTGACCGCACAGGAAATTAAAATGCTTCAGCCGGACCCCGAGCCCCAACATGGAGACATTAAACTGAATGTTGATTTCGGAGAGCAATGTTGAAGGTCTCCTTCAACTGGCATTTTGGCATTTGATACTCACTTTATGGAACTCCTCCTGCAAACGCAGCAGAGCGCCTTCCACTTCAATCATCCGCTTCTCCAACAAATCCTGCAATGAACAACAAAAAAGAAAAACCGAAAACTGAAGCACACGCACTGAACAGGCGGAGGGGAATGAACCCCAAGCTCTACGTACATACACAACTATGTAATTATGTATTTATGTACATAAGTATGTAAATGCTGTGATGAATGCCCAGAAAATGACTTTTCAAAGTGCAGCAAGTGAATACATGAATGTGGGTGAGTGTGTGGTGAATATTTTCAGTGTATGTGTGTGTGTGTGTGTGTGTGTGTGTGTGTGTCCCATGAACCAATGGTATGTGTGGGTGAGTGCTAAACTATTTGTTGTGTTTTTGGGCATTGTTTTTGATGGCTTTTAATATACATAAACTTAGCTGCAACCATTTAAATCTTTGGAATGCAAATTGAAATGTATCTGGGTGGATTTATGTTAAGTTGTTCTTCGATATTCTAGCCAGAACATTGCTTATTTATAGCTTGTTTCTTTGTTGGCATCACTGAAGCGAATGAATGTTAAGAGCAAGGCATGAGAAATAATTATAGCAACTACGGAATGAAAGGCCATTGAAATTAATTTACGATCTTGTCATTGCATTGCTGGGAAAAGCGGATTTGAGGTGTAAAAAGCAATTCATTGAACTCTTTTGGGCACAAAAATCGGGCTCCATTTGGAACTGCAGCAGCAGCAGCAGTGGAGGAGGAATGGAATGGAATGGAGCGAATCGGAGCTACGAGTTGAACACAATAAGTCGGCTTTAATCCGCACGCGATACACGGAGAAGGTCTGGGGCAGGTGCAGATTGCAGCAGGAGGACGAGGAGGAGGAGGAGGTATGTTGCAGGTGTGCTTGGGCAATAATTCACCGGCACCGAAGCACCGAAGCACCGAAGCACCGACATGCTGCCACAAAGAACTGTGTGGCACACCCGAACTGGGGCTATAGAAATGGACAGGACAGGCACCAAATGAAATCTATGGATTCATGGAGATACTTACTCGTACGATGCACATGTAAAGACGAGTATGTATGAATGTGTGACGGGGGCTTCAGCAGGAAGTGGAAATGGCAACTACCAAGTTTCGTCCACCACGTGGAAAGCGACAAACTGGAAAACTTCTGGCCACTAAATATGGCCAACAAATGTGTCGCTTTGGCCAAAAAGAAACTGAATAAAAAAGAGACAACAACAACAATTGTGACGCCATTCGCTCGTAAAACACGCATTTTTTTTTCCAGCTGTTTTACCTTTTTTTGTTGGATTTTTGTAAACACTAAAAATTAGTTGTGGAAGTAGTAAAAATAATTTTTATAGCTCTTAGAAATTGTCTCGTTTGTTGGTTTATGGTTTTTCGGCTTTAAGCATTTTTGCGCAACAGACAAATTGATTTTTGTTGTCGCCGCGAGAGGGTTAAAGATTAGGATCCAAATGCGATCCGGGATTGTGGATGGAGCGTGTTGGCCATGATTTGTGGCAGGAAATAATGCAGTCTCTACCAGTGCTCATAGCGCGTAATATATAAGCGGCTACGACCATATATCCATATGCTAATGCGAGGCAGGCAGGCAGTACGGCGACAACAATGGCAGCCCATAGACTGTGCCAGCTCTGCGCATGTGCAACAGAAACGGAATCAGAGGCAGAACCAGAACCAGAACCAGAAGCACTGATGTGGGGAGCTGCTGGAGGAGCAAACATAGCAAATGAATAGCAACAGGTTCGTTGAACTCTCCTCAATCACACAATTGCAACAGAACGGCAGCTTCAGCTCTGTGGCATCCACGCATTGCATGGCAAGAACGTGACTGGGTTCTGATGATGCACTGCACCAGCAGCACCACCAGCAGCAGCAGCAGCTGTGGCAGGTCTCTCTGTGTGTGTGTGTGTGTTTTTGCAGCTATAATCGAGATGCCATTTGGCAAATTTGTGCCCTGCGAGTGAGTGGGTGTCTTCGGATCCAGTCGGTGGCACCAGCTGCCTCCTGGCTCTTGCCTCTCATTGTGTTTGGTAATCGATACACGCAATGTCTCGCCGAGATTCGTGCTGAACCATGTGGAACGTGGAGGACAGAGAGAGAGAGCCAAGGGGCAGCCCCTTCAATTAGCAGGACCCCCAGCTCTGGCCATGGCTGGCCTTTTACAGCACAGCTGCTGCATAGAGGAATTCTGGGAAACATTACCACGTCAACTACCATTTACATAGAGGACTAACCGCGTTCTACCTCTCTCTGCACTGCTGTCGGGGAGCTGAGCCTCATTTGCAGTCGCTTATGGACCACGGCTGATGGCTGTAACTACCATAAATCAAGTGCTCAAAGCCGCGCATGCGCCATACTTAGTGCTATTAAAACGTCACGGAAGTCGCAACGTGATCGGTGAATGAGGCTGAACGAGATGCCGTCTGGGAAACGCTCCAACCAGCCGCAGAACAGCATGGAGCATGATAATTGTCAACATTGCGAGTCTGCGAGTACGAGACGAGTATATTGCGATCAATTAGAGTTGGCAGCGACCTGTGAGTCGACCTCCAATCCTGTGCCGCGGGAAAGTCAAAGTTGAGCCTAGGCTAGCGTGATGGCATGTCAAGAGGGCATTTCGTCTGTGCATTTCGATGGCTTGAAGGGGGTCGCGTTGCACCGCTTGTGATGTGTCTTAAATGGCACGTTAACGAGTTCAAGTGGCCGCCAAGGCTCTGGCCCCGCCACGGGTTCAAAGGTGTTTGTTCCAGCAACCAGGTTTGCATGCCCGCCACTTGGGGAAATTCTCCACACGCCACAAAAGGCCGACAGCCAATGGCAGGAAAAACATCAACAATGGAAAGCGATTGCTGGTGCTGTTCTCTTTGCTTTCCCCCCACGAGAAATTTGGGTTAACAATCCACATGGAGCACACGGGTTTGATGGGTATACGCGAGTGGGTTTATGCCATGATTTGATTCGAGCCGATTGTCTATAATTGGGTGGGGTTTCTACTCCTTTTCTACTCACAAACTCCCAAGCGCTACGTGCTACTCCAGGGCAAGACCAAACCGAAGCGGGGGGCAGGAGTGTGGAGCAGTTACCAACACCAGAACTCACCTTATCACAGCCGCCAGAGCCGAGGCTACCGCCGCCATTCATGCGCTCCAGGGAGAGCGTGCCCGTGTCGGAGGGGTCGGAGGGCGTACGCGGCTGATGCACCAATTGGATTCTGCCCTGCGAGATTTGTATGAAATTGGGTGGCGGCGGCATTATGTCGTGCACATCGTCCTTGTCATCCTCATCGCAGTCCTTTTCGTTCTGCCTGCAAAGTACAGAGAGAGAGAGAGAGTTTCCAATTAATATCGCCTGCAAGCCACCGATCGTGGGAATGTCGGTTTCCACATCGCTCTGTCCGTTGACCCATAAAGAAGTGTCAGAATTCTGTCCGGCAGCTGGCAAATCGCTTATCGAGCAAACCAAACACTGGACAACATTGCACAACACTGAAATAATCGAGCGGAAGGGTGGGGGGTGCTGAAAGTTGCAAGTTGCAAGTGGAGTGCAAGAGAGATATCAAAATGAACTGTTTATGGGTGCAGGGGTAAGTGGTTCGTATCAGCTGCCGGTGCTGTTGCCGGGATTAGGTATTGGGCATGGGAATAGTGTCCTCGAGCGGCCTGCGCAGGCTAACAAACGAAAATTCGCCTCGTTATTTCCAATTGAATTTGCCAGCTAAGTGCAAATAATTCGATAAAATTGCCACTTGAAGGCATTCGAGTGGGCAAACGCCAGCCAAAACACCAGCAAAAAACAGCAACAGCAGCGGGCAACGAGAGTGCCCCAAAGAGCTCCGACTTGCCAGCTTGTCTACGTTCACATCTACCTCGGGACCGAACCACCAGCCCCCTCCCCCCTGGAATCTTGGAATCCAGTTTTCCACACAGTTGACTGTGTCTTGGACTCCATGGTGCGGTGCGGAGTGCCACACAAACTGGAGGCAAATAAATGGACACAAAGAGCTAAAAACAATCCTACAAGCTAATCGCACAAAATGTTTCGTTTCTTGTTTGGAGTGGAGAGAGCCCCCGTGCACCTCGTTTCCCCTCTCGTGCCACCAGAGTCTCTATGTCTCTCGCTATGTCTCTCTATGACGTTGACATCGGACAAGTGGGCAGTGCAGTGCTTTGAATTGCTTTGGATTCAACTATCAATATCGGTGTCTATCATTGCGTATCACTTTGCCAGTCCGAGTTCGAGTTCGAGTTCGAGTTCTTTTTTTTTGTCGCTGATCCACGGCCCACGTTTCCTAGGCCTAGGCAAATAAAATTCTCATTCCGCTTTGATTTATAGGCATCAAATAAAGCAATCAAAATCAATTTAACTGTTATCAAGCTCGGCAAATGGCAGCTGGTAATTAAGAGAAGAGAGCAAGCGAGCAAGCATCGCACATCGCATGTGAATCAGACATTCAGCCAAACAGACTCCCGGTCTTCAGAGATGAGTCTCCGACTCTGCCTGCTCCCCCTCTCCCCTTCTTTTTCGTTAGATGCAAAACTTAATTAGCCAGACATCACAGTCGCAGTCGCAGTCGCAGTCGCTGTCTGCGTCGCCCCATCACTGGCAAGTCAAAAGGCCAACTAATGACATTACAGGGCTTTAATTAACGGCCACGCCAATGCATCCTCGCGCGCGCCTTCCAATTAATTGACAGCGAAAGGTGCAGAGTGCAAATGCTGCACTTTAGGCACACAATTAAAGTGCATGTGAGTCATGCTTCGTTCTAGCCCTAAGTTACGCACAACTTTTATTTGGATTTAGCATTTTTATTATCAACTCGATTTCCTTTGCTTGGCTACAAATCGTCACATGTTGAGTAAACACAAACTGACACACACACACACACACGCACGCACATGCACTGATAGCGCCAGCGTTGAGTATTGCACATTCGTCACTTTACTGACGCAGAGAGAGAAGGAGAGAGAGAGAGAGAGAGAGGGGAGTGCATGGAATGGGATGGTGGAGCCAGACAGTTGTTCCAATAACTCCCGTTCCAGTGGGCAAAGCTCGGTCATTCGGTTAATCCCTCAGAACCCGCTACTGTTTATGTTTCTGCTACTTAGATTTTGCCATACTCTCATATGAGTTACTATCATTTGTTGCTGGTGTTGTGGTGTTTACCATTGTTTAATCTCACTAACTGAATAAAAAAGTGGCACTGATGCTTCTTTTTTCTACTTTTACTTATTTAACATATGTTAGCATGCATAATCGTTTAGTTAGGGTATCTAAAGCTTCGACTTTCGTTCTCTTCTGCTGCTGTTGCTTTTGCGGCGCATTCGTTTACTGATTATGCTTTTTTATGCGACGACCATAAATTTCCGCTGTCGGTGTCGCTGTCTCCTTCCTGCACCTTCCTCTGCTCTGTTCTTTCCGCTCTGTCCCATCCACTCCATCCAAGCTCTCCACTGTCCAGCGACTCTTATCAATCGCCATTGCAGTTGGCATAAAAATAAATATTGCACAAATGCGTATAAAAAGTAAATAAAATAAAAGGCAGGCAGCCTGAGAGGGGATTTCGTTTTATGCGACCTACAAATAAGCCCCCCCCCCCATAAGGAGCTTTGCAAAGGCAAAGGCAAAACCTCTTAGGAGCGATTTGTGAGGCATAATTGCGAGAACGCTTTGCTTCTGGCTTCTGGCATAATTGAGGGCTGGGACTGGCCGCTCCGATAAGCACCCACGCATAACTGCAGTCGCGTCTCGGAATGTCTCGCAGATAAGCAGATGCCAGAAGACCTTAAGCCGCAGTCCAAGCAGTTGATGCTTTCCCAGTGATACTCGTAATGGGGGTTTGGGCGAAAAGCATTCCACGTATTGATCATTTTGTAGGCACTTAAGCGTAACCCCACCAAATGCTCCATTTGCATAAAATCCATCGAATTAAATGGCCGCATGTGGCATGTGGGTATATTTATACACACAAACACACACACACACACACACGCACACACGAGCTGTTGCAGCAGCAGTGGACAATGAGGTCGCTCGACGGTGCAAATAATTTACAGTTCTATGCAATAATTGCCATAATTTTCGGACTGCCATTCGAACAAGGTTTTTCCTCCCACGACACATCCCCCACCCAACCATCCGACCGCACCGCCCCCCTTCCTGTCATGAATATCATGAAAATCGAAGTTGGAGTTGAAACGCCCAAACTGTCCAAATGTCCAAATGTCCAACTGTCAGAGTCCGGTCGCTGCTCCGTCGCTGGTCTGGTCTCCGCTCTGTTTGTGGGTGCTCCACTGACATGGACGTGGGCGTGGACTGTCTGGCATGGACTGCTGGTACTATGGTTGACCACACGCAGATGGAGTTGCAGCCTCCTCGGGGCAGCCTCGGGTGTGCTTTTGTTTTGTTTCAATTCATAGAAATCGTCTAGAGTTCGGGGGATCAGGCTACTGTCTGGGGCTTAGTGCCGGGCTGGGCCCATTTACGCTTGTGAATTGCACAATTTATGTGCCCAAAGATCGATTAATCGCTGTGCTGTGAGGGTATTTGGGTGTGTTTTATTTTATACCAAGAAAAGTATCATAAGTAGAAGCCGAATATCTTGTTAGAGATAGTCCAATAAACCTATAAAAAGCCTTTAACTTGCCTAGAAAAAGAGTTGCGCATCAGGGTACATAGTGCCCGGGGGCCCGAGGCAAGTTCTAGTTTCTGTTTGTCTTTTTGTTAATTTATTCATGAGCGAAAGAACGGGCTAAGCTTCCATTATAAATCCGCGCTTAGTGCACTCCACGCTTCGTTGGCTCCTCCCGCTGCTTGTGTTTGCTTGCCAAAGGGCCCTCGTTCGTGCAACGTGCAACCCATTTTGCGAGCGAGTTGAAACAAATCCGGCAACACACAACCCAAATAGGCGTGTCTCTCTGTGCTTTCTGTCTTTCTGTTTACGTTAGAATGAAAGTCGCCTCACTCCCCCCCCCCCCCCCCCCCCCCCCCCCCTCCTTTTGCATATGCATATGTAAGCCTTTGTGCCCCAAAGTGTTCAGCAAGTCAAACAAGAGGTTGGCTGTCGGATGCATCTGCATCTGCATCTGCATCTGCCCGTTTGCCAGTTGCCGTTCTTCCCATTGTTTCCCAGGGGCCTCGTGTGTGTGGGTGTGATTAATGTAATGAGAAATGTGAGTAGTGTAGTTGTGTGCCGCTAGCATCTCATTTCAACACTCTCTTCATGGCTGGCTATCGATACATCCATCGATGACCCAAATCTCTCCCAAATGATATGGCACCCACACACTGCACTGGGGATATTTGCATAATTTGACGACAAGTCGGGGCAAAACTTCAAGATTTATTACAAGTTATGTGATCCCAGCCCCGAATATGGTTAAAAGCCATCGCCGTCGTCTGTGTCGAGGATGGATAAGCATCAAATAATTGTACTGCCGCTGCGGTTCGTTGTGTGGATTGAGTTGAGCAGGAAATTACGAAGACATAATTGAGTGCGAATCGTAATGAGAGATCTCTTCCCTGGTGATCGGAGCGAATAAATACGCTGGCACATACATATGTAAATGTTTATGTAAATACTCGCAGAAACAGTATTCCGACTCCTCAGGAGGATAACCTCTGTGTGCCACGCGTGCAGTTCGGGTTTCAATTCAGCGAAATGCAAGAAGGAGCTACGACTGGCCACGTCCAGCCAAACGGAAGTCAAGTGGACACTTTGTGCTTGCCTGGGCAAACACTTGGAAATGTGTCCACTGATTGACAGGCCACGAGATTTGCATATTTGCATATTGCGACCCGCGAAAGGAAGCCGTCAAGGTGCAGCCACATCACTTTAGAAAGTTATTTGCATGCGACAAAGAGCCGCCTGCCTGCTGTCGGGTGCCGAGTGCCGGGTGCCGGGTGGTGCGCTGAGCCGCTGTCTCTTGGCAGTGTGTGTGTGTGCGTTGCATGCAGATTTTTGATTGGCACATGGCCAGAAGGGGCCACAATCGAATGCCAAGCGGAAACGGCAGCGGCAGCGGCACCCAGCGAGATTCATATCAGAGTTCAAGGACAATGGCATGTTAATTAGAGGAGAACCAACGACAATATGGCCCGAAAATGTTTGCCCTCGTACGCACCCTAATGACCCATAAACACTGGCTCAATAGGCCACATCCGCGTCGTGTCGTTGCCAGATAACGTTAAAGCATTCGACTGCCGCGCGCGGTCGGGCAGTGTCAGGTGCCAAGGGGCCATAAACCATACTCACCCACATAGAAATTCTATTTATCAGCAAACATTTTGGCATGGCACAATGGGGTTCGGGGCTCTGCGATTGGGACCCTCTCAACGGCTGTAAAACGTGCGGAGACCCAACCCCGAAATAAAAACAAGTTTGCGTTTAAAGCGAACGTTAAGGGCAAAGTTTTAATTAGAAAGCAAGTACGGTCAGCCGGAAAATGGTATGGAATGGCACGATAAGGGAGTGGAGTTTCGCTTTTTGTTGGACCACGGAAACTAAATACGTGAATATTTCATTTACGGACATGTGTTCGCATACCGCCACAACAGACGCACTTCGTTCGCACTTTGCATGTCAAGAGCCAATAACAGAACAGAACAGAAAAGAACACAAAACTCTGGGCAATCGACAACGGCAGCGTGCATGAGAATGGGAATGAAATGAAATGAAATGAAGTACTGTGGTAGGTTAGGATCGTTTCACGCATCGGGGAACGGCTGGCTGATAAATCGCCGCGACGTCTGGCATCCCAAGCTGGAGCTTCCTCTCCTCCCCTCCCCCCGTTTGTCTCCTGCATATTCATGTGTCGGCTGCTCATTAAAAAGGTATTCATCATTGCCGCACTGCGACGCGTTGCGACGCTGCAATTGTCGCACCCAAAGACCTGGCTGCGAATCGGAGCTGTCTCTGCATCTTATTCTCCACAGCTGGCGGCATGTTTGCTGTCAAAACCCCCCCTGGCAGCAGCGGCTTGGTTGCATCTCTCTCTCTCTCTCTCTCTCTGAAGACGTTTTTTTTATTGATTTTTGCTGGAGAAGTTTCCATAAGGTTGGACAGCTTTTGTGCTTGATCGATGGGAAGAGCTTTCGCTCGTTGAATAGTTTTTATTTGCAATGATTTTCCAAGTGCTTTTTTTGGTTCTTTGATCAACGGATCAAGGAAGTGAAATTATAAATCTTCAAAAGTGTATCTAAATATTCGTTATATTTGCTTCATTTTCTTGCTTTCCTTTCTCAACTTATTTTTCTTTTTCTTATTTTACTTTTTTGTTGAGAAATTGTTCAATAATTTGTCTCTCTTTTCCCCCTTTGTGTGTGCTGCGTTATGCGATATGTGCGCCACTTTGGCATTTGATGGAATTGACACTTCAGTTTCTGTGACAGACATGGGGCAGGCATGGGTGGGGCATCACAAACACAGACCCTGGCACTGATATACGGAATACTTCTCTCAAATGTGGAGAGAGATGGAGCTGCAGATGGCAGATAGTGTGGCAGGCGACGGCGACGCACTTGAAATGCATAAAATGGCATTTTCCTTTGTGCCCGTCTCTGGTGGTGGGTGCTGCTGAAGTTGATGGCCAAATGGAGTTGAAGATGCGTTTGTTAGCGTTAATGGCGCATTTATGACAGGCCTCGGGGTTGCAAACTAACATTGCAACAGCAACAGCAACAGCAACATCCACAGATACAAAAGAAAGCTCACATATCCACCCTTGCCAGGCTTGTTGCCTGCCATTTGTGTGGTCTATCAGTCCATCAATTTGTACTTTTATCACTTACGAAAACAAACTTTAATTCCTTTTTTCTCTGGCTTCAGATTACTACAACATTTCGTAAAGTTTTCGTTTGTCGCTGAGGGTTGGACGGCGGCGGCACATCCGCTAATTGCTGTAACTGTGGCAGCCCCCAGGGGTTCGCCTTGGTTCGGTTTCATTATTTTTTGTTTGTGTGTAATCTAAGCGGCGAGTGTGTGTGTAGCACGCTTTGTTGCATCACATTTCCTTTAACCCATAAAACTGGAGCTGTGCCTATGCAAACGAACGCTGTAAGTGGCACACATGCGCAGCGTCACACAGAGATGTAAGAGATACATTTTTGATGGCAAAGTTGCCCCTGGCATGTACATAGAACAATGAATGAAGGAGTCAGCCAGCAGCCACAAAACCCCCAACTGGTCTGGTTCTTATGTGTGTTCTTGTGTATCAATCATAATTAGCCATACCGCACGATAGTAGCACAGAAAACGTTTCAAAATGTTGAAGAAACATTATCGTTTGCGTAATTACCATTAGAAAATGTACAGGGGGAGTACAGGGGTATAAAATAGATTGGAAGATGCACAAATATCATAAAGATGGAATGCTCTTCTTTGCTGTGTTTCTATGTCAACTAATCTAGACTTTAAGCTACCCCTTGCACACCCAATAAACCTGATTGCGAAGTATCTGGCAGTCGCCAAACTCCGTTCTATCTGTTTGCTTTTTGTTGGGGCCAGCCACGTCTGCATCTCTGCACATCACAGCACAGCACAGCACATCAAATGTTTTAGTGCTTAATAAAGTGTGTTATGTCTTTTGTAATTATGTTCAGCTTTAGTCGCGCTTGATTGCCAGAGGAAGAGCCTCTCTGCATCAGCATCGTCGCAGGCGTTCGTTCCGAAAATGTTTTTAATTCCAGTCAAACATTTATTCCATGTGTGGGCCAGCCACAGCACACATCAGATCTAAAGCCAGGCAACGAAATCAGACATCAAGCAAACACTCTCTGAGAGATACATAGGCTTAATACATATTTGGGAGTCTGAGTACATGCAAATGTGTGTGCCAGTGCCACCTACAAGGTGCTCTTGGCTGTTGGGTTTCTATTTGCACAGGTGTCTTAGCACCTGGGCCTGGGCAGAGCGGGCATTAGGTACGAGTATTATCATCACTTTAGGGCTGCACCGGGGGCGTGTCAACGATAAGTGCTAAGAGGCACTGGTGACTGCACTTTTCCCGTAATAATTAGCACATCATGAATAACTAACGCCAACTAACTGGCCAACGCCAGTGATGGATGCACCACATTTGTGTCGTGACTCGAACAATAGCCGTGAAAGGTCGCCTTTAGAAGTGAAATATCCACGAGAATATCACAAACTAAGCATCTCTGTGGCTGGTTTTTGTTAGTTTTGCTTAGTTGTTAGCTTTCGAAACAATCTCCAATGCTGCATGAAAATTCGATTGTGTTTCCTTTTTTGGATAGTTTGGCGGGAGCTTTCTTTTGTGTGTGATTGCTTTTCCCACGAAAATCATTTGGCAGATGGTTTTTTGATTGCTTCGAAGGCTAATTTTTGGGTAGAAGTAATGACTGAATGATTCCGCTTGGCCCCCCCCCCAAGCCATTTGAAGAGTTCGTTCGGTTCGAACTTCGAGTCGCATTTTACTTTGTTGGACAAATGAAAACCGGTTAATAATATAGACTTTAAACTAATTGGCTCATTTAGCAACAGCCACAAAAAATAAACATTATATGATGACTGATGATCAACGCAAAATCATGGCCTTCACTCGGCTGCGCGGGGTAAGTCACCAGCAAAAATTAATTATACAAAAGTAAATTTTGCCATTGCAATGGTTTTTCTTCTCTCTCCCTCTCGCTGTTTTTGTTGTCAGCGATTTTGCAACTCCAAGCTCCAAGCTCCAAGCTCCAAGCTCTTGGGGTGTGTGCCCAACCCCTGAACTTTATCGCGAGAGTCATTAGGCAGGGAATTGGGAGCAAAAGGAGAACATTGATAAAAATGGAAGAAAAGACATAAAAGCCACTGTGCCACCGGACATAATCGTCTCCAAGGGGAGTCTATAGATGGGGATTGTGTGTGGGGGTTTTTTTTTTGGTTTTTTCTCAACTTACTTGCGTGCCAGACGTTTTCGTATTCCGGCAAACATTTTTCGGGTCCTCCTGCGCGCGGCGCCCTTATCCACTTTTATGTCGGTACTAATGTTGTATTGTAAATTAAATTGCCGATTTCCGTAGCAGTCGTTCGCCCGCTCCTACCGTCCGTCGAGAAGGGCAACAAAATACGGCAAACACTTAAAATTAATTAAAAAAATAGCAAAAAAACGCGCACTTTCTGCTGTTTTTTCTGTTGTTCATTTGTCGCGTTGTTTTTGTTGTTGTCATTGGCAGCTTTCGAACGCCTCATTGCAGTGGTAGAGGCGCAGAAGCAAACATTCAAACAAACAATCACAAAACACCCGAGGAAATAACGAAATCAATTAGCCAAAGTAGTTTTCGAGGGGCCGGGAGAGAGAGAGAGAGAGAGAGAGAGAGGGGGATGTATCTCCCCGATTGATGTTTTTTTTCGGATTGTGCAATCTATAATTCCAAGAAATCAATAATCCTCAGCTGCGGATCGCGAACGAGCATTTCCCAATGCACAAACAGAGAGACACACAGCCTCACACACACATGTGCATGCACTTTGGTTTCCACTTTTCACACTAGCTTTTCTCTTCTTCTCTTTTCTTCTCATTCACTTCTCATTTCACTTCCACTGCCACTCCTCCGTTGACAATCTTTTGTGTGGGAACTGTGCGAGGGCGAGGAGCGGAGTCTGTCTCTGGCGGTCTGGGTCTGGAAAAGAGAAGAGAAATTCACACATTATTTTCAAATTTATTTTGTGTTCATTTGTATCAACAATACGGCCAAGAAATGCTTGTGGACCGGACCCCATAAGCGATTTATATAATTGACGTGTCGAGTGACAAATTCAAAACATTTAATGCCAACAAGTCGTAACGAATCGGATACGGAGCGGTACCGACCCCCAAAAGGCTTTAGGGACAGCAGTGGAAATGTCGTAATTCTTTTGCTGAATTGTATACATAAATATCACGTTTAACATTTGTTTTTAAGCGCTAGAGATAAGAGTTGGCGGATGGGCTGCTTGCTTGCTGTCTGGCAGCATCTAAAGCAGTGGCCGCTTGAACTGCTTGACGAAACGCGGCAAAGCAGTGCCTGCAAGTGTTTGTTTTCGTTGTTAAGCTAATTAAAACATATTTGCAGGCAAAGATCGGTCACAACACTTGCTTAAAGTGCATAAAATCAGCGCAGACATGTTGCTACATGTGGCAATAAGCGATAAGGCTGAGTAATTGCCACATTTACGCTACTCCATTGATTAATGAGGCGCTTTTTGCTCCCCGTATAGAGTATTCTTTTATTCTCATTTAAACTTTGAGAGAGTTATAATTAGGAAACATCTCTTAACGAGTTTAAGAGCTACGTTCAAGAGTCATTTCCTAGGCTGCCCGCAGAACCACAAGATTTATGGCCCGCAAAGTTGATGGAATCTGGCAAAAAAAGAAAAAGAGACGCAAATGAAAAGGAGAAGGAGAAGCGGCCTGCTGCGGGGGTGTTTGGGATGTTCTGAGCGATAAGGTGAGAGCAACGGTGGCGATCTCTGGGCCCCACATCAATCATGGCCTCAATCTGTGTGTGTGTGTGTGTCGTTGTGGATAGAACGGATGCAGATGTAATTATGGCCCATTCTCGTCTCGTCCCGTCTCGGCCGAGTTCTGTTTTGTTTCCCGCGCTAATGGCCCAAGTATTTGGTTACAGTTTTTTGGGGGTGCGAGGGCAAAAACGTTTTCGGGCCGTGCACTTGGCTCACATAGCCACGGACGCAGATGCAGCTACTGCCAGAGCCACAGATACAGATACATTTTGGTTCAGAGGGAGCTTCGTGGAGCGGTTCAAGCATGACAAAGAACATGTTTTTGTTGCATGTGTGTGAGAGCGTGAAAGAAGCAGCGGAAAGGGCAGGCGGCAGCAACAACTCGGAACTTCTCACGCACGCTGCTGCTGCTGCTGCTGCTGGTAGTATCTGTGTAGTGTTTATGGGAAATGTTTGTGCGTAGAAACGCACTTTGTATCTTTGTATCTATTGGAGATTGCAACACGTACAGCGCGTGCATATTACCCCGTTCCTGTTCGCCGTTCCCCATTCCCACTGTCCCGCCCTTGTTATGGTTCATGTTCCGCATTTGGTTGTGCCGCTATTTTAGGTCGTTCCCCTGCTGCCTGCTGCCACAGCGGAAACCTGCAACATACGATACGCTTCAGCGAGCGTGCAATTACCACCGCAAAACATTGCTCCCGATATTGTGTAGCCTGAAAGTGGAAACACTCTTTCTGATTTATGGCCCATTGTAGCTGACAGAAATGCTCCAAACCAAAAGCAAATTCGGAAAGAACTGAAGAAGCTCCCACTGAAGTGCATAGAACCAAAGGAGTTGCTGCTGCCCCCAAACACTGATTACAGTGCACTCTGCCCAGATAGATTGAGCAACAAAGAGGGCACACGCCCACACCCCCACACCCCTGCGGATCTTCATGTCACCCACATGGCCCACACGGCTGATTAGAGTACAATTCAAAGTGCTCAAGTGGCCAAAGAATGTGGCCTCGCTGGGTATCTTAATAGAATTATTTTCCGCTTGCGGCATGAAAAACGAGCCAAGAAAATTGCGACGAGAAAATGTGCGAAATAACGTGAAATTAGCGCAAATAACTTGAATGCAAATGCAATTTGGCCACAACGTTGCATGGAGACGGCAATGAGGAGCACGTGGGGCAGCAGGCGGCAGGCGGCAGGCATAACCACTGATGAGAGTCCGCTGAGGATGATGCCGGATGAATGCTGGCTGACTGACTGCAATTCTGCAGTTGGCGGGTCGCTTGGCTGCCCATAAACGAAGCAGCAGCTGCAGCGCAGAACTTAACTCCTTCCACACTGCCTCCCCACCCCTTTACCCCTTTACCCCTACCCGTAACGGGATTTATAATTAAACATCAACTCAGCAGACTCGCCGACTCGCAAGACTCTCCACAGCAGCAGCGGCGGGCACGCACGCGGTCTCGTAGCTAAAGTCCATTTATGCCAATAAGCAAAAGATGAAACATAAAAGCGCGTGCCTTCCATTTCGGGCATACTCGACCAAGGGATACCCATTAAGCACTTACAGTGTTTGCAATGTGTAGAAATAATCAACCACAGTGTGAACTCGTTCTGCATTCATCTTGGACACCCCCAAAGCCAGTCACAGACACAGCATACCCTTTCCCTCTTTCGTTTCACAAATAGTGGGTATTAAAATAATGTTTCGAGTGCGCTGTCTGCCGCTGCCTTCCTTTGGTGCTTTGCTGACAGCAAAGTCTCCGCGCGAATGTGTCGCCAAGTTGGCTCCCTCCCCAGAAGAAACCACCCCCCCTTAAACCTCAACGATCTGCACTATCCGCAGAGTATCGAGAAATGAGAGCGAAAAATAAACAAATCATAAATCTGTGGAAAATATGTTTTATGGCTTTTCGACCACCCAAAATATCACACACAGATGATGCCGCAGCAGATATAGAGAATAATTCTCTATGTGTATGCAGGCCATAGACACGAGTACTTTACAGTTATTTCCCTTTCACGCCGTTGTTCTCCAATTAAAAAAGGAACGGGGAATTATGCCTGCCTGCACTCCTCTTTGTTGTTCCTGTCGAATGGTTAATCGAAAACGAAATGCAATCAAATTTACATTCGGATAAAGTTTCGCCCCCGAATCGATTTGGGTGAGAGTCAGTCCATAATAAATGCCAATAAAACTTCACATTTAACCCATAAAACTAGCATCGGGGGAGCTCAGCAACCAAAAAACTCAATTTCAACTTTTATACGCGGAGTGCAGGGGGGGGGGGGGGGGGGGGGGGGGGGGGGGGGGGGGGGGTGAAGCAAGCACAAAGCAAACTACGGAAATCCTCTCGATGACAGGTGTGTGTGTGTGTATGTGTGTGTGTATGTTTCGATATTTAAACAATTCTCTGGTTTAGGGAGCCAGCAAGTGCTTGAAGCGAGGTGCTAAAAGCACTTTAAAATGGAATAAATCGAATTGAATGTACTATTAGCAAACACTGTAGAGGCAGCAACGACAACGAGAATGATTAATTTAACAATTATTAGGGAGTTTATTTATATTTCAAGTCTGCCTGAAGTTTCCCAGAGAAATATAGTTCAATAACCTTTTAGCAACTATGTCTTATATCTATTGATGCGAAATTGCCACAGACTAAGCTCCGAGAAATCTCTCAGCTGTAAACTCAGAACTGTGCGTGGAAATGTAAATACTTTTATGCCAGGCAAAACATTTGCCAGTGCCCCACCCCCCGCCTCACTCCACCGTCACAGTTGTTGTAAATCTGTCGCTGGAGCAGCGGAGGAAATGCGGCAGTCAGCAGAAAACTATGCCAAGGCAAGTGAACCCCAGAGAGCTATGCTCCAGTATGTTTTTTTTTGTTCGTGGATTCTAGTCGGAGATTAGCCGCAGATAAGAGCCGAGTGGCGGGCTGGGAGGGCTCTGAAGAGGCTTAGTGCCAGTGGCAGTGGCAGTCATAAAAATTCGATATTGCTGACTGCGAATGTGGGAAGGAAAAGACAGCAAGCAGAGTGCGACTACGAATCAGTGGAAGCCTCCAGTCTCAAGCCTCAATTATTTGCTCGAATAATTAGCGTAAATTTTGGGGCCCATAAGCCCATAAGTAATTGCATTAAGTAGCAAATTGAATAATGAAATGAAATAACCAATTAAGCGTCACCCAGGAAGTGGCAGCAAGCAGACCACAAAAGCAAACACACCACAGACAACATATGACACCATCGGCATTAGCCTCCCCACATCATTATGATCATCGTTATTGTTGTCTTTTACTAATATTATATGAGCATATCAATGGCCAAACCAGTTACCGGCGACAATGTTCTTGTTGCCAAAAAAAGAAAACAGCAAAAAAAGTAACCAAAAAACAGAAATTAAAGCCAAAAGCTGAACTTTGACAGAGCGACACTTGGAATACCCTAAGGATTTAGCTCAGTTTGGAGTTGCTTCAAGTCTTGCTGGATATTAGATGAGTAAGTTGCATGTACAATTATAAATTGAATGAATTCTTCAATGGATTGCCAGGCAGAAGCTGTTGTGCGAGCATTATGAATTTTGAATAAGTATCTGACGGAATCAGAACCAGTTCGACAAGTTGCTTGGCTAGCCAACACAGCTAACAAAAGCCTACAAATAGATACTCGTATAAATGCAAAGCTATTTGAGAGGGTTTCACACAACACAGAGACGAGATGCGAGATACGAGATACCAGATACGAGCCACGAACCACGAGAGAGCCACAGCGATTGTTGGGGAGTGCTGGGGCCGAGCTATGTATCAAAAGTGTTGATTACAATTGTTGACCGTAAAATTGTTGGGCCACAGCAACAACAACAAAAGGTGTCAAAGCAACCTTGCTTGGGCTTTTGAGCTAAAATTTAAATTGAATCAAAAGAAATCAAATGAAATGAAACGTGCCCAAAACTCAACACTGAGCCAACTGAGCTCTCTGCCTGTGGCTCTGACTTTGAGCCAGAGACTACGAAAAAAACAAAAATTAGTCTGCGTGTCTGCAAAAGGTTTTCCATGCGGTTGCGCCCCATGGAATTATGAATCAACAAAATGGCAACAAAATGAAGAGGAACGAAGTCTCCTCTCTCTCTGTCTCTCCTGCACTCTAGGAATTTATGATATGAGCCCAAATGAGATATGGTTATGGTGGGGATGTGTTTATGTCGTCAACAGCCAAACTGCGACCCGAAACAGAGCAAGGGAGAGAGCGAGAGCGAGAGCGAAAGAGAAGTTTCGGTAGTTTAGATAGATGACTGGGATAGCAGCTACTACGCTGCTCCTGCTCCTGCTCCTGCTCCATATGCGTATGCTAATGTTGGCTTATGTGGAGCACTCAATGGAGCTAAGGCTAAAGTCAGAGCTGTGGGGCTTGCTGCCTGGTCTGAATTTATTTCCCAGCGACACGTAAACTCTTTTCTAGAGAGAAATTTAAGCCAAAAGATACACAAGCGTATTCCTCTCTGTCTGCATGGAAGTTGTATGTTGTGTTGTGTCTTTCATTCATTATGCAAATCGAATAATTGTACATATGCCACGGACGCAGGCGCACCTCTCGTCTGTTTCCGGCTTCCAGCAGCACGTGCGTGAAAATGACGCCAATTGTTGGGGCTTGGAAATGCACGGGTACACAGGTACACAGGTAACCTAAACCCATTATTGGCAATTGTTGTGGCAACAGCCGCAATTAAAATGCTTGAAATTATGGCCATAGCCACGTACATCCATATTTTGGGGTGCTGTTGCCCAATGCCACAAGGCAACACAAAGAGTTCTCACTCTCACTCTTACATTGTTTTGTGCAATGATCCAGTGGAATTCATTAATAATTTCCACTGAAGTGAACCGAATGCGGTCCTAATCTTATCAGAAATGCGTTTGCAGAAGCACAGAGTGGGGCCAAGCATTACTCATGGAGCCCATTAAGGTTGCGAAATGGAATTGGAATTGGAATTGAAATTGGAAGTGGCTGCCATTTCCATTCCCCCATTGTTGCTGTTTGTTGTTATTAATTGAATCAATGACAAACCAAAGCCAAAGCTTGTGGAGGGCGCCATGTGTCCCGTATGCGCAATATTACGCATTGTGCAAGGCACGTCTCGTCCCTTATCGCTCTCTGCTGATAGGCATCGATGACAACGATAATTGACGGCAATCATTGAGCATTTGACAAGTTCATCATTTGAGGAACAAAACGCAAACAGAAAGAACCTTTCACGAGGCGCCCAAAATTAACATATTCACCGATTGGTGGGGGTAATAGTTGGGTAGCGAGATAATTATTTGTATGTAAATGAGGCCTGTCGCTGGGCTACAGCTTTGCTATCAGTGGGGCAACAGCAGTGGGGTTAAAGGGTGCAAACTCATTAAGTCTGGCATCAAGTCATTGAACTTGTCCAATAGCTAAAGATAACAAACAACTTACTCGTCTAGCAATCTCTCGATCCTCTCTTTTCTCTTTTGTTCTTTTTTTCTCCAGCAAAATCACAATAGAAATCTCTCCCCTATCCTCTATCCTCTTGCACTTTTCTTCTTCGTTATTTATCGTCGCTTCTGGCGTACAACCGGCAAACGGCAGCAGGTGTTTGTGTGTGTGTGTGTGTGTGTGTGTGTGTTTTAGTCGCTTGTTTTGTTTATTTGCTGTGCTGCTTGTCTGCCTCTGCCTCTGCCTTTGCCTCTGCCGCTTGTGGCCACGTTTCGAATGCTGCTGCACTTTGTTTTACTTTTTTGCAGCTGTCAACACGCACAAAAAAGCGCAAAACTATCTGCCTCTGTGGCACATACGCTCGTACACCACTCAACTGCACAAAACAAGCCACAAGTTGTTTAATTTTGTAGTTGTATTTTATTTGTATACATTTTTTCTATGGCTTTTCTTTATTTCGTTGCACTGACACTGGCAGTTAAATTGTTAAGCAATGAAGCGGGGCATCACTTGCCAAGCACAGAACACCACGACAAGCGTGCATTTTACGTATTTTCGAGTTTCTTCAATTTTCTTATCGACACGCGCGCGCACATCCGCAAAGCTCGAGTTTTTTTGATTTTTTGAATTTTGAATATTGTAAATACATATGTTGTTGGCAGTGTGACCGCGGAGCTATCGATAAAATATACCGACATATACCCTCGGAAATATTTACAAATATACCCTTTCAATTTCAAAATATACTGTAAATATACCGCAATATCAGCAATTTCTTCTGTTTCTCTCCTCATTTTTGCGTGTTAAATACGAGCTCGGTACACTTACGCACTTACATATACCGCACATCATAAATCATTTCTCGATTTTGATGTACTACTTAATATTACTATCTAGTTAGAATTCTCAACACTAAATCTATAATTTTAACCAATTGATCAATCCATTCTCCACAGAATTGGCTAGTTTTCATGGTTTCCTTTTATTGGATGGCTTACAAAATTAGGTTCAAACTGAAAAGGTCTAGAAAAATTGAAAGCGACCAGAGAGAATCAATTTCGCCGTAAGCAAACCGCTTGAGAGTTTTTGCGTATAAGAGTGGCGCGAGTGTATAAGACGGCGCTCCAAAAGTGTTCTACTGGAGAACACCCGTTTTTTTTGCTATTCATCGTAGTAATAACGCGACTCCTCCACCCACCCAACCGCCCACCCCTCGGCCGACGCTCATTAGATGGCAACAGTGGCGGCTGCCCTGCCCCCACCACACCGCATCATGCCAGGGCATAGTAATCAAATCATTTAGCCAAAAACTTATTCAAAATTCACAATGGGGACACGCTCAAATGCACACCCTGCAGCGGGGCAGAGAGACGGCTGCCACAGGACCTTTGCATTGTTGTAAACAATCCATCATTATCGCATACACTTCCTTTGGCACTGCGGGGCAGCAGTAGCAACAGTCCTGCCCACATTGCATTACATTTTGTGGCACAAAACGGAGCTGGGCTGTGGTCTGGTCTTGCAAGTTCTTTCCTTCGTCCTGTCTGCACTCCAACACACACAGAAACTCACACAAATTGCACGTGTCTGGCGGCGTTTGTTGGGGATTACGGATGGTGCGGACTGGCGGGCACCGAGGGGCAGACTTTGTGGCAGTGAAAGTGAGACGCGGCAGCGCCCAAACCCTCCAAAACGTTGCATTCCCCCGCAGTTTTCCTTAAATACTCGTCTCTGCCATACATTTTTTGGGGTTGCTTTTGGGGTTCGGTTTCCGGCGTTTGGGGTAAATGCGGTCTACGGGGCTACTGCGGTCTATGCAAATTAGCAAAGTTAACATTTACCAAATTGTTGACAAAAAATTTAATTTCATTTCGGTTTCTCCCACCCAAACTGGCGTAGGTGGAACGTGGAACGTGGAACGTAGAACGTGGAGCCTATGCGGAAGTCGCAAAGTCGCAAAAGACTCGAAAAGAGAGCTGTGAAATCAAAGCATTTTCGGATTCTTTTGATCAGCAATGTGTTAGGATATAGACATGACGACGCCCCCTTCCGAGAGGCAGTGCCGCCACACCACAGCACGCCACACTCGAGGGCATCTCCCATCTTTATTAAGTCTGATCTTCGGTTGACACCCAGCCCAGGCGGCCAACCAGTGACAGAGTGCACCTGCACGACAGCGTCGCCCTCGTTGCAGCCGCACGTAGCGAGGGAGGGGCCGAAGAAGTAAACTCATAGTTCGCTTTGGAACTATCTATCATAATTAGATTTTGTTCTGTGCTGAAATGTCGGAACGAGAACGAAATGCGTGGCCATAAATTAAGTGTGGAACGCTCCCCAGTCCCCAGTCTCCAGTCCCCAGTCTGAGGCCACCAGTCCCCCATTCGCCACAAGGAAGCAAATAGAGCGCCTAATGGGGTTTTATTTAATTTCCGTCGCCCAAGGATTCACCTAATGAGTTTTTTAACCTACCCCCTGGCCAGAGAAGAGACCTGAGTTGGAGCTCGTCAAAACTGGGCCCAAGTGAGCCATTCGCCTGGAATATTTGAACAGAAACGAGCTCCAAGGTAGGATGGCAGATGGATACCATCAGGTGAGAGACAGAGAGAGACGAACACGACAAACAACTAAGAAACATTAACACCACAGATGACTCCGACTTGTGTTTGATAAACAGTTCAGAAAAGGATCCTTTTATCCCTTTATCCTTTGTCTTGCTTCGAGCTTCTTCTCTTCCTGTTGCTACTTCTGCTGCTGCTGCTGCTGCTGCTGTGCAGTCTGTGTGTGGCAGAGTTGAGCGAACTTGGCGGCACAGACACTGCTGGGTCTTCCTTTGTCTGTGGCACCAGCCCCTTGCTATGGGAACGCACTTTGGCCCCATCATACGCTCTGTTTCTGTGTGAAATTTATGCTGCATTTTGGCTCATTTAATGCTTTTTTTCCACATACAACGTACAAGCAGGGAGTGGCAGTGGAGTGTGCTGCAAGCGAAATTGATATGATTTGTGTTGAGATTTGCATAAATTATCACACAATGTGTGGCAGTCACAGCCACTTGACTATAATTAGATGTGCATCGGTGGCAGGTAATTAAATGCATTCCCAGGCAAAGCATCTTTCTCCTCTCTGGGAGGAGTGCATCTGAAACAGGTTAATAAACTCCATGAAGAATTCTCTAAATATTCAATCAATCAACTGCGTAATTTGAATCATTTAAAAACACATTCGATTCGGCAAGTCCAAAGTTGAAAAGTCCAAAGTTGCTTTAATTTTTGGACCCATTTTAGTGTTTCCATTCTACGCAGTAAATTCAATCACTGCCGAATCCTTTCACGCTCTCGAGCACATCTTGGATTTGCATATTTATCATTCATTCAAAGGGAAATCTCACCCCTTGGACATGGCAGAACTATGCCAGTGGATGGATTATGAATTCATTTATAATAATTTAGTTTGAGTTATGCCAGAAAACACCGAAAGACACTCAGCGGCGGAGTCCCATAATGAGCATATTCTATTAGGCAGTGCGGCGTTTCGTTCCACCCTTAAGCTTTCCACCCACTCAGGCGCCCTTGTGGGGGGTGGAAATTAACAGACGCAAATCCTGGACACATGTTGCATTCAACTGTAGTTGGAGTTGGAGGGTGGGGGGTAATGCCGTGTTTTGACAAACCCCAAATCACCAGAAACTGACGACGATGAGGAATCCCTTTGAAGCTGATGAACATTTGCACCCGCAACCACCAAGCGACAACGACAAACAACGACAACAATGGAGAAGGTGGAGAAGGACACTGACTGCACCATCATCCAGTCAGACAGACAGACAGACAGGGAGTCACAAGGGGTTAGATTGGGCAGGAAGTTGCTTGGTCGGGCATCAAAAAGCTGAGGCACAGACAGACAGACAGACAGACGGACTTCCCCCCTGAAATATTTCTGTGGGATTTCGCCGAATTTTCCGATAGCTGACACGCAGAAGCAGCAGCGGAGAATGGAGACAGAGTTGGTGTTTATTTAGCATAATGGATTTGGGGGCATTCAGAGTTCGGTGTTGCTATAATTGAAAATCGAATCAAATCGCTTGAAATTTAATCAACTTAAGAAGGAGTCTGGAAGGCTGGCAAAGGGGTGGCGGACATGGATATCCGAGAGGGCAGAGCTCTCCAAACTCCAATCGAGTCCCAAGCGAGCGAGAAAATGGAAAAATTAGCACAAATCCATGTGATAAACTGGCGACTATTTGCGTTGAATAGAGTTACAGCAGGGGAAACCCAAACCTCGAGTAGGAAGACAAAGCAAAGAGTCCGCTAAGCGCACAGGAAGCCCTGGGTTGCCCTGGCTGGTCCACTGTCCAATGGCCTCCAGCCAGACTCTAATGCACGATTAATGCCCAATCCCAAAGGCAGTCCGGGGCAGTCTTGAGGGCGCCCCGTCATTCGATGTGCATTTGCGTGTTTGGCCAGCAAATAAACCTAGACGAGGATGTCCATTTTGTGAAATTAAGCCCTGCCTGTAAGCGGATTTCATGCGACTTTGGCTTTGACTCCGTCTCTTCCTAGCACTACGAATACTTTCACTGACAACCATTTATTCCCTTCGATACCATCAAAGTCCACAACAGCTGTGTAAGTAGATGATTTGTCCCGCTCTCCGCTTACTTGCTGCGACGGCGGTAGTTGGAGAAGATGCGCAGGTGCTTGCTGCGGGACAGCTCACGGGTCTCGCGCTGGCTCAGCTCGTACAACTCCGTGTCCAGGGCCTGGATGTGGGCCACCATGGCAGCAAGGGGCATGCGACTCAGTTCTGTGGGGGGAACCACATAGCAATAAGTGCTTTAATCACCTTTGCTGACCTTTTGTGCCTCACCCTCCATGCTCTTGAGATCCTCTGCAGTAAATTTCACCTTGGCGTTGTCCTCTTTCTCGTCCTTTTCCTTCATTTCAGCAAACATGGAGCTGACACCAACGGCGGCCTCCTGCTGCCCCGACTCGCCCTCATCGGTGTCAACGTCGTCCTCAGTCTCGACGTCAGATTGGTTTTCGCTCGCATCCTCCTCCATTTCCAGTTTCTCCACAGATAGCGACTCCTTTTTGTGGCTCCTTTTAGTCCTCTTCTTGGTTAATTCATTCTTCTTTGGTAACTTCCTCTCCGACGCTGTTGGCTTCTCCATTGCGACAAATTGCAAAGTTTTGAGATGTCAAACGAATGACTTGCTTTCTTCTACTATTTTTCGCTCACAGGGTAGGGTTGCCATCACACCTTGTCAGCCAGCAGAAGGGTTGTCACCGTTCTGCCGAAGATTAGCTATCTGCCGGAGCCATTCACTTTTATGCACTCTCCCACTATGGAGAACCATTGAGGACCACAGACCCAAGCCATTAACCCCAATTTGTAGCGGCATAAAGCCAAAATGGGTATTTTCAAATCCATATTTTCCCCTCACCTGCCCCAACGCCACCCAAAGCCACCGCACTGACAAGTTTCCAAGCCTAATGAGCTGCACAAAATTAATTGTCACACCGAAATCACCGCAGGAGGGATCCGAAACTCCGCAGCAAGTGATATTTCCATCCCTGAATCAGGGCAGGGGGCTGGCTGGCTGCAGTCCACAAGGTCAACGAAGAAGCCCTGCAAGACGACCGAATGGCGATTAGAAAGCGTTTTCAAAGGACTCGAGTTGCTGTAAACAATCCATCAACAACATTGTGTGTGTCCCCCTCCATTCAGAGTTCACCTTCACCCCACTCGGCTGTAGAATATTCTCCCCCCAGCCTGGGGCGCACGTGTCTATTTGCTTTGGTGGCGGCTTAAAAGCCAACGAACGGAATGGGACGGAATGGAGTGGAGACGGAACGGACCACACCGAATGTGTGTCGTGCCGGGGACAAAGGACGCGTGCCCATTATTCCCCTGTCCATGTGTCTGTGTCTCTGTCGTCCGTTGTCGTTGTTGCTGCTGCTTTATGGGCAAAAGTTTTTAGGCAAAGTATCGTTTATACTTTTTGGCCGCGACTCCATGCAAATTGAACAAGTTAAACTTTTAAGAGGGTATATAGTCCTAGTCCCCATCTGCCCCTTCATTCTCTGCTGTGTCTCTCTGCCTCTGCTTGGATGGATATTGCTCCCCGGGGTGGCGGCTACACACTGTTTGCTCTGCTACAATGGGCCATCCGCATTACGTTGCAGTTTATTTGCAAGTACTCGTATCTGGGTGTTCCATGTTATCATCCGTCCGGGCACGTGCCGCAAGGAGCCCTGCTGCTGACTTTGATTTGTTCAAATCGCTGCTGCTTAATGGATGTTTACATGGCAGTGGAGGACACAGCATAGTCTGTTCATTCCACTGTTCCGTGTACAGAACACAACGGCTTGCCCCGAGGCCTCTAAGCAACACGAACAAAGAAACGGGAGGCCAAAACAAACGCAAAAACAGCCCAGACGGGCCGCTAGGACATTGTCCTAAATCCGGAACTCAAGTGGCTGCAACTCCGGCCGGGAAACTGCAGCAGCTGTCTCTGCAGCACTCCTTGAGCAGCGTTTCCAATTTAAATGAACAACATTCGTGCACATTCGCACAGTTGGCATATGCAAATCGCTCGTTTAATTGGATTAACGCACATTTCCGTTGCGTACCGAGAGACTTGGGCCCCCTCATTTATTATTTGCTTATGTTTTCTTTATGTAGGATTTTAATTAGGGGCAGAATGAGTGCCATTGGAAGTGTGCCACGGCAGCAAAAGATTATGCGGATGTTCGCCTCGTTGCATTTACAGTTAATAAATACAAGGTGCGTCTCCCGCACAGTGCTCTCACGAGAGACCTCCAGTGAGCGCAGAAAGCTTTCGAGCAAGAGAGCGGGCGTAGAGTGCAGCCACCCTGCCTTATTATACCTTGATTGCAGTTACTCTCTTACTCTTCGCCTCTCTTTGAATTGATTTACTGTTTCTGTGCTCCTCACGTCCAATGCAACTGTCGATTGCAATCGATACCCTTTCTTATGCTTCGCCTTTGATTGCTTCTCCTTCTCCTCCTCTCCTTCGTCATCCACGCCAGCAACTGACAGGCTGGTGCGAATGGATTGTCTCTCGTATGTATCGTATCTGATTTGGGATGAATGTGCAGGTAATTTGAAGTCTTGTTTGCGGTTCGCTAATTTCTGTTTTCAGTGTGCCTCCAAGTCGATTGCAACGATTGTTGTGCATCGATAGCCGAAGTGGAGGCAGGCAAGTGAAAGTCGCTGCGCTGCCAGCTTATTTATGATCACTCATACCCTGCCAGAAGCGGCACATTACACACGGATAAAGCAGCTTGCTGTGCATAGAAATGCTTAGTTATTACCCAATTAACTAGCAGTGCGATATTTTCTTTGATATCTTCCAGAAGAGTATTGGAATCGATCCCATCCCCTTGCTGTTGGCATTCTAGTGTTTGGTTTGAAAGTTGTTATCGTAGCGCAAGTTTTTTGCTGTATTCTCTGCAAGCAATAGCTGCAGGAACTGTGTTGGCTGCTTTCAATTGTATGAATAACTTATTTCTGACGCTGTCAAGTTGAATGATAATGATGATGATGAAGATGAAGAGTAGCAGCAACAGTCGCCGGTGGCCGGCTCCAACGAGACTGAAAGTTGAATGGATGCTGAATGCTGCCCTCCCCCACACCTCAAGGCGTCGCTTGTCTGCAGCTTTCCGCTGCTGACATTTGAACATTTGGACCCATTGTAAAGAAGAACTCTTTGTCCGAGAAATATTGGAAAATGCAACCCCCCAATGGGCCACAAAGTTTTTTATGTGGAAAATTCGAGGCGGGTTCGTTTGGCTTGTAATTTTATTTGCAGATAAGAATCTTTCACCCTTTAGTCGATGTCTGGAGCGCTGAGGGAATTTATTTATATTTACGGTCACATTTCTGTCTTATTAATTGCCCGCATGCACGAACCTGAATCCTGCCAAGCCAAGGAGTCTCTGCGGCCGTGTCCTTGGCGGCCTGTCGCCTCCAAATGCAAAACATAAAAAGCATAAATATTAAAAGCCTAATTAATTTCAGGTCACTGCATACCACTCCACTGGACTTGGGGTTTTATTACACTGCACACCGCTCCCCTTGCCCTCCTGCTGCTCGTCAATAATTGCACGAGGTCCTGTGCAGGTGTGAATAGTTGCTGGTTCTCGTTCACCTGCCGCCTTGACCGCCGGACAGGATCGCAGGGCGGCAGGGCGGCAGAGCGACGGTTTGTCACTTGAACATGTTGTAAAAATTGTTAAGTAATTAAAGTAATTTACCAGGATTTCTGTGGGCAGCAGCTGTCCAGCTGCCAGCGACATGTTTAGCGACAATTTGCCAGGACATGCAATTAGCCTGCACCAGAGCCGGCTGCTCTGCATCCTTCCTGGGCAGCTTTTGATGGATGACGGCCAGGTTCTGCTTGCTGCAATCGAAAGTGCATCTCAATTAGACCTTCGACTGCCCCAAACAACCACAAACCCGGCTCACTGGGGCAGTAAAAGTAGCTCCACTTGTATGGCAATCCAATGTACAATGTATCCACATTGCCGCCAGCAAGTCTTGCAGCGTTGCAGCATTGGAGCATTGCAGGTGCAGGTCTGTGGCAGCCATTCACCGTTTGTGGCTGGCTATCTGCGATATTGATGGATAACAAGTTTGCCTCTGCTGCTGGGAAAGTGGGTGACTAGCATCTGAGTGGCATGAATAGTAATTCACTTTTCCATTAATTGTTTGCAGACTCTGCATTATTCATATGCCGCAGAGGGAAAATCTCATTCGCATCCAAATCGTTTAATTCCGATGTTCAATCTGCTGCTGCTGCCTTTGATCTGCTCTCGGGTGATCCCAAATGTCAGATCTGTACGGATTCACATCCAGATCCTTTTAATCAGCATCAGCACTCCCATCCCTCCCAGGGCGCTTCTTTGGCTCCCTTTGAAGTGCAGCTGGGAGTGGAAATAAAGCTGTTTGGACATCTAATTTTAGGCGGAACTTCTGCATACGCCTGTGGATCACACACAGGATGCAGGAGAGGAAAAGTCAGCGGAAAAACAGCTTCCCAAAAACACATTAAGTGTAATTTTGTTTTGCAAAAGTTTTGCTCAAATTGATGGCTCAAACGATGCCGCACGACGACTTTTGACCCACATCCCCGACTTGCTCTTGGAATTGTCACTTTATTTGTTTTCCCTACCTCAGGGGAGCACACTCTGCCACGTCATCAATGGGAAGGGAATGGCCATGAACGGGCATGGGTTGGAGACCGAGAAACCGAGACGGGAGACTGGGCCTGAGAATGGCAGACCACCAAGACGACGACAGCAATCTTTTGGCAACGTCGCCGCTGCGTCTGACCCAGTTTTGGCTTGTGGCAGACAAATCGTCGTCTGCGCGATATGTTTGCCGCCTGCCCCACAGATTGTTTATGATGCTTTTGAACTTTCCTCTACAACAAAAAAGAAGTCGCAAAAACCAACTGCAAGTCGCGTCGCAAAAAGAAAACAAACCAAAACAAAAACCCCTTCGCGGGGTCAGCAATTTGCTTCGGCCAGGTCAATGTGTAAAGGAAGGCGAAATTCAATAATGGCCAAGCTTGGGCTTCATGTTGGGCTTTTGGGCAGATAAACCCACACCACAATATCCAGATCCAGCCGACGGAATTGCTACTCTGCCAATTAGTCCGGCTCGGCCTGGCAAAATTTCAATTAAAGTCAAGAGCAATCAACGAAACTTTCCAAACTTTTTGTGCATCAGCCGCACCGACATTGACACGAACTTTATTCCATTCTGGGGCGCTTTTCAATTATTTAAAAACCCAAAACTGAAGCCAGCTGCATTCAAGTTGCATAAGCCCGAGGAGATGGGGCCTGGCCGACGACAAACATTCAAAACTTGTTAGCCACATCGTAATTATGACAGAATTAAGTTTTATGCCATGCCATGCCAGCCAGTCAGCCAGTCAGCCAGCCAGCCACTGAAGTGACCAACTGTCAGGCCATGTAGCTCTAGCTAATCCTCGTCAGACAAACCGCAAAAAAGACACACACAAAAAACACAAACGAAGAGCATTGGGGGTCTCCTCTGCACCGCACACATAAAACTGACTGTCAAAGTCGGCATCGGAGTGCGGAGTGCGGAGTGGTGCCAATATGGAGATGCCAGGCCAGACCCCCACTCTGCCCCACATGCTGCACAAATCACTCCATCGCCAGTGGGTGTTTGGGTGCATATTCGGATATTTGTTCATGTTGTGCCATTGACTTTGCAACTTTGTTAGTGATACGAGGAGCAGCAGCAGCAGCAGCAGCAGCAGCAGCATCAGCCAAGAGGAGTGCTGACAAACTGTCTGTTTGTCAATAAAACAAACAAAGAAGTTTGTCCAGCCTCCACTCCACTCCAGTATTTGCCGAGATACACGCGTGTATCTGTATCTCTATCTGCATATGCACTGCCACTGGCACTGTCAGTGGTGTTGGTATTGGGCACACTTCAGCACCGCCACCGGAAGTGCAACTCAAACAGCAACACAGAAGACAACTTTTTCGTACCGTCTCGTCTGCCGTATGCCGATCCTTTTCATCAGCAATCATATTTTCTTTTGTCTGGAAAGTTTTTCGCCCATTCTCCTGGCAGCTCCTACATCTCTGGCTAGTGTTGAAAATTAAAGTACATTTTCATGGAGGAAACTCATTAAACGGATACCAGGGAATAATTCGATGCTGATGACTGACAGTCAGCCCTGCTTTGCACGCTCTGCGGACGTTATTCAGTTGGCGGTACGTGCTGGCTGGCTGATTGCAGGGCTAGATAAGAATGTAGCCAGAACCCTGTAATTATGGTCCTTTTCCCATCGTTGTCCCTTTTTCATTTGCACTCAATGAAGCGCAATAATTGCTGCGCTTAATGCAAATTCTTTCTCCCAAAAATGGTTCAAAGGCAAATGCCAGCCGGCAGCCAACAGCCGGCACGCCCACATTCCGGGTGGATTGTGAGCCTGAGGAGAAAGTAGTGTCAACCCCTTGTAGTGCAGTATCGCCGACCCGACGCGTCGGTTAATGCCGCCACTGTGTATGCAAATGAGTTTCCAATGACTTGGTCCGAAAACAAAACATCACCAAAGGAAGGATGTTGTCTGCTGCACTTGAACTTGCGTCGCAACACAACGCCATGCCATGCCATCCATGTCTCCTTTTCTCTCTGTCCTCCTATGAACATCTATATCCCCGTCTCTGGCTGTGGCTAGACGCCGTCGACCACCATTAACTTAGCCACATGCGTCTAGCTGGTCTTCTGTTTAGTGTAGTGTTTGCATACGGAGTGAAAGGCATTTTATGCGAAATTTGCACTTTTATTATGGCTGGTGCTTCTCCTCCTTCTCCTCAGTTCGCCTTAAACGCTCCACGCAGTGCCTCATGCGATAAGAACCTGGCCATTTAAGTTTAATGCATGCCCTTTATTTCGCTTATCGTTGCACTTTGAATGTCACTTGGTGACGGTGTGACGCTAAAAGCTTCAGGGGACTCGACTGCACAAAGATTATCGAGCAACACACACATGCATACGAATATAGTTACTCCACATTGACGATCTAGGGCGTCGAGCACTTAGGATCACTTGCCGGGTGGCGAACAAATTGTTTGCGTTAAATGTTTTCGCGCCATGTTTTCAAATGACATCTGACCGATCTGGCAGCACCAAAAGATATTTGTGTGTATCGAATGTTTTTTTACGAACACATTTTAGTTGACCTTATTTTACAACAATCAAATTAAAGAGAGTCCTTAAAGTTAGCTAATCTAGTAGAAAATTAATTCGTCTATAGGGTAAAACTATTTGTCTAGTGTTACGAGGCTTAGCTAGCTAGTAATATTTAAGGGAACATCAAAATCAAGGAATATGATTTAAGACTACGGTATATGTTTAAAATGAGTAGGTAAAATTTGGTATATTTTATCGATAATTTCAGCAACATTAAGTACCCTTGGACGGAGGCTGTCCTCGAATTTAGGAAATGCTCGAAATCTTTGGCTCTTATCAATAAAAAACAAACAAATAAATCTGCGTTGGAGAGATATCTTAACAAACTTTGCGTAGTATAGAAACATTGAGGCATTATTATGTTTAAGAACTGCTTTGAAAACGATTATATTAAATAATGGAAACAGGGTACGCAAGGGATCATACTACTGGGTGGCCAGCAACAAATTGTCAAATAACGTAACAAAAGATTCTAACAAAAAACGTAGCGTTTATTTAATTTTTTTTTTTCTAACCCTTTCAGCTAAAACGTTATTTTGTTAACAATTCAATAAAAGAAGTCATGAAGAGTATGCCTATCTTGTGGGGAATGTATTGTACAATCGTAGAAAATTGTGGTTCCACTGCTGAGAGTCTAAGTTGGATGGCAATATTAAACAGAATATTAAAATCGAGTAAATATGACCGAGACCGATTAACCTTCTGTCGACCAATGGGTGTTTAAGTGCAAACAAAAAAATTAATAAAACTTTAAAGTTTTTAACGCAGTTTAGCTGAATGAAACGGTGCCCATTCGAATTTATTCGTAAACAGGGGGGACGGTTGGCCACAATAAACATTTAAAAGCAGTTTTATTTCGCAAATTTGGACAAACTGCTTACCTATTTAAAAGGCGGGCGTTCAGTGTGTTAATTTTGAACAGTCACTCGGAAGCAGCAAAAAAAAAATAATAATAATAATTGCGTAAATGTCTAAACATACGCTGATAGGTAGGTTCAATTTTGAGCCCAGGACGTGTAGCCAGGTGAATTAATCACCGTTCTTGGTTATCCTGGTGTCAGGTGGCGGCACGGGCTTCATTGGCAAGAACTTGTCCAAGCACCTGTCCCTCAAGGGCTATGACGTCACTGTCATTTCCCGCATGCCGGGGCCCAAGCGCATCACCTGGCACGAACTGGAGAAGAATGGCATACCGAACAGCGTGAACTCCGTGGTCAATGTCACTGGCCAGAATGTATTGGATCCGTCACGCCGCTGGACGCCCGGCTTCCAGCAGAACGTGTGGAACTCGCGCATCAACTCGTCCAAGGCACTTGCGAACGCCCTGACCGCCGCCCCGCAGGTCACTTCATTTGTGAACCTCTGCGGCGTGAGCCACTACCAACCATCCGCCTCGAAGATCTACACAGAGGACGACAAGGTCGAGAGCTACGACTACATGTCAAGACTGTGTGTGGCCTGGGAGGCGGCAGCACACACTAGAGGCGAGCACGACTGCAAGCGTGTAAGTGGACAGGTGGCTCCTATGGACTTTCCATTTCTGATATCTGTTTTGTTTTCCTTCAGGCCATTGTGCGTACGGGGGTAGTGGTTGGACTTGGCGGCGGCATGATCGAGTCCATTTGGTTGCCCTTCAAGCTGGGCGTTGGTGGTCCCCTAGGTAGTGGTCAGCAGATTATGCCCTGGATACACATGCTGGATCTGTGCAACCTCATACAGCACATCATGGAGAAGCGTGAGTCGGGCGTGTTCAATGGCGTTGCTCCGGACATAGTCACCAGCAAGGAGTTCTCCAAGGCAAGCAATTCTTGGTTTCCATTCGACATTCGACATTCAATTTCTAACTATTTTCTCTTGTCTCAGGCCTTTGCCAGAGCGCTGAACCGACCCTGCCTCTTCAATGTGCCCGAGTTTGTGGTCCATGCGATTTTTGGCAAGGAGCGAGCGTCGCTTCTACTGAGCGGTGCCAAAATTAAACCCAAGAAGGCGCTCGCCTCTGGTTTCCAGTTCAAATATCCCACGGCCAAGGCGGCTTGTGAGCAGCTGGTGGAAAAGTGAAGAGGATTTGCCTCAAATGTGCTTAAGTTCGAGGAACCCAAACCCTCCTGTTCCCTTATGTTATATAGAATAGCAAATGAAAATTAAAACCAATTTCTGCCCAGCGCAGAGCCATGAATCATCCCAAGATAATGGGCCTTGAAAAATCCCATTTAATTTGTTTACTCATTAGTTTTTGGCACCCATGTTTTGTTGTCACTATTGACTTAATTTATTTCATAAAAGAGTTAATCGATCTAATGGCAGGTACGTCATGTGCCCCCGCCGCGAACTATTCTCATGGATCCATTAGATAATCTTCGCTTTTGGGCGGAACATTGCGGCTCGTGTCTGTCTCCAAGAAAATTACCCTCTAAAATGAAATGGGCGGGTGTGAATGAATAATGCGAGATTAATCGGAGCCCTTGGCTGTTTTTGGCCAATTGAAATAATTACGAAATAAAAAGGGAACAAAAAAATTGCCAGAATTGTCAAATAAAAAGCTTAATTGACTTGCACACGCCGCAGGGCAATCGCTACACGAATCGCCGCGAAAATACATACACACATAATTATAACCATCAATCTGTAGTAAATGATCGCTTTTTTGCTGCACCCTACCCGTACCTTCTATAAATTCATGACTCCAATCAGGTCGGAGCTCAGTATAGTTTGAAGCTGCTAAATCGCAAAATGCTGCACAGGTCACAGCTTTTACTGGTCGTGGTCGGGTTCTGCCTGGTATGTCCATGATGACTGTACCCAGTCGAGTGTTCAAGCACGCGATGGAGAGCTAACGAGCTCTGCTCCCAAATCTATTAACAGAACGCAGCCGCTTCAGGGGATGTCGACTGCAGCAAGCGGCCGAAGTTTGTCGATCCGAGGACCTGTTGCCCCATGCCGGATTTCATCACCGCGGAGCTGAAGGAGAAGTGCAATGCGTCCGATGTGACACCTCCACCAAGGCCCACCGATGCGAGCGGTTCGTTCGAGAGCAAACGTCGTCACCACCATCCCCATCCACCACCGGTAAGCATCCAAACCCCCCACAGGAGACACCCAACTGATTCGATTGCACACCTTTCAGTGCCTGATGGAGTGCATCTTCAATGAGACGGGCATCTATCAGAACCGGCATCTGGACGAGAGCAAGCTAGAGGCCTACGTCACGGTGGTTTTTGCAGACAGCACGGATCTCCAGAATGTTGCCACGCAGGCGTTCGTCAGCTGTGCCGAGAAGGTGGCTGATTTCGAGGCCAAGCTGAGTGCCGAGCTGCGTCCACGTCCCTCTCCGCCGCCGGGCATGCCCATCTGCTCCCACGATGCCGGCCACCTGATGGGCTGTGTGTTCAAGAATCTGATGAAAAACTGCCCCGACTCCATAAGGAACGATGCCCAAGAGTGCACCGATATGCGCGAGTTCTTTACCAACTGCAAGGGACCTCGCGGTGGGCCACCCTTCTTCTCCGAGAAGGTCTAGACTCTCAGGCAAGGCGGGACAACTAATGTCCTCCACCCAACAATAATTTTAGGGCACGCGACCCAATAAATTTTAAAGCTCAACGCATTCCTTGTGCCACTTATCTCAATGTTGCACGTCTGGGCGCGCAATGAATCAGAAAATTAGATTTCCTCAAAGCAATTTGCTTGCAGCGCGCGCATGTGCGAGTCGGCGGCGAACCACTTTATCCTTGGAAGCTGCTAGGCAAAGGATTCATTCAAGTTGCGTCCGGTGGCGGGTAAAGAACATGGAGAAGGAGCTGGAACAGTTCTTGGGAGATTGCCGGAGGCAGCAGTTTAGTGCCAAGGAAATGCACACCATATGCCAACCTCTGATCTGGCAGATACGACGAGCCAAAGCGCAGCGATGGCTGCTCCTGTTGCTGCCTATGTTGCTGGTTTATCTGCTTTGGATGTACTGCGATGCCTTTGCCTGGTGGCTGAGCGCTTTCGGCAGGCTGCTGCTTGTCCAGCTGCTGCCCTACTGGGACTGGACACCACACTACCAAGGAAAGTGCCTCATACCGCGTGGCGAGCAGCGTGTGGCGGAGCAGGGTCCAGCTCTGGGCAGGCATGAGACTCTGTGGGAGAACTGCGTACTCTGCGAGTCGCTGGGTGAGCTGTGGGAGGGGAAAACGAAGCTTTAAGTCTCATCCTTCTTATTCCCTTATAGAGGGCATAGCCACCACATCCAATGTCAGCTACTCCATGCTGGAGTCGAAGTTCCTGGAGCGCGGCCTGCCCGTCATTGTCACCGATGTCGATCTGGAAACGGATCTGGACAGCCTGCTGTGGCTCATAAATGAATCAGCGCCAGAGCTGATCTCCAGCGAGCCCTGCGACGTGTCCAGCAATCTTCTGCTGAGAAAGCTCTTTAGCGTGGATGCGGCTCTGCAGAAGATTCGCTCACTCCAGGCCCAACCATCGACTCGCTGGCATCTGCAGTTGCGCAACTGCCAGCGGAGGGCGGTGAAGGCCTCGAGGCTCTATTTCAAGCGGCCCTACTTCTATCCCCTGCACCTGGAGCCGTACTACTCCAGCTGGCTGCTGATATCCCACCAGCAGCAGCGACCGCAGGCGGAGATCGATGTGCGTGGCTTGATCTTTGTGCAGCAGCTAAGCGGACACTTTGAGCTGGAGCTGCGGCCCAAAAATCCGTGCAACGATGGCCTGTGTCCCAGTCTAAGGATGCGCCTCAACGCAGGCGAGGCTTTGGTCTTCTCCACCGACTTGTGGCTGCTCAGCTATGGCCTGCAAAAGCCCAACCCAAAGCAGAGTTCCATTGCCAGCATTTTCGAGGTTGATTGGCAGTTGTAGATCGAAGTTGTATTCAACTGTTGAATATCTGGAATATAGTTTGCCGAAATTGTATTTACACATGACCAGGATACACTCAGAAGGAGGCTACACATCAATTCAATTAAAGATACACAACTACAGGGGGGAAGAAGTAGGGATCTAAGCACGTCGGCACTTGGCTTCGACGAGCTTTTGTAGGGTGCCCGTCAGACTGTTTATGGCATCGATTTTCATCCGCTCGATGCGCTCCTGCTGCACCATGGACATCTTCTGGATCTGCACCTGCTCTCGCTGCAGACTGCGCTGCAGATCAATCTTCTCACGCTCCACATCCAGCTTGCGCTCGAAGTAATCCTTCCACCAGATATCGTCAGTCAGTGGCTGGCCCTGTGACGGGGCCATGTCAAACATCTTTCCATTGATGGCCTCCAGCTGCTGGCTGCTGTCGTTGGTGCGTTCCGCTTCGGCGGCCTGCTCCTGGTCCGCATCGTACTCGAGCTTCGGCTGACGCACCTCGGACAGACTGTTGCTGCTGTCCTCGTCGAACTCGTCGTTGGACTTGCTATCCTGATTCATTTGCTCCTGCAGCAGCACCTGATCCACGGGCGTAATGTACGGCTGTCCCTCCTTCAGCAGCGTGATCTGTGGGGTTCCGGGTTTTGTCTGGAACTGCACTGGATGTTCCGCTTGCGGCTGATGCTGTAGTTGCATCTGTAACTGCTGTTGTGGTTGCTGTTGCAAATGTGGCTGCTGTTCCTGCTGTTTCGATGGCTGTACCTGTGTCTGCTGTGGCTGTGGCGCCGGATTCGACTGCTGCGACATGTCGGCCTTCTTGCCCTGCAAGTACTTGAACATCTCCTCGAAGAACTCCCAGTGGACATAGCCAGACACGTACTTCTTGGTCAGATTCTTATTGTACGTGATGAGGATGTTGTGCCACTTCTTCTGCACCTTGGCCGCGCTGTAGCGGAATCCCAGACGCTGCAATTGGCGCGTGCAGTGCAGCCAGAGGGCAGTTCGCTTCTGCCTGTAAAGCCGGACCTCAATATTAACAAAACATAACCTTTACCAATTACTTGAGTGGAGTGTGTACATACCTGCCCTCCGTGAAGTTGCCCTCCATGGGGCCGCGTATGTGGATGAGAGCTCGCGTTGCATCTGTGGTCCAGGCACGCTCGTATGGGCCACGCCCCAGGCTGTTGGCGCCGCCCGGCAGTTCGGCCTCCTCCAGCAGGCAGTCATCGTCCAGCTCATCCAAGTCGGTGTCGCTGATTTGGTAGGCTGCAAGAGGAAACGGAAATGAAGAAATTACACCACTGCACGAAAAAACAAAACAAAACAAAACAAATACTTGTTGCTTTTGCAACTAGATGGCAGCGCTGGCACACTCTCAGCATCTTTCACCTTCCAGGCACACACACACTCTCTCTCGCTATATCTTATTCTTTGTGTTTGCTTTATCTCTCTCTCTGTGACCTTACCACCCACCACCAGCCCTCATCCTAGCACGGGAATATGCTAGCTCTGGCTGATGGTGCTGCGGTTTAAGTACATCATAGCTGCAGCCTCGCCTCAGCCTCAACACAGACTCTTACCTCGCCTCGCCCACTTGCACACACAAACTTGCAAAGAAAGTTTCGAACTCTATATATAGTATATAGTGCACCGCTATTTACATAAAGTATGTATGTATTGTTTTCTGTTATTGCTGGTATGAGGACTTACGTTCATTGTCGTCCATATTACTATTCCCATTGGATTGCACATTTGCGCCATTCAATTGTATTTGCGCCATTTTAGTTGGTGTCGCTGTTGCCTGTATCACTATGCCACGATTTAAGTATTCAACTTTTTACTCTGACGGCAGCCTGCCTTGGGTGAATTTTAGACCTTTCGCCTGTCAATAGTTTTCTGTTACTAACAGGACATTTGGCTGGCCGCAGCTTCCAGGCAAAAATTTGGAAACTCGCCTCTGCGCCTACTCTCTGTCTCTCTCTGCCTCGCGCTTTGGCATGAGACCCGTATGGCCTCTCTCTCGCCAGCTCAGATCTGTGGTGTGGAAGCTGCAGCTAGAGAAACAGCATAGTGTGCGGCGTGCGAGTATCTAGACCAGCGCTGGGCTGTGGGTGGGTGGGTCGTGGGAGGTTCAGCATCTGCGCACTCTGCACACCTTGGCAGGTCTTTAAGCAGCAGCAGCCACCCTGTTTACGTAAAGATAAGATGGAATGTCTAACATAAATAGTTCTAGAGAGGTTATTCTATTCTAGTAACTATTTAATTGCTAACTACTATCTAAAACGTTTACATCCATGGAATGGACAAATTTTCCTTCTTCGTGGCCTGCATTTTAGTTATTCTTTGCTGGTGCCTACTGTATCATAAATATTTATCTTTTCAAACGGTAACGAGCATCATATCATGACAGCACTCATATCGATATATCGATAGCTGGTTGTAGCTGTCTGGCAGCCCGCGTGCTGCCAAGTGGCAGCACGCAAAGCCGAGAATTCGCGCGTGGAAATTCTTGTTTTGTTTACAATCTTATAATTTAGGTATTAGGCGAGAGCAAAGAAAATGCCCATCGTGGAGAAGTATGTCATGTAAGTGCTAGTAACCCTCTTGTGTCGGATCCAATCAATTAATGCGGCTGTCGCCTGCAGCAAAGACTGGAAGCGCCTGTGGCAAATGGTGTCGGGCATCCACCATGAAACTCCACAGGCCATGGTGCGGGAGGAGCTGATGAGCGTATGCAGTGAACTACAGGCCGGCGTGCTGCACTTCAAGCCCAAGAGCGCATCCGACGTCCAGCTGGAGGCTCTTCTGAGAGACAAGAAGCAGGAGAAGCTGCTGTCGTTCACAGAGCGCCTGCAGGATCTGCTCAACATCGAGTCGGCACAGTGCTGGGAGATATTATGCTACTATCTGACTCAAGAGTACCGCGGCTCCGCCAGTCTGCTGACCCAGCTGATATCCACAGAGACATCTATGGCCAAGCTACTTGCGGATATTAGTCACTACTACTCGCTGGAGCGCATGATCGTGCTGAAGATTGTGAAGAACCTGATAGTGTTCTACAATGTGCAAAACCACCCGTACCACAAGGAGTACCGCGAAGTGGTGGACAAGCTGACGCTGACTCGTCTGCGGGACTCGTACCTCGATCAGCTGGAGAGTCTGATCGATGAGCAGCCACCGCGAAAGCTGGCGGCGGGCGAATGCTTCTACTCCACCGACAGTCTGAAGGCTTGGTCCGAGCGAAACTCGCGCGAGATCAAGGAAGTGCTGCATATCCTTCTGCTGATGACCGAGCACCTGCCGATGGGGCTGGAGCAGATCAAAAGGCTCTTTTCGGTATTCAAGCAGCACTCTTTCGGTCGCACGCACAAGACCCTGAACGAGGGCAATGCCTACCATCAGCAATTAATGCGGAGTCTCACCTACTCGGAGATGGCGCTACTGCTGAGGTGCCTGGACTTCGAGGAGCCCCGCCAACACGGCGAACTCATTGAGCAACTAGTCGAATGCCTCGATGTGGACATAACCAGCATGTACCACAGGCAGGAACACGGACCGCTCCTGCTCTTCTGGATGCTCATGCGTTTGCGTGGCACCAACGACGCCGATGATGCATCCAGTTTGCTCCGGTGCCGACATCTTGGCAAGCGTGCCGTTGATCTCAAATGCTTTGTCGAGCTCCATTCGATTGTCACACATCCGATGTTCTCGGACGACAGTCTGCTGTCACGGATTGTGCGCAAGACCGTCTACAACCAGGTGGGATACATGTGCGATCTCTTCGACGGTGACGGCAGCTGTGCCCGCTACGAGGGCATCTACGAGTTGCTATACGAACTGCTGTCCTGGCCTCAGCTGGCCAAGGATTTCTGCAGTCGTGAAGGTTCGTATTCGAAGTGCATTTCGAGGATTTTGTTAACCTTTCGCTTGCAGAGACTGGTGCGCGTTCGCTCTACACAACTCTTTTGGAGAACTTTCCTCTGGACTTTACTAATCTGGCCAAGTTGGGAAAGGCACTGACCAAAGGAGGACAACGAAACTATGTAAGACATGCGAGCAGTGGTTTGGTTTATCAATTCTATAAATATTTGTATATTTAGATCAAGAAGCAGCTGGAGTCTTTGCCCATACTCGCGCTCATGTACGACGAGAGGGAGCACAAACTGAACGAAGTGGGCACGGATGACTTTGAGCTGACCGCCAGCGTTCGTCCGTATCCGCGCATAGACTTCACCATACCCGCGGGCACCAGCTGCACGGCCGTGCAACATCCCACGGGCTGCTACATGCACTTCCGCACGGAAGTAAATTTCTTCGACTCGTTGCACCACGAGATGAACTGCCTGCTGAAGGAGACGGGCCATTTGCACGGCGATTTCGAGACCAACGATCGCATTCGTCGCGTGGAGGCGGGCCTGAAGTTCCTCGAGTGCGCCGTGCAGTGCACGCAATCGGTTGAGGGCATCAGTGCCGAGATGGTGCATCCCACCGAGATGTGCATTGATCTGCTGAACAAATTCAAGACGGTGCAGTGCCCCCCCGTGGGCCTGTTGTCTACATGCCTCAACGTTTGCACGGCGCTGCTGCCGCTGGTGGACGAAGAGATATTCGCGCGCGTCAGCAATTTGGGCATTCTGCCCAGCATTTCGGATGGATCGGTGGCTGATTACAAGGTCTATGCCAGTGGCAGTGCCTCCTGCTTTCAGGCGCGCTTTCTTGGCTGCATCATAGACAATGTGGAGAAGAAGCTCGAGCGCTACGACTTTCTGCTCGCCTACCTGTCCTTCCTGCGCACCTACACGAAGCTCAAACGCAATCGCTACACGCAGGTCGAGCTGCCCGGCCTGATCTTCGTGCTACACGACGTCTTTCCCCACGTGCATGCCTGGCACTTTAGGTCGGATCAAGACAAGAACAAGATCTACTTTGAGATTCTCAGCTACATCTGCGACATCCTCGACCTAGTCAGCACCGGCAGTGCGCCGCGCAGCAAGGACCGTGAGCTCCTCCTCAAGGTGTGCATCTACTCGCTGCTGAATCTGGAAAACGGAATGATTCTCCTCAGGTAAGTTTTTCCTTTCATTTCGGACTGAATATTACTTTATTAACTCTCTAATTTTTTTGGTTAGGTTTGTGGGCGTGGGCAATTCGTATTTGCAGAACTCCATGGAGCTGGAGACGAACTGGATGCAGCAGCAGCCGCAGGGCATCATGATGCTGGTGCGCCTCTCGATGCGCATTCTGATGCAGCTGTTGCGGCTGAAGGGCACAGTGTATGGGGACCACGAGTCACTCTCTCCGCTGGAGGCCTTGATATACACACAGCCGAAGCAGCGGGACACGCTGCGCATCATTTCTACGGTGTGCAGTTATATGAGCAACATCTTTGACAGATTGCTGCCCATCCTGTCGTGCCGCCTGCTTAAGCGCATTGCCTTGGAGTTCAACATGTCCCTGCTGGCCTGCCTCGACATGGAGCCCGACCAGATCCGGCTGACCTTCATACAGAAGCTGCCGGACGAGCTGGAGAGCGACTCGATCAAGATAGCCATTCTGGAGCTGGTGGATGCCTGCATAGCCAAGCAGCCGGGCGTAACCGAGGCCTTTTTCAAAGTGAACTACGGCCAGGACAAGAGCTCGCGCTCGTTCTTCGGAAAGGAGTGCCAGCCGACCATTGGCGAGAGCATCGTCACCTACATGCGGGAGTTCCTCGATGCCCTCGAGCAGGAGCCGCTCACCATACAACAGGCACTGCCCCGCAAGATCATGAACATCATGCACTCGCTGTGGAAGCACAACCTCCAGATGCTGGTCAGCGACCTGCTGAAGCAATCGAAGTTCTGGCAAAAGCTATGCTCGCCGCTCCTCGGTCAGTTTGAGCCGAACATCCGCGTTTACACGCAGATCCTCAACATCGTGTCCATCGAAGTCTACACGTGCAACGGGGAGAATGCCGGCCTCAAGGAAGTGCTGACCAAGTTCTTTGAGATCAAACACTTTGGACAGTGGCTCAAGTATGTCTTTGACATACCCAAGGTGCCCGCCGTTGTTACCTCGAGCTCCGACGAGCTGCCGGACTGGATTTGCTGCCTGCAGGCGTTCAAGGATCTGATTGTCATAATGCTGAAGAAGCAGCCAAAGCTCATGAGCATCCCGGAGCCACAGTTCAAGCTGATGTCCAACAAGTGCCTGACCGTGCTGGTCGATCGCTCGCATTACCTGGAGGACATGCGTCCGTTTATAATGCTTGCAGAGCTTTATGTATTCATTTTGCTGAAGCTGAATCACTCGTACACAAACAGCGACAAGGAGGACGAAGAGCTGATGGAGCACCTGCTGCAGCTGATGAGCCGCATCTGCTCCTGCTACGAGGATCTGCACGTGCGCGCCAAGGAGGCCTGCCTGGCCATCATCACCAAGAGCGCTCACCTCTACACGCGTCTGCTCATCCGCGACTCATCCATATCGTTGCGTTTCCTCAACTCTGTGGTCAGCATCATCTGCTCTGAGTTGCAGAGCATGGAGAACTCGGTCAGTCTGGACAGGCGGCAGTCGGTGGAGAGTACGGAGAGCACGGGATCCACCAACTCGTTGATTCTGTGCCTCAATCTGCTCAAGACCGTCGCCACGACATTTCACAGCGAAGGACCCGGCAACTGGGATCTGCCCTTTGTGTCCGTACGCCTGTTCCAACGTCTTCTGCGCTGCATCGGCCACACGCTGCCGCTGCACAACAAGCATGTGCTCACCGTTCACCTGCTGGACGTCCTCATCGTATTCGCCAAGAGCCATTGCTCCGTGGAATTTCTGCACTGCGACATCGGTGAGTACTTGTGGCTGAGCCTGAAGCCGCCCCGCGAACTCGTTCAGGCCAAATACGAATTCAACAAG